TTTCCTCGGAATCGGTTCCTCGGAGACAACTCCTTCCTCGGAATCGGTGGAGTGTCGAATTTGCGAGACCGTATCAAATTTTGATCAGAAAAAAAATTTATCAACATTTTGAGCAGAAAAAAATTGTTGAAAATGTATCAAAATTTTGGTCAGAAAAAATTGTTAAAAATTTAGATCAACGCTTTATTCCGTCAGTGAAACCCTAAGAATGCATTTGCGCGTCATCTAAAAAGGGAGAAATCTCCGGGCCGAGGAGGTCTGAATATGGATATATGAATTGTACATTGGGAAAGAGCAGCAGGGACGACTAAATAAGATAACAGATTTATGTTCTGAAGAGAGAGGATACGCGCATATTACAAAGAAAGAATGATCAGTTGTCAAACAAATGAATAAAAAGAAATGATCGTCGTAATTGTTTACGAAATGGAGATCTTGAACGTGTCATATGAACGAGTAAGCAGGTTAAAAGTCGACATTGAATGTGCATCATTATTTACTAGTGGTCCCGAAGACTTGCTGCTCTTTCAGCCTTCTGTTTCTCAGCAGCTCGTCGGCAGCTGTCCAACATCGATGTGACCCAGTAGTGGTCTTTCACCTGTAAAATTCAAATAAATTGACTAATACTTTTTGAGAAAAATGATAAACCTCCTGAAGTGAACATCTTCTCCTTGGATCAACAACGAGAAGTTTTCCAATTAGATCTCTTGCTCCTTTCTTCACAAAATCGGGATATGTGAATCTCCCAGCTTTGATTGCAGAGTAGGTATCGGCTTGATTCTCGTGTTCAAATGGCGGTTTGCCCACCAGGAATTCGTAGCAAAGCACTCCGATAGCCCATAAATCGACGGCGTCACTATGCGAATTTCCATTGACCATTTCTGGTGGCAGGTAGTCCATTGTTCCACACATTGTTTGACGCCTTAGGAATAGAAGATATAGTTTGAACAACTCTTTTTAAACTTACTTGTTGGAAGGCGCATGAACACTCCATCCGAAATCTCCTATTTTCAGTTCTCCTTGTGCCCCAATCAATAAGTTCTCAGGCTTGATGTCTCGATGAATGACGTTTTTTCTATGACAGTAAGACAGAGCATCGGCAATTTCATACATATATTTTCCAGCCATTGCTTCAGTGAACCTTTTCTGTGTGGTGAGTTGCTTGTACATTTCACCACCTGGAGCGTATTCGAGAATCAGGTAAATCTTTTTCGCATCCCAGAAATAATTGTAGAGCCGGATGATATTCGGATGTTGTAGATGGGACTGAATTTCGATTTCCCGTTCCAGCTGATGTTCGACTCCTCCAGAAATCAGTTGTGATTTGAAGAGTACCTAACAAAAGGGTTGAATGAAACTTGGAGATAAACAGCGAAACTCACTTTTATGGCACAGTGGAAATGACCCGTTTTCGTTCTCGCGAGGTAGACGCTTCCAAATTTACCCTTTCCCAGAGGTCGTCCAATTTCGAAATCGTTAATAGACAATTTTCTGGAAAACATCAGTTGAAATTTTCCAACTTTGATAAAAACTCACCCTCCCTTGTTCGGAGTGTTTTTCGATTTAGTTTGAAGTATTTGGGGCTTATTTTCCATTGTTGATAACTACTGAAATTTTATCCAATCAGCGCGGAATAACAGAAACTAAATATAGATATTTTCGAAAATGAATAACGAAAAAGGGTGGTGCCTTCGGCTTTCCAACCGTTCGCCGATACGTGTGCTAGCGCGGCAAAATGAAAATTCAAATTCGCTCCATGTCCGCATATGTCCGTCATGGTGTCGTTGCGGACTTGGCACGCTGCCAAATCCTTTATGACTCTGAGTTTGCAGAAAGTCATAGGAATAAGGTCATAGAAATATAATATAAACATAGCTTTCTAAAAAAGTAAAATATATGAAAAATATTGTTATACATGTATGATTAGGGAAAAATACATTTTTCGTGTCACGAATAACGCCATAAGGACAACAGTTCGATAAAACTGATCTCTTTTTCAGCTTAATGTATGGTGTCCTAGTTATTGGTGCCCCCGGCGCTGGCAAATCAACATTTTGTGCAGGTTTGACAGACATCTTCACCCAAATCGGCCGTCCATTCTGCACGATCAATCTAGATCCCGCTAACGATACAATGGCATATGCTCCGGATGTGAATATCACAGTGAGTTTCAAGGAAATGAGTTTCAAGGAAAGTTTCAAGGAAACGTTTTAAGGAAATGATCACTGTGACTGATGTAATGGATCGACTAAGTCTTGGACCAAACGGTGCACTCAAGTATTGCATCGAGACACTCGGAGACAATAGTGACTGGCTTCTGCAGGTATATATCAATTACAGTACAACAAAAAAATCAAATAGAACACTTTAGAAAATTGAAGCGAACAGCAAAAAATATATGATTATTGACTGTCCTGGACAGTTAGAACTCTACAAAAGCGAAGGAGAACTTTGGAAGGTTATCAGACACCTAGAAAAAGCAGGCGTTCGTCTTTGTGCACTTCACCTTGCCGACTCTCTATACTGCAGTGACCCTTCGAAATTCATATCTGTAGCACTATCAACACTTGGTAAAAGATTTATTTTATTTTTTAAATACAACAACAAATTTTTTAAATACAACAACAAATTTTTTTAAGCAACAATGATTGCAATGGAAATGCCACAAGTGAATTGTCTGTCCAAAGCTGATCTCTTCTCTCCAGATGGCACCTATGATCTTGATTTTTTCTCATATCTTCCGGATGTTAACAGACTTTTAGACCTTCTCAACGAAGTTCCCGGCCTTGAGAGGTACCGAAGGCTGAATGAAGCGATTTGTGGAATTATTACTGACTTTGATCTAGTTTCATTCGTACCACTTGCTGTCGAGAGCAAAGAATCAATGATGAAAGTGATTCAGTTGGTGGATACAGCTAATGGATTCTCTTTGACAGAACAAGGAGACCTTCGCGAACTCATCCTAAATTCTAAAACTTGAAATTTGTCCCACTTTGTGTTTTCTATTGTTATCACTGTTCACCGGTTGTTTTTCATTTTTCTTGAAATATTATAAAATGAAATTTATTATAAATGGAGAGTCACATAAAAGAATGATAAAACCTCATGGAAAATCACTGCTCTTCAGGAATATCTTCTTCACTCTTTCCGCCTGACCTCAGATTCTTGTCTTTGTGGTATTTCTGCATCTTGCCGTTCACTGAAAAATTAAAAGGGTCAACTGGAGAAAAAATAACAAAGCATACTTGTTTTAGGGCTAGTTCCGCTGGATGAAGGTTCAGAAGAAGCTCTTGTTTTTCTCGTAGATCCTACTTTTTGGTATCTGCTTTCATGCTGAAAAACATTTAATTTCGAGTTCAATTCAATAATTACACTTACATGTTCTTTATCGACTGTCTCTGTTTCTGTGATTCTTCGTCTCGGCTTCAACAGCTTTCCAAGATCCACATTCGATTTTTCTGAAAATAAATCATGTTTGATATTTATAAAACTACTATTAAATTCACCATCTCCTGTTGTCTCATCCACTAGCTTCCGACGTCCATGCCCATCGAGAACATATGTTCGTTTGACACGTGGCTTCATCTCATAAGTGTACTTATCATCATCATCATCATCATTATCTGCACTCATCCTCTTGTTCTTCTCGTTTTCTTTTTCTTCAGACTCTCGGGGAACTAGCATATGCCCTCCTTTAAAAAATCCTCGTTGGCTAAATACAACATTTGTATTCTTACCAGGAAGAGGTTTAACGTCATCGGACAATGGTGCTCCCATCTTGATGTCGGCATTTGATTGGTCATTCGGCACAGAAGATTTTTTCGATGTTTTATTGTCCATGTTGCCTCCGTCACCTCCTTCCTCTTCTCTCACAAGTTCTCTTTTTCCATCTGGACCTATTTTATAGAATCTTCTCTTCTTATGAATTATTTTTCTTTCTTCTCCGTTTCCATTCGAAGATTCTGATCCATCAACATCGCCGCCTTCTTCTCTCACCAGCTCGCGCTTTCCATCTGGACCAATTTTGTAGAATCTTCTCTTCTTGATTCGAACCTCTCCATCATCACTCTCATCATTCAGTGGTTCCGGGCTATAAGTGTTCTTGTTACCTCCGAGAAGTCCTGAAGTCTTCTGATGCAGCATTCCTCCTGATGGAACTTCTTCCTCTCGAACCAACTCTCTTTTTCCATCTGGACCAATTCGATAGAACTTCTTTTTCTTCATCATAACCCTCTCCTCGTTCATTTCATCGTCTGGTTGATCGTCAGATTGTGAGGAAAACGATTTTCTTTTCATTTTCAAATCTGATTCTTCTCCATGGGACATTCTATCAATATCTCCTTCTCCCTCTGTTCCGATTAGCTCTCGTTTTCCATCTGGACCCACACGATAACGTCTCTTGATCTTTTTCTTCAGTGTCACTTGTTCAGAATCATCCTCCGGCTGGTCATTGGTAACCGAAGAATGCTTTCTACCGGGTTCATCTTCGCTGACAAGTTCTCTTTTGCCATCTGGACCAATTCGATGAACTTTGTTTTTGGAAACAGTGACTTCTTCTCCATCAGATGGTTCTACCCCCTCCGTTCTCGTCAATTCTCTCTTTCCATCTGGACGGATTCTATAGAATTTCCTTCTTTTCAGAAGTTTGATCTCCTCATCTTCTCCAGTATCTGATCCACCAGTAGGAACATCTTCATCAACATATTCTCTTTCCCCATTTGGCCCAATCCGATGAACTGTTTTCTTTTTGATCTTCACAATCTCTTGATCATCGTCTCCATTAGGTCGACCTCCTCCAGCTGGAATACGATAAAGCTTTCTTCTGTTATGAAGTTTGATCTCTCCACTTTCATCTGGCTCCTCCTCGTTCATGTCATTCGGTTGGTTCTTGATGATCTTTTTCCTTGTCAGAACGATTGGTTCACCATCATTTTCTTCGAATGGAGTTTTTTGACCAAGTCTGTAGAGTTTCTTGATGATCACGTCTTCATTCAGTCCACCTGGATTTCTTTTCCTCTTTCCTTCCTCTTCAATCTCTTCCTCGAATCCTGGTCTCAAGCGCTTCCTCTGTCTGAACTCTTCGCTCTCTTCCTCGAAACGTGGTCTTGGACGCCTTCCATCTTCATCATCAGGCCTTCTTCTTCTGATAATTCCATCTTCTTCCTCTTCTTCGAGAGCTCGTGGACGAAGCTCTTCCTTTCTTCTTCTTCTCCTTCTCTCCTCATCGTCTTCCTCTGATCCTCCGATTTTGTAAAACTGAGAAGTCCTTTCAGTGACGGTTGGTCCATCAGATCCCTTCTTTACTGGCCTGTTGGTCCATCTAAATGCTTTCGGAGCTCTTCCTTTGACTGCGATTCTACCTTCCACATATTCCTCATTCTCGTCATCTTCTCCAGGACGCTCCCTTCCATCTTCGAACCAATACTTTCGTTTTCGATTCCTTACAATGATTTTTCCATCATCTTCCACGTTACCATCATCATCATTAAAATTCTCCACTTCCTCATTTCCGAACTTTAGAACCTTCAGTTTCTTTACCACAGTCACTTCATGTTCGACGTCATCTGGTACCTCGACCGCAATCTTCCGAATCAAAATCACTCTCTTCCGAGGGCTTCTCACTTTGACACCCTTGAAGTCATCGTCTTCAGTTCCAGGAACCACTGTCCGAGTGACTTCCCGAATAGCCGGTTCTTCGCCAGAATCTGTGAACTTTGTCTTCTTTCTGAGTTTTCGAGAACCTGCGTGAACCTTGACGAACCCTTCGAACTCGATGTAGCTCTTTGGTTTATCCTCCTTCACATCAACATATTCATCATCTTCATCCTCTGGTCTCCTTGTTTTTCTCAGTGGACGACTGGATTTTTCCACTCGAACCAATGTGATGTATTCCGGAACCTCTTCTTCATCGTAGTAATATTCTGGCTCAGCAGGAGTGGTTGTAGTTGTTGTAGTGGATTTCAACTTGCGAACTTTGCGTGGTTTCATCACAGTCTTCCTTGTGATCTTGAAGTCTAGACCTCCGATTTCTTGAACAACAGTCTCTTCAGCTGGAACACCAGTTCCGAAATGTTTTCGGATTCTGACTTCTCTTATCGTCGCATTTGGATGTTTTGTATTCTTTGTCAATTTCACAACTTCAGTTGGTTCTTCTTCCTCAGGACGATGCTTTGTTCCGTACGAGTGTGGATGCCTTTTAGTTACAGATAGCAGAGCAACTTCTTCCTTCGGCCCAACAATCTTTCTTGGTCTTCTGAGAATCTCCTCAAACTCTTCAGATTCATCGACATCTGGTTCTGGTTGGGTTGTCTTCATGATCATTCTCTTTACTTCGATAACTCCGCCCTCATCGATTCCATTATCAACATCGAATGGACGTCGTCTGCCAGGAATCTTGTGAATCACTTTCTTCACAAGAATGACTCCTGCTTCGGATTCAGAATCTTCATCAGGCCTTCCCGTGATCACCATCTTTTTGATTCCAGTCAAAACTCTGACTCCAAAATCTTCATTCCCTTTCCAATATCCTTCATCATCATCCGGTCGAAGATGTTCGTAGATTTCAATTTTCTCCACTCGTACCGTTTCTCCTCCACTCAAGCGTGGTTCTTCTGGAGTTGGAGGAATAATGATTTTTTTTTTGAGCTTGAGATCCGGAGTAGGCAGACATTCTTTGACCCATTTTGCATATGCTTTGTCATTTAAATTTAAATCATCGGTTTTCACATCAGAACATTTCAGAGATTGACGACGCGGAGGAGGTGGAGTTGAGGCCGTTTCTCGTGTACGACATCGTTTGATGTGTTCTTCGATCTGAAATTTCCAAAAATGAGTCAGTATTTTAGATAGTTTTAAAATTGAATTTCCGGGGGCCATTTTTTTCAGGTTTTCCAGACACCAAACTACAGTTTTAATCGTTGGAGCTGTGTTGTTTCTTCGAGACCAGCTAATCGACAAAAAATTCTCATTTTTGAGGGTCTCGAAGAGATATCGAAGAGGTAACACAGCCAAAACGCGCGATACCGTAGTTTAGTGTCTGGAGAACTTAGAAAAAATGGAGCTTCGGACAGGAACCTTTTCATGAAAATTCACTCTGAATTCGGCATTAGAAATCTCACCTCTGGATAAGAAAGCTTCGACAAATCCACATTATGACAATCGAAAGAAGTCTTTCTTTCTAGTTGTGGGAGCGGAACTGGTTCTCTTCCAAGACATCTGACTTCGTAATCCGCGTATTCTTCATTGCTCATTCCATCCACATCTCTATTGTAGCATCCATTTTTCACAACTTCATTAGATCCGTTGACTATCAATGTCTTAATCAAAATGGTTTTCTCTGGTCGTGTTGGACACTCTCGTTGGTATTTGGCATACTAAAAGAACAAAATTGGGTTACAAAATCGAATTTGCAATTGGATACCTCTTCTCTGGATAGATTCGTTGTGTCGACAGTGCTACAATCGAATCTGAAGTGTGGATTTGCCAAGCACTTCTTCTCAAATGTAGCATATTCCTCGTCGGACATCTGATCCACATCCTGATCGTAACAACTGAACTTTTCCTTTCCAGTTCGAATCTCGACCTTCTTCGTTAGAATCATATTTTCTCCTGGACGGTATCGATCAGTGGTGACTTTCACATTACAATTCTGCTTAAAATCTGCATATTCTTCGTCAGTCATCATACTTTCGTCCACAATCGAACAATCGACTCGCTTTCGGATGGTTGTTGTAGGCCTTTTCGGAATATTTTTCAGACATCGTTCTTTGAATTCGGCGTACTGAAAAAGAAAAAAAAGATTAGAATGAAGCAAGTTCAACCTTTCAACTATTACCTCTTTTCTACTCAAAGTTTCCACTTTCACTTGATCACAGTCAGTGTGAATCTTCGTTGTGACCTTTTTACACTTTCTTTTGTATTCGTCGTATTCATCAGAACTCATTCTTTCCACTTTCGCGTTTTTACAGTTGTAGATTGGCCGTTTTCCACACTCCTTCAAGAATCTTGCGTAGTCCCTGTCTGATAGAGAATCCACATCAGTTGACTCACAGTCAAACGGCTTCTTTCCACATGCTTTTCGGAACTTTTCAAACTACAAAACATTTTTTAAAGGGTCCGATCTTGATATCCTTACCTCTCCATCACTCATTTTGGTAACATCCTGATTACAATTGAACTGGAAGGTATTTTTGTAATCTCCACATTTCTTTTGGTAGAATACGAACTCTTCATCTGTCAAACTGTTCACATCTATTTTGGAACAATCATCTTCGTCTCTTGGAACAATCGTAATAGTCTTTGTCAACTCGATTTGAGGTTTTTGAGGACACTCCTTCAAGTATTTCTGATATTCTTCCTTCGTCATTTCATCCGTATTCCTATTACATTCTTTTCCAACAACTACTATCTTTTCAACTGTCACATTCTCTGCACATCTTCTCTTGAATGCTCGGTATTCACTCTCTGACAGCTCATTGATGTTAACGTTTCGACAGTTCTCATCAGGAGTTACTGGCCTTCTTGGTGGTTTCCCCTTCAAGCATTTCTTTTTGTAGAGAGCGTACTCTTCATGGGTGAGCTCTTCCACTCTCACATCTGAGCAATCATTTGAAGATCGTGGAGAATCTGGAGGACCACATCGTTTCTTGTAGGCGAGGTACTAAAAAAGATTAGTGAACTACATCAACAAATTTCAAACCCACCTCTTCTTTATCCAACTCCTCAATATTTATATCCGAACATTCTGGCTGCACAATCTTCCTGATTGACATGCACTTTCTTCTGTATTCGTCGTATTCATCATCGGTCAGTTTTGCCACGTTCACATTGGAGCAGTCATCAATGTTTGGTGAAGTTGGCGGAGAAGATCCATCATTTGGTGGCGTGTTTACAATTTTGACAGTTTTCTCCACAGTAACTGACGGTTTACGTGGAGATTCTGGAGACTCCTCTCCACATCGATTTTTGTAGACAAGATACTCCTCATCGGACAATTTGTTAACATCAATATCGTCACAATCCGGCTTAGGAATCTTTCTCTCCAGACATCTTCTTCTGTAATCTTCGTATTCCGAATCGGACAGTTCATTTGGATTGATTGATGTGCAGTCATTAGAATCTGGTCCTTGTGGTGGTTTGGAAAGATTTACAACGACAGTCTTCTCAATTGTAACCGAAGGTATTTCAGGGAAACGATCTTCAGGAGTTCTTTCCAATTCTGGTGTGTCTTCTCCATTTCTTCGCGGTGGGACGATCTCAATACTCTTCTCAATTTCCACAGGTCCTCCTGACGATCCACAGTTCTTCCGATAGAGTCGATACTCCTCATCAGATAGATTGTTGACATTCACGTAATCACAATCTGGTTTCGAAGTACTCCTCTCTAGACATTTCTTCTTGTAGTCACGATATTCTTCGTCAGAAAGTTCTGAGACATTCACAGAAGAGCATCCATCTCTTGGTTTTTCGGGATGTTCACCACTTGAACATTTCTTTCTGTAGACTTCGTATTCCTCATCAGACAGTTGACTGGTATCCTTTGCACTGCAATCTGGAGTCTTCCGAATAGTCAGGCATCTCTTTTTGTAGGCACGGAACTGGAAATAGAATTTTTAAATTTAAATCTTTTAGAATTATAAATCTACCTCTTTCGAGGTTAGCTCTTCAATATTGACTCCAGTGCAGTTGTGTCTATTAGGACTATCCGGATAATCCGGTCCACGTGGCGTTCCGCATCTCCTCTCGTACATTCTGTACTCCTCATCCGATAGAGCATTCACATCTACATCATCACAGTCTGAGTTTGTTGTTCTCCGGATTGAAATACAATTCTTTCGGTACTGCTCGAATTCTTCCTCCGTCATCTTCTCCACGTCCATTCCGGAACAGTTCTTGGAGGATTCTCCGCCAGGCGGTGTCATTCTATCAGATGATTTTTCCGGTGGACACACCTTCAGGAAATCCAGATATTCCTTCCGCGACATAGCCCTCCAGTCAAGAGTATTACATTTTTGGATTGAGTCGGAGGAATGGTCAGGGCATCGTTTCATGTATTCTCGGAACTGAAAAAGAGTGAATTTACTCAGGGGTTTACTTCTTGCTGGCCAGATTCCGGAGCCATTTTCGGGCAACGTTCGTCCAGCACCTGGTCATTATCCTTCCAAAAGCCGAGACCCTCTCCACTTGTAAGCATAAATTATAAAATAAAATGAGTACCTCGTTATCAGTCAGTTCCATGACCTCAACAGAACCACAATCGCCATCAGTAACTTCTGAAGGTAGAAGTCTTCCACATTTCTTCAAATATCTTCTGTATTCTTCTTTAGCTAATTCATCCACGTTGATATCTTTGCAATCCTCATTCATGGTATCCAACAGACACTGTTTCTTGTATCGTATGAACTGGAAAACAAAGGTTTAGAACTACAAAACTGTAACTACATATAAAACGTCTCACTTCCTGATCACTGAGCTCTTCTACATTTACATCATCACAATCCTTTCTTCCCTTTCCACACCTTCTCTTGTAGTCCTTGTACTCTTCCAACGTCATTTTCTCAGTATCCGCTCTTCACACCGAGGATTCTCAGGGTAACGAAGACGTGGCTTACATCTCAATCGGTACTCATTGTAGACTTTTCGAACGAGACGACGAGACTTGAGCATTGAGCATGCGTTGATTGGTTCTAGGCATTTTTCAGCAAAGTCCGCGTACTAAACCGCTAGTTGTCTCAAATCGAAGTTACCACAAAGTAGACTTACCATTCTTTCTCCAAGTTTTTCAATGGCAATATCTTTGCAGTCTTTCTCCAATTCGTTTGAATCTCCTTCACATCTTTCCTCATATATCCTTTGATACTTTTTGGAGAGAGCTTCTTTTCTCTCGATTCCACAGAACAAGCCACATTTTGCAACGTATTCTTGAAGTTTCTCCTCACTCAGTTTATCCACTCGTACTTCATCGCAATCTGTTCCTTCGAAGTTAACTTGACAGTATTTTTTGTATTGGTTGTACTAAATAGTTGTTCTTGTTTTTTCGTCAACTGGAAGTATTTCTTACCTGATAATTGGTCATTTTTTCCACATCAGCATTTTGACATGCTTCAGCTGTTACTCCTGGAGGAATAGAGGATGATTCGTTGAATCGGACGATCTTTGTGATATCCACACTTTCACCAGGGGGACGAGGGACTCGGGAAGAGCATCTCTTCTTGTATCTTGCAAACTGTAACAGTAGGTTTTACAGTCTAACATGTTTTTTTAAAATATTCTACCTCTTCATCATTCAGATTGTCAACAACAACGCCATCACAGTCTGGAGATGACGATGGAAGACATTCTTTCTCATACTTTCGGTATTCCTCTCGGCTCAAATTATCCGGATTCACATTGCGACAACCTGCTGGTTTACCAGTTCCCAAACATTCTCTCTGGTACTTGGCGTACTGAAAATTAATTAATTTCCCAATCTATCAAAAAATCTCATTACCTCTTTCTCGTTCAACTCATCAGGACGAACAGAATCACAATCGGAATTCCTTGGTCTGTCGAGGCATTCCTGTTCGTATTTCTTGTATTCCTTATCACTCAACTTTTGCACATTTACAGTTTTACAATCGAATCGCGCCCTTGGTTTCAGACAATCTTTTCTGTACTTCTCGTAATCATCATCACTCAATTCATTCGGATTTATAGATACACAGTTTTCAGACGAGATTCGTTCCAGACATTTCTTCTCGTACAGCTGATATTGTTCTCTGGTCAGCTTATTGGGGTTCACAGAATCACAATTCACATCTCTTTCGGCATCAAGACACTCCTTTTTGTATTGTTTGTACTGAAGGATTTTTCATGACCTAAAATACTTACTGAGATTGAACCAACCTCGTTGTCGTTCAACTTGGAAGTGTCGATATTCAAACAATCCGATTCTATCTTCAGACAGTCCGTTCTAAACTTCTCGTAATCTGTATTGCTGAGATCTTTCACGTTGACACTGGTGCAATCGAGAGTGTTCTTGACACAGTGTCTCATGAACATCTTGTATTCTTTCGTACTCATTTTCTCTGGTTTTGCTACTTGACAATCAATTCCAGACAGACATTCATCGTTGTACCTCTCGAGCTGAAAAATAAAAGATATAAATTGATTCAATACTCGGAGGCCTCACTTCCTCTCCTTTCAAATCATCTGGATTGATATTTAAACAATCTAAACTCGGATTATCTTCTCTAAAATGTTTCAGATACTTCTTGTATTCGGCTTCACTCAGATCATTCAAATTGACGTTACAGTCAAAGCGTTCACATTCCCGTTGATACTTTCTCAGCTGAAGTTCAGGTTGGTGTTAAGAAGGAACCACCGAAAACTATAGTAAGGCGTTAACTTTGAGTATATATATATATACCTCTGTTCCTGTAAAAGATATCAAAAAGTGTTCAACTGACAAAATGTATATCATAATTTGAAAAATATTTTGTCAGTTGACCACCTTTTAATATCTTTTACAGGAACAGGGATAAATTGGCTCAACTTTAGGGGTGGCGTTCGATTAGAGTGTTTACAGTAGACTATTTCTTACTTCATCTCCAGTTAGTTGATTTGGATTGACGTTTGAGCAATCGATCTTAGAATCCTCTTTCAGACACTTTTTGACATATTCCTCATAGTCTGTTTCACTCATTTCCTTCACGTTCTGGTCTTGACAATCAGAAGATTCTCTCACACATTCTCTCATGTATCGCTTCAACTGTTTCTGAGTGAGCTTCTTTGGTTGAACGTCATTACAGTTGAAATCTCTTTGGTTTTCCAAACATTCTTTCCGATATCGAGAATACTGAAAACAAATAATAATTAGAGTACTTTCCAGAACATCTCATACCTCTTTTTCACTCATTTCATCCACATTTTTGCTGCTGCAATCGAATTCTGGATTTTCTCGGAGACAATCCCTTCGAAACTTTCTGTATTGCACCTCGGTCAGATCCTTCACATTGATATCCTTACAATCGGTGGATTTCTTCAGACAAGCTCTTTCGTATCTTGTGTATTGCTCGTCTGTCATTTCTCGAGGGTCCGCAAGTGTGCAATTCGATTCCTTGTTGAGACATTCTTCCTCGTATTTTTTGTACTGAAAAACATTCCGGTTTAGCTATCAAACTACTTTTGTTACCTCTTGGTCATTCAGTGTCTGCGGATCAATTCGAGCGCATTCACCTGCAGATTTCTCCAGACAATCTCTCTCATACTTCTTGTATTCTGCATTGCTCAACTCATCTGGGTTCACATTCTTGCAATTCATTCTTGAGTTCACAGGAGGTGGAGATCGTGGATCAGGACACTCTTTCAGATACATTCTCAGCTGAAAATTAATTTTAATATTTGAATATTCGTATCCAACACACCTCTCTATCACTCAATGTCTTTGGATCCACACTGTCACAATCGAACGGTGTCTCGCCCAGAATGCATTCAATTTTATACTTTTCGAATGCCACGTCATCTAAAGCATCTACATTTTCCTCTTCACACAAGTTGTTTGTTTTCCGAATGACTGGAGAGCACATCTTCTTGAATCGAGTCAACTCTTTCTCATCCATGCTCGATGTGTCCATATCATCACAGTTTCTTGTAGTAAGACACTTCTTCTGGTATTTGCCCAACTGAAATTAATGTGATTTCAAATTCAATTTCCCAAGCAACTAACCTCAATCTTGCCCATTCCCTTCACATCAACATCCTTACAATCTGGACCAGGTTTGATTATTATGATCTTCTTCAAATCGATATTCGGATTCACCAAACACTCCTTGACAAACAATTTGTATTCTTGTTCCCTCATTTCGTTGATCTTCGTCTGCGATGATCCACATCTTCCGTTTTTCCTCACCAGATTATGTGGGGTTCCAGGAATCTCGATAGGATCTAGACATTCCTTTTTGAAAATTGCAAACTCTTCCTCTGACATTTTCGAATGATCTTCTTCACATGGACATTCTTTCCGATACTTTTCTAGATCAGTTTCCTTCAACTTTGATGGACTGGTTGTACAGTTGATGTTCCCTGTGGGCGGGCTCACAACAAATTGGCCAGGTTTCGGGACTTCCGGCTGACCCCGTTCCGTTTTTATCAGCTTCTCAATAAGTTCTTGTCTTTTAGCACTCACTGTCGTTTCACATCTCTGTTTCAGTTCAATAAGTTCCGATACCGACAACTTCTCAAGATCCACAGTTTCACAATCGTCGTCGGTTTCTTCTGGACACCATGGAAGATCTTGTTCAATTGGTGGTGACTCATCATCATCCAACTCAAAGTCAGGCATGACGTTCTCGTCCAAATGCTCAGTAAGGGGTTTGTCGAGTTCGTCGGCTCCTTTCAGGTGGGCGGGACGGAATCTAGAATGTCATTATTACTGTATATCACTAGAAAAATCGCTGTTATTGTTTCTAAAGCGTCTATACAATTCGTTCTGTCCCTATAAATTGAAACTCTACAGTAACCCTTTAAATTGAAACCCTACAGTATCCCTATGGATCGAAACCCTATACTAATTCTATTAATTGAAATTCTACAGTAACCCTATGGATCCAAATCCTAAAGTAATCCTACAAATTGAAATTCTACAGTCATCCTATAAATTGAACTCCTACAGTAGCCCTACGAATTGAAATTCTACAGTAGCCCTGCGAATTGAAATTCTACAGTAACCCTATGAATGGAAATTCTACAGTAGCCCAATAAATTGAAATTCTACAGTAACCCAATAAATTGCATTTCTACAGTAACCCTATGAAATAAATTCCTACAGTAACCCTATAAATTGAAATTCTACAGTAATACTATAAATTGAATTCCTACAGTAACCCTACGAATTGAAATTCTACAGTAACCCTATGAATTAAAATCCGTAAGTAATCATGTGAATTGAAATTCTACAGTGATCTTATAAATTGAAATCCAACAGTAACCCTTAATTGACCACTTTTCAGTACGTCTTACAGTAACCAAGGCAAAGCAACTAAAATTTTAAGTCGACCTGTTATTAGGCAAACGCAACTTACAATTTTGGAACTGGCTGTTTGCTCCTTCCATATGGATCATTGCTCTCCTCAAATCCTGGTCCAATATTCAAATCCAACGACTGATGAGTTTCTTTTCTTTGATACTTTACATGTGGTAGATCCGTATCTCCGGATGCCAAAACACCAGGAACATCAGATTGAATCAAAGATTTGCTCTTCTCAATAGTCAGCTTTTCTGTTCCTGTCGATGGTCCAACAGTTCCATTTTTTGGTCTTGGTCTACACTTGGGGGATCGTGGTGGACGTGGATTCGGACCATTCGGAACTACTGGAACTTTTGGTTCTTCTCCTTTGACGAATTCAACGAATGTTGTACGTGTTGATGTCTCCTGACTCGTATCGAATAGTTCACATTTCCAACGTAATTTTGCTCCGGTAAGAGCCACAAGAGAGATAAGACCCAAAAGGGTCAAACTCTTGAAGCCCATTGGAACAAATGAGACTGGGGACTGTCTGAAACATTTCTGAATTCTAAATGGACCGAAGAAAACAAAAGATTGGAAAAGACGACGAAAAGAACTGAAATGAAGCATTGCATCGCTTCACTCGGCACTTTTATGCAGAAAATTCGGTTATACCGGTTCCCAGAGCTCTTCTGAGAACATTCGGCTAGAGCTGAGAAACCGACATCGGTTTCGAAAGTGGTGATCAAAAATCGGTGTGAATGTGTGTGGGCTTTCCATGAAACTGTGATGACGACTCTATCAAAACTAACCGTTTATTACTCAAAAAAAAACATAAAAAGAAACAAGGTGTTTATACCAAGCAATAAAGACATCATCAAATTGCCTCAAAATGCGAAAAACGAGATAGAAAATGGTAAAAGCCCATAGAAGAGAAACCCAAACGAGAGGAAATCTATTGGTCGAGCTGTACAGAGGAAACATGGAAAAGGTAGGAAATAGGACTAGATGAACAGAAAAAAAGCTAACCGGAATCAAATTGATTTGGAGAACAAGAAGAATGAATACCCAGTAAAGAACAACAAAAAATGAACTGGCCATCACAGACGAGTGATTAGAATTGAGACAATATGGTACCTATTTACAAAAAATTGTTTCAGAATTTAGTGAAAATCGTGCAAGTTTGCAATAGCTCTGGTTGCAGCAATGCGAACATTAACATCTTCCGAATCCTTGAGAAGAGCAACTAGCCCAGTGAAGACTAGTTCTCGACTAATTGTGGCTCTCAATTGAGCAGTGAGACCATCCAAAAGACAACCGGTGAGATGTGCAGCATTGCATCGGATGCGAGCACTGGAACTTTTGAAATAGTTGGATGTTGCCAAAGCGTATTGATTGACTCGATCAGGGAAGGAGTTTGCCTGAAATGGAATAGTTCAGTATAAATCGGATTGATAAGATTCTTCCTACCAGAATAGCGGCAAAGTCTTTGATGAATGAGTTGTAATTGTACGGCTGTTTTCCGTCTTTCATCTCCCGTTCTATACAAATTGAAGCATTCGGCGACGTAAGAAGTTCGTGGAGGCGATATATAGAAACAGCACATTTCTGACGAACTTCCTCGTAATCGTCGTTGAGATGAAGAAGAAGTGACACGATATTGGTATGAAGATGTCCTCGGAACTCCTCACTATTCTCTCCAACTCTTGCTCCAAGCTCTCCAAAAAGACTGAAGGACGCTGCTCGAAGTTCGTAGGAATCTTTTTCGAAGCATGGTCGAACCTTGAGTAGAACAATAGGGAGTATAGACTTCAACTGATCGTTGTTCGTCAGTTGAACCAATTTGTTTAGAGCGAGTATTGATTCGATAGCTACAGTATCCTTCCTGTCGCCATGATCGTCCAAACCTGACATCGCAGCTTCAACAGCCATGTGAACGAACCGGGATATAACGTCAGATGATGAGCACTCAGAAAGCTCCCCCAGACCTTTCACGCAGAGTTTTCGAATTCGAAGACTTGGATCAGTTAGTGAATCTTCAAGACGACGTATGCACTTGACGAGAAGTTGTTCATTGAACTCTCCGGATTCATTGGTGCTTTTCCGTATTAAAGAAGATGCAATTATTACAGCAGCAAGTCTTCTTGGTTCACTCTCACTGTTTGCAAACTCTTCCATGGTTTTTGCAAGTGACGGGACCCAAGCAGGGCGCTGGTCAATAAGAGATCTTATGAGAACCCCAATCGCATGAATGAAGGCTTCCTTGTCCAAACAGTCACTCCAAGCTCTTGCTTGATTCATGTCCTCGATTACCATGTTTGATCGGGTACGATTCAGCAAATTTTTGATTGCTGCCACTGCCATCCCAGCAGGCTTCTCGGCACTTCTGCGCAGATCCGGAGTAATAATCAATGGAGACTTGACGCCATCTTTGCTTTCTTTTTGCATAACAGGGAACTGGGTATCTGATACAGAGCAAATGAAATGGATCAGAAGGGTCAGAATGATTGGAACGCGCTCCATTAGAGCTGATTCGGGCTCTCCATTTTTGACGACTTCAGCTAAAACTGCAACGTAAGTACACGGCTCCACATTGACAACTTTAGCAGATACACCGCCGCCAGAATCCATAATTTCGAACGGTTGATCCAGACTGGCTCCGAGTAATTCTGTTAGATGATCAAGAATCCCTGCGAAGAGGAGCTTATCTCGAGACAAACATTCCCATGCGTCAGTAATATTTCTGAAAAAATTTCATTAACATGATAAAAAACTGAACCGTCTTACATAGAATATGGAAGTGGTTGTTTGAATAATACATCACATACAGCTTGTTGCTGATGAACTGCAAATGCAACAAGTGCAGCAAGAACATCGGTATTTGTTTGAACACAATGATGAATATCGGCGAGTTTTTCCACCATCTTGGTAACAAGGATCTCTGCTTCTGAACTCAGTGTCGATCCTCTAGCCATAACAGCATAAGTCAGCAACTGAGCAGCAGCTGAACTGACGTGGCTTTGTCGATCAGTAAGCATTTCGAATATCGCTGATAGATAAATTTGCATTTGAGATTGGGGAAGTCGGTACTCTATAATTTGAGCAATCGCCTCAATCGCCAATTTTTCTTTCTGTCCATCCAACTTCACATCGCCACTTGTGAGATACTTCTCCACAAAGTTCGAGTAGGAGAACAAACTTTGATCTGCATCACGTCCATGTCCTTTGTGCATGTATGCGAGTCGGAGTGCCCAATGGATAGCTGATAATGCTTGAAGACGAACATGAGCGAGAAGGTCCACCAGACGAGGTGCCAACCGTCCTAGTAGAGAGCTGAGTGGCTCGAAGTCCGATGCATGACCCAGGGATATGTCTTCAGCACATTCATAGTAGACACGAAGAACCAGAACTGTCATGTCTACCGCTCGAATTCGCTCGTGATCTGCTTGTTTCCCATAGTATGGAAGCAATATCTGAAATCATAAGTATAGGATTTAAATCGTGTAAATGAACAATTAAAAAAAGAAATCTTACTTTCAGAAGGATCATAACGGTTTGCGTCGTGGGAGCCATTCTAACAATCTGTTCCAACGCCAAGCCATACTGATGCATCGTTGCATCCATGATAGTAGCTGACTCATCATCTTCCATCTGAAACTAATTATCGGTTCAATTCAGGTCTATTTGATTCCCATGACCCTAATCCCACACAGAAAGATTCTTAACAAAAGCCATGTCAGTAGCAAAATACTCATAAAAATAATTGTTGACGGAAACTGAGACTTTTAGTCGGATGTTATAATAACACTCTATTAGCCAGGATCTCTTCAGGACCTTTCCGTTTACTCCTCGATGTTTGTGATGAATAGTTGTTCCGTTCGGACCTTCTGCAACCGAATTCGTAGTTAATGGCGGTCCGGTATGAATATTGTTATTGTGTCCACCACTGAATGTTGAGAGAACCGATGACGACGCGTAGTCAAAAATATCGAAAGCGAGCTGGAAAAAAGACAAACCGAGTCCGGGAAATTGTTAAATGGGCAAGGTGAGAAGAAGTGGAGAGTAGAACAAAGAGGGATGTGAGGGAACAGGATAGGGAAACGAACGGTACAATGAACTCACTGTTTTCAAACCACTCTTTTCTCGTTGCATTGGAAGAATCTGCCTGCTGAGCACGTTACCGATATCTTCAATATCAGTGGCAGAAAGTGGTGGTTCCAATTGACTAACAAATGAACAGTTATTATCTAAATATTGCGAAATAGGCTGAACTTACACTAAAGCGGCTGTAGCTTTGCATGTCAGGAGTCGCAACGAACTGGTCAGCCATTCTGGAGTTTCCCCATTCAAATAATCCTTCGCGTACGCCAACAACTCATTTCTAGCGTCGAATTTCCATTCTCCTCCGATTCTTGATGGATGTACTGCTGTTGCAATCAACCGCATTGTCTCGAGCATCGCTTCTCTAACCACTGTCTCTTGCTTCGAGTTGGCAAAGTAGTTTCGGAGAAACACCATAATCGTATTCTGAAGTCGTTGGGTTACAGTATCCAGGCTGCACGCCATCACAACATGTCCATAGCAAAGCATTAGAGTTGCACGCAGGTTGATCATCTCAATGTCAGGATACTGTCGAATTGGCATGGTGTCTTTGATAAATCCGAAAATTCCACTGCTCTTCCGTGCATGCTCCCACTTGCTCACGTTCTCAAGCTCAACTAGTACCAAATCCATATGAGATGAAGAAATAGAACCAACGGCCCGAGCACATCCCTGTCTTTCTGACAAAATTGAATGCGAAGCGTTTTTGAACATCATCATCATATGATCAATGACAAATTGCTTGGCAGTAATTTTGGAAAGAGTCACACCTATGCATCTGAAGAGGAACGATTTCTCATCACTCAGGTCCTTGTACATATCCAATTGTTTTCCCATGGCTGCTGCCAAATCTTGTCTCCAATCACCTTCAGGGACCGAAGAAACAAACACAGATAACCAGTCAAGACAAGCTTCATGCCATCTTGCGATCTTTCTGCCTCGAAGCTCTGCAGGAGCGGAGTCTCCAGATGATACTGCCGTTATGGATAGCTCTGAAATATATTTTTCCTTTGAATTGAACATCATTCCTCACGCTCACCATCCAGGAGTGGTTCAAGTTTAGCGCTCCATCTAGATGCAGGGCCTTCCATTGAAGAATGAAACCATGGAGCAATTGCCTCTATCAAACCACCAACTTCTCTTGCTCTTCTCGTCAGCAGTCCATTAAGTGGGGCATTACAAAAAGAAGTGAACAAACGAGCAAGGACTGCATGACGTCCAGCAACTTTAGCTGAAAATTGAAACATTTTCCAAAATAATCGAATGATATAAAAACTAACGATTATCGAATCCTGTAGTGTAATCCATCTTGCGTCCAGCTTCGGCTTCCCGGTTAACCAATGTTCGCAGACACTTGCAAAGATCTCCTACAACTGGTGTGTACCGTTCACAACATAAGAACTCTAGGAGGTATGGCCATAAAAGCTTCGTAGCACAAACACATGTGTTAGCGATTGTATATAGAGCTTGAGCACATTGAGTTCTTAGTTGGTTCAATCCAGCCACATCGATTTCAATTTTCTTGGCAGCAGCTTCCTGTTCAGTTGGGCCAACAAGATTCCTGACGAGGAAAGCGATAACATAATCACCTCCTTCTGCATCAACGTAAGAATGATCAGCAAGCGCAACACAAAGTTGGACTATAGCTCTTTTGACCTGAGACTTGATGGTGATCAGTATGATAGTAATAAATGCAAAGAAACTTACTCGAATACTTGTAGTGTTTTCCGCAGCCAAAAGTTTCTTCAATCCCATTGTCAGTAACGACCTTTTGTCTTCCATGTGTTGTCCAGTAGCATTCAAAAGATGTCTCAAAACGTTTATAGCTCCTAGTTTTTGAGAATCAGCAACATTTTGCATTTTGTGCAAAAGGTAATACACAATCCTGTCTGCAAACCTCGTGGCAGCTACATCAAAACAACGGAACGCTTCTGAATGATTTTTGATTGCCTGTGTTCCAAGGGTTACTGTAGTATCGTCCGGGTCAAGACATGCATTCGGAAATAATGCGTTCAGAATATCCTCCAAATACGGCTCCAGAGGACATACTTCGTCTACGCAAGCGGCTTCAAGAAACCGGCATATTCCTTGGGTGATCATGTGAGATTCGTTATAGGATTTTCGATAGAGAGGGAGCATATTTGTTACAATCTTCTTGACGTCTTCAACTAGTCTAGTTTGTTTGATCATCAAGCAGAGCTCTCCGACGCATTCTGCTGCTTCGCCGCGAGTCTGAAAAAAACCAATAAATAGTTTTCAAATCTCAACTTCATACCTTCGGATCTTTGCTATAAATCCAACCAAAAACAACATCATAAACAGCTTCTGTTTGATCTGAATATGTGGCTCGATTGGAGACTTCTTGACAATGTCCGAATGCGGAGTTTGGTCGTGAATGTTCTCCATTGAATTCTTCGGAAGCTTCCTTCGGCCTTTCCGTTTCGCATTCTCGTACGGCTTCACAGAACGAGCAAATCGCGCGAGCCCAGGCACATCTCAAAGGATCAGTTTTTACATGTTGAAGAAGAGGAACTGTTCGTGACAAAATATCGGTGAGGAATGGAACCAATCCAAATGCTGGAAAAAAGTTGGGTTGACTAGACTTTACTCTTATGAAAACTCACGATTATGATTTGCAATGGTTGCCATAGTCAGAACGATGTACCGATGAGGACTTGTCGTCTGGCCAGGTGGAAACTTCTGTAGAATTGCATCAATAACATGGCATACAAATCGTTGATTTTTAGCCAGTGTGACCAGAACTTCCATCGCCGACTCAGCCCATTCTACGTCCGTATCCTTGGTCATATTCATCTCTTGGGTTGCTAAATTTATAATTAGCATAACGAGTTGCTCATCCAACTTTGGTAGCACTTCTGTGTTATCTACGCATATGGAAATTGATTGAAGGACAAATGCCCTTTTGAATGTTCCAAGCTGAAAAATTGTGAAACTGTATTTTTTGTTTAAAAAAATCATGAATTACTAGGTTTCTGTCTAATATAGTAACAAATTCGTGTGCTTACTTTCGGATTCTGTAATAAGTACTGATGACATGCTGTAAGCAATACATTCGGCTGATGAGCTCCGATGGTTTTCAACGATTCAGCCACTTCGTTTTTGACACTTTCTTGGCTTTGATAGGTGATTGCCGTGTCCAGCAAACTTATCACCAGGTCTGAAGAAAACTTTTCAAATAAAGATTATTTTTTAAAACAAACCCAGCAAGCTGGAAACCTGAGTAGTTGCTGCCATTGTGTAGTTTGTGCTATGGCTACTGTCGCAATTCACATAGGGAATTCCTGCAAAACGAGAAATAAGGGTCAGTAACCTAAGTGATTGTAAAGAGAGAGAGAGAGAGAGAGAGAGAGAGAAAAAATATTGACGGCGATGGATAGAAAAACGAAACACAGGAGGAGGAGGTAAATTGAGTAACAATGTATATATTCGTAGAGTATAGCATGATGTGTATTACGCAGAGGGAAGGAGAAACAGACCTAGACCAGTTTTGCGCAGATAGCATGACTAAGTCGAATGACTTTTATTTCTAAATAGATTAATTGGAATTGATAATGTTGGGTTAAGAAGCATATGCAGGCGGTGCAAAATGATTAACTTTCAACGAAAAAGATAACGGCAGGTGGTATCGGTTCTTTCTATTGGAAAAAAGAATCGATTGTGTCGTGCCTTTATTTATTTTTATGGCTCGCGGGACACACAAAAAACACACAAACAGCAACAATATTAGCTGCGCTGTTCTGTCGGGCCTTTTTTTACAAATTAGATGAAGAGAATTTGAAAGGTAAATGAGGAATAGCATTCGTATCGTGAAAGAATAGAAATCAACTGAAAGGGAAAAAAGCAAACAATTGTGCAAATAAACTGGTACATCATGAAACGGAAAAGAAGGAAAATCCCTTGGAAAACTGTGATTTATGCACAGAAAATAATAAATTGTGAAAAGATACAGTACACCATTAAAGGGCTGCAATGAAAAAGCTTTGTGGGTCTTGAAATGAGTTTAAAGGGACATGGCTTCAAGAGTTCGGCACAACAGAAAAGGTCTTCTTTTTTTCTGGCTTTCAAAAACAGCTCATGAACTGCGTTTTTGATTTCCAATTTTAAATTGCCAGCAATGGTCATAGTCTTGTTCATTCTAACGTTCGCGTTGAAGTACTTTGTTATGAAATACAGGTTGCGAAAATTGTCTTTGTTCTGGAAAAAACAAACTGCTTCTTTTTTGTTGTGCATATTGATTTCCATGGTTCCGCTGTGTGGTGCCAAGCTTCGTGGCACATGCGTTTTCGCAATTTGTTCTTTCAAACTAAAGTTTTTTTCAGTTAACTGCTGTTGCGATTGCTCGCTTATTCGATCGATCTTCAACCTCGTGACTGAAAGTTCGCTGTAACAATGAAGGTTCGTTTTCTCATTAGTGTTGTCTATATTCGCCGGTTGATCGATATTCCATTCTGTCAAACAAATATTCTTTTGCGTTTTTTTTTGTAAATTGTGACTCACATAGATATATCTGAAAATTTCCTTTTTCAAGAGAAACCAAGTTGAAAACTGAACTTGTGTGCACGAAAAGAACATATGCGTCAGTTCTAACATGTCTGGCGTCTCTTCTGCCCTCTACACTTATGTTTTCTGTTCACGGGTCGACTGTGTTGGGTGTAGACCAACCAGCTATCCTTTTATTGATTCCGCTTCCTTTCGTAACATTTTTTTTTTCAGAAGTTGAATAGAACTTTCCCGATGTCAGCCTACGAAGATTTGCTCACAAAAGTTACAGCACCGACACTTACCACAGAAAACTGGGAAGGAATTCTTGGGTTCTGTGATATGGTAACAGTAAAAGTTTTGTTAAATACCATATTTAAAACCAAATTTCAGATCAATAAAGATTATGAGGGTCAAAAAACTGGATTGAAGGCTCTTCGTAAGCGACTAAACAACCGTGACCCACATGTAGTTCTTCTTGCCGTTTCTGTTCTCGACTCATGTTGGGCAAATTGTCAAGAACGATTCAGAAAAGAAGTTTCGTCTGCTCAGTTCATCAATGAACTCAAAGCACTTTGCACTTCGGTGAGTGTTTCATTGCTCGTCGATGTATATTTCCAATGTTTCTACAGAGTCAGCGTCAAGTTGCTGAAAAAATGCGGTTGACTCTTCAAAAATGGGTTGATGCCGAATGTAAAAATGAACCATCACTTTCATTGATCGTTTCTTTGTACAAAAATCTTGTTGCGGACGGATATTCATTCACTGTGGATGATCCAAAAAGCAAGAAGAAAGCGATTGATGCGAAATATGCAAACGACCCGAACTATGTAAGTTAGATCTAAAAATTTAAAGTATATTTCTTAGAGATTAAAGGTTGGATCCGCACAAGAAGAAGAAGATATTGCGAAAGCCATCGCTGCTTCACTGGCTGACGCTGAAAAACAAGTTAAAAAATCAACTTCTTCATCGATGTATCCATTGACGAAGTCTACGAGCCCACCAACTCAATCCACTCCAAACTCAGAAAGGAAAGTCAGAGCTCTGTATGATTTTGAAGCCGCTGAAGGCAACGAACTTTCGTTTGTTGCTGGAGATATTATCACTATTACAGACGAAAGGTAAGCAAAGAACAGTTTCGAAGAATTCTTCAGCTTTTACTTTTCAGTAATCCTCATTGGTGGACGGGGCGTATTGGCACTCAACAAGGGTTGTTCCCATCCAGTTTCGTGACGAACCAACTTGATGATACGAAATCAAAAGATGCCGAGGCTTCTCAAAAAACTCCAGAAGTGGTTGCCTCAATCAACGAGGCTGTGCTTGTTCGTTGTCTTCAAGTTCTTCACGAATGTGATCCCACTGGAGAGCGTCCAGATCCTGCAGATTTAGCTCAACTTGAAGCTGCTTCATATGCTCAAGGAAGTCTTATCGATGCTCATCTGGCAAGCATAGATCGACAGAGTAATTCATTGGCTCAAATTGACATTGCAATTCGCGATGTTCTTGCTCTTTACGATGACGCTGTTCAGAAAAGCGGGTTCCAGCCGAATCAACAGATGTATCAACAGCAGATGCAACAGTATAACTATCAGCAACCGGTGAGTTCATTAGAGGACGAGTTTCAAATTAAAAAATGAAAAATTCAGCAAGCACCCTACTACCCACCAGCAGGACAACCTCCACAGCAACATCAGTATCCACAGCACTACAATCCAGCTGTACAACAACAACAGCAACCACAACAGCAGCAGCAACAACAACATCAGTATGGATATCCTCAAAATGTGGCACCGGCTCAGCAAGTTCCACATCCTCAACATCCTCAGCAGCCACAACAGCAACAACAATGGGCTCCAGCACCTCAGAGCCAACAATATTAAATAGAAAATTGTGTCATTGCCTTGTACGTACCTTCTCTGCCCTTCTCATCACTTTTCGCAACTGTGATCACTACTTCTATTCGCATACTTATTTATCCAACAGTTTCATTCACTCGGTTCCCCGTTTCTGTATAGTCTTGTGCTTCCCCTTCTTTCATTTCTGCCATAACAAAGTGAGATAAAAGAGATGATTATTTATTATTAAGCTCATGAATCAAAAAAAAATGATGGCACAAAAAAGTGTACACGAGAAGTTATGAATCACAAAAGATCTGGATCAAAAGCTGGCATTGCAATCGAAGCGTTCGCTGCACGAATGGATCGTTTACCCCATCCACCTCCACCCCATCCACCGCCTCCTCCGCCCCATCCTCCTCCACCACTTCCCCATCTGGATCCTCCCCATGGATCACCTCCTCCCCATCCACCTCCATTTCCACCCCATCCGCCTCCTCCGAAGTCATCGTTTCTTCCCCAACCGCCACGTGGCGGCTGACGAGATGGATTATTTTGGCGGACTTGAGCGACTGGAGCGACGGAACCCGCAGTGGTTCCACACATTCTACGGAGCTCGGATTGAGTGTAGCAACTGTTACAGCTCGAACGACAGTTTTCAGCCATCCAAGGGTTCTTCTGACATTCTCCAACGCGAGCCCATCCAGCACAGGATCGATGGTAATCGACGCATGCTGAAATTCGAAAAGTATATGTTTTAAATGAAATAAAAAACGTACATCCGTAGTTATAATCCTCTGGGAAGCAATGTCCACAGGACACTCTACAATTACAAGCCATATATCCAGTATTCTTTCTGCACTCTCCCATTAATCCCCATACTGCACAACAGACGTTTTCATTGTAACATCCATCCGAATTATCGCATTGTTGAGCCGGAGATGGTGTAGTTGTGGTTACTGTATTTCCGCCACCACCGCATTCTTGAGCACGAGATCTTCCACATTTATTACAACTCTTTCTACAGTTTTCAGTCATCCAGAGTGCATTCTTTGTGCATTCCCCAGAACGCGACCAGCTGGCACATTGAGTGTGACGGTCAGTGCAATCTGGAGAACTTCAGAATAGAGATAGAACGTATGGAATGATTTAGCTTACCATCAGCCAGTCTATACTTTGGTTTACACACACCGCAACTAGCCTTGCACCATTCATTCATATAAGCGGTGTTTCTCGAACATTCTCCAGAAGCTGCCCACGATGCGCAACACTGGTTCTCGTTGAAGCAAGACTCTTGCGATTGCACTGGATTTGGATTAGCTGGAGGAGGAGTCACTGGAGCTGGAGTTGGACGAGGAGCTGTGGCGGAAAGAACACAGACTCCATTCTGACAAACTCCAGAGAAGCAAGGATTCACACGGAACTGGCCACATTGGGATCCATGACGAATACGAGAGACACAACGAGCAACGCCTGTTGAAGTGTCACAGAAAAGGAATCTGAAAGTAGTTATAAGTTGAGACAAATCTTTTAATTATCATACTTTGATCCACAATCTCCTCCTGCTTGGCATGTTGGTCGTGGTGCATAACTGTAGAGGTTGTCAGTGAATTTATTGGATAGACCATCGATGTTTCTAAAAGAGTTTTAATTCTTATTTCAGATTCAAAAAAAGAAAAACCTCATTGGACTGAAAGGTTGCATTGGTGATGCACCAAAGTGTTGTGGTGAAGCACACAATTGGTTATCTGGAGGGAAAGCAATTTCTCTATCAGCTCTTGATTGTCTTGCTAATCTCCACATTTCCCATACAAAGTCGATGAACGAATGATGGAGGAAGAAAGATGGGTCATTTGATGACGTAGCAGTATCGAACATGTCTCCTCCGACGAAGATGTGAACATTTCCATGGGTGTATTCTAAACAGTTGAAATCAGTTCTGTATGGGCATCCTTGTTGTGGTGCAGTGAACGAAAGAACTTGATCAATTTGAGTTTGCCTCATAACGAAATCTATATCTGCTTGAGAAAGTGGAGCTCCTTGAGCACCAACAGCTCTCTGGATTTGAGCTCTTCCAGCCAAGGTTCTCCAATTAGTGAAGGGACCATTGCTGACAAGTCCGGTACCTCCGACTAGATATTCACTGTAAAGGATTTTCATTGTATTGTGACTGTTGGAAAAATTACCTGAACATGATAGTGTCTGCTGGTCTTGGAAGTCCAGAATCTAGAGTGGAATCCCAATACGGCAGACTAACAGATGGATCGACTTGTCGGAGAGCGAACTCCACCCGTTTCACAAATTCACGATGCCAGGGAAGGAAAGCTGGACCTGAATGAGCACCACCAGCAGCTGACATTTGAGAGTGAATTCTTCCGATTCTATCGTATTCTCCATTCTGAATTTATGGTATTCTCAATATCTCTATCATAGCTGTCATACATTTTTCAATGCTCTAAATGCTGCATGAAGTCTATTTCTCTCATCGTCCGTGAGCATACGGTATTCCTTTCGCACTGATTTCTGAAGTGGTTGCCCATTTGGAAGAGTGCATCCTCCGTTTCCAGTGGCAGTTCCTCTCAAATAAGAGCATAGACACGGCAGATCCATACACTGATAGATATTCGATGCAATTGGAGCAAACTCTGCTGCCATTCCCTTTGCGAGTCCAGGTGGTAGGGCAATCTTCTTCTTTTTCGATGCCTCCTGCAATCAGATTTTTGACCTCCAATTATTTTCTGACCGAAATGTCCTTGACCGTCGTTATCACATAAAAAACGTCTCTTTCACAACAACATACCCGAGCGCCATCGTCCCATTTGTGAATTTGTCTACATAGAATTTTGGCAGTTGCTGTTGGAGCACTCGCACACGGATCTTCTTGTGCCAGAAGGGATGAAAGGAGGAAGATCAGAAGGGTTAGCGGGATAAGAGACCGCATTGTTTGAGGCCGGCTGACCTGAAAATCAAAAGATGAATGTTCATAGAATACTATGTTGTTGTTAGTTCTGAACAAGGATATGAGATTTGTTTGAAGGAAGTGGAAGATGTTGAATGGGTATAATCGTTACCATTATAGAAGAAATTTATATTCTGTTGAAAGTAAAAATTTTAAATTTCAAGTTAAAAAGATCCTTCACTAACAAAATAAATTGAAAGCTTGTTCTGGCTTTTTAATTAAGAAATCATATTAATTGGCTTTCGAGAGCTTCAAAAAGAGTATAAACATGACCCGACTCCAAGAATTTCAAATTTCCCTCCACAACTTGTCCACGAGGATTCCAAAACTCATTATCAAGAAGGTAGGTCATGATTATACTCATTTTGAAGTTTTGAAAAGCTCACTCGGAATAATTGAAGCAGCTTCAGGATTTTTGAAGTTTTATAACTAGGAACAAATATTGCTTTTCAAAAATGAATATGACAAGAAATCCTCCAATTCAATCCTTTTAAAAATTAAATTTCAGGAAAAATCAAATTGGTAAAGATTGTGAAGAGAATCAAAACTAGTTCGATTCGATGAAAAGTAAGATAATGAAGAAGACGGGACGCCTTCTCCGTTTTTTTTCTGTCTCGGTCATTTTTTGTAACAGTTTTGTTCTCTCTTCTTCTTCCTTCCTCCTTCTCTCCATTATTTTTCTGTGAAATTCGCTGATCTTCTTGATAATGGCCAACTTCATGATGTCATTAGAGAATGGTTGACAAAGAATTGGCCGAGGAAGTCGATGATTTTTTTAGTGTTCCGTAGAGATATTGCATCTGAAAGTCTGCGAAATTTTCAGATTATTTCCGATGCGTCATCCATTTTTGTAAAAAATTCAAAAAAAAAAGCAAATCAACCGATTTCCGTAGCCAAGTATCATTGTTGTTGTCCTCAGTGAGTTTGACGTTACGTTTGGAGTCCAAAATGTTGTCTATATTTGGTTTTTCACATTTTTTCACCTGATATATGTCCTTTCAAAAAAAACTGTACATAGGTCATAAAATTATATTTTGAGAAACAATGAGAAAATTCGTTGTTTCAATGATCTTGTGATAATTTGACCAGAAGTGAAGAATGGAAAGCAACGAAAATAATTTGATTCTACTAGACTGTTTAAACATTTTCTTTCAAATGAGACACAAAAATAGACCGGACCGCTGAAAGATGTGAACAGGCGAAAAACAGTTAATTGCTACCCAAGTGGGTCCGTTGGAGACCTGTCGACGGACCATCAAACTTGATAGAAAAACGAGTACACTCCCGAAATTTATTTTTTATAAAATATGTCAGAACCATGTGATACTGTAAATGGTACTGGCATCGAGTAATGAACATTTGGTTTCAAGGAAACTTCAAACTTCTGATAAACTTTGAATCCACTAGATCCGGTTTACATACTCTGGCATCGCCGGCAACTTCTGGATGGAGGTTTGTCAGATTTTGGATAAGATCGCTACTACAATCGACCAAACTTCGACAAACGCTGACAAGATTCCGACCTAGTGATATTTCAACATTCAACTTCCGACCAAAATCTGACCAATGGCCCGCCATGCAGCCGTTTTTGGGCAAGTTCCGTCCAGAACTTGTCCAATGTCCGTCCAAAACCAGAACCCCCTTTCAACTTCTGACAAGAAATTACAACCCAATAGTTGAGTAGTGCAATTCGTTCCAGACTTTTCTCGTTGCAGTGTTCAATATTTTAAATTTATGACTGAAGCATTCTCTACAGTAATATCTGGATTTCCAAAATTGGAATTCCGACAAACACAACACACAATTTTTGTTTGCACTGGAAAACCCATTTCCTTGAATCATTGTCAATCACTGACCAATTTTGGCCTTCTTCTTCCCCTATTTTTCTATCACACCATGTGATTTTTTTAATTTTTTTTCCTGCCAAAATCTTCAAGAAAGAAATCAGAATCAACGGCGCGGAACACATTTCTTCCTTGTTGTTGTTCGATTCGTTGTCCATTCTCCACACCTTTCGCTCGGTTTTCAAGAGTTTTCTTCTTCCATTTTGTGTAATCTTTGGCTTAGGGTGTCCTTTTTTGCCTCTTCACTTGATATCTGTTGGGCGTGTTTGCGTGAAAATCGGAACGAGTCAAAAACAGTCGAGACCCATATTCCGTCGTCGACGATGCCCGTCTCTCGTCCTGGTTTGTTTTTATTTTACTTCAATTTTTTGAAGCCTTATATTTAGATGCAACATGCTTCAGCCGTAACAACAAACAACGACGAATCGAGCCACTTGTGATGCTCGATTCAAAGGATTACGGTAGCTGGCGTAACAGTCCTTCAGCATCTCCAAGTACCAATAAGCAGAGTCCACCTGTCTTTCAAGCTGAAAAGAAGAGAGTGCATTGGCGGAAGTCTTAAATGTTCAATGTATATTTTGTAAATAATTGAGTTATTGCTTACTTACATACAATACAAATAAAAAATTGAATTTTGAGCTTTGACAGAAACTTTGTTGAGAGATCCAAAGAGTCTTTGCGGGAAAGAAGAGATCTGATGAATATGTAAATTAGTTGGGGGCAACGAGTCAACTGGTGTCGAGTCTTTTCGGAATTCATTTGCAGTGAAAGTGGATGATTGTCAAACGAAAAATGTTTTCTGAATTTGGTAACTATTTCAGAAACTCAAAAAGTATTTCGAATGAACTTTTTAGCATTCAGAAAAACATCCAATACCGTATAACCATAAAAAGCACACTGTCACGTTCGAGCTCAATTATCTCGGCTCCTATTTGAGATATCAAAAAAGTGTTAACTGATAAATTGTTTATCATAATCTCTCCAATGTTTTATCAGTTGAACAATTTTTATTCTATTACAGGTTTTATGGTAATTACAAAGATGTCGAAATGAATGGTAATGTCCTTCTTTGGATGATGTTACGGTAATGTCGCAGTCTCTTTAAAAACGTGTCCTGAACAAAGTTTTGAATCCCCGAATATGTCATCTACGTGCTATGCCAACTGATGTTATACTCTTGCAGTATCTTACAATATCAGTTTTACTTCTCCTTCCAAGAGTAAATAAATCCCCCACACAAACAACCATGGTTGGTTTTTCTTCTCTAAAAAAACCTCAAACTCCTAATTTCAGAGTTTTGATGAAATCGACAAGACATTTGGAACCAAGAACCGCGATCAGGGATACGACATGCTCAAAGCGGTTGGTCGAAAATTGCGAAACTAAAAAAAAAACAAATTCAGCTTTCAGCGTCTCGACAAAGGAGATCGTTCTGTTGAGGTTCTCTGGAGACTGGCTCAAGTGATCCATGAAAGATCAGCTTGCATGCCAAAAGCTCAAAGAAAAGCGGCCATCAACGATGGATTGAAGTTTTCGGAAGAAGCTGTTCAGAAGGATTCAAATCACTTCAAGGCATTGAAATGGAATGCAGTTCTCATTGGACAAGCCACCGAGTACATGCCGACAAAGGAGAAATTGGAGTGCAGTAAGAAGTTCAAGGAACTTCTGGATAAGTCACTAGCTAAGGAACCAAAGGATACTGCTCTGCTTCATCTTCGTGGTCGTTACAAGTTTTCCGTTGCCTCGTTGACATGGCTTGAGAAGAAGCTGGCTTCCACCTTCTACCAACAACCACCATCTCATTCCTACGAAGAAGCCAATGAAGACTTTTTGGCAGCCTACAAAGTGAATCCAAAGTGGATGGAGAATCTCTTCTTTATTGCAAAGTGCTATGTAGCTCTCAAGGATAAGAACAATGCTCGCAAATATCTCACTGAGCTTTGCGACATTGAACCATATTCTGATGCCGAACAGGAATTCCTCGATGACGCCAAGGCAATGCTTTCGAAGCTCTAAATCAAATAACAACATCTCGTCACAAGTTCCATCCATCAACAATCCAGATCTTCATTCAATGTCTCTAATCTTGTATTGTAAAAAAGAATAAATAAAATTTGAGTGGTATTCTTGTTTCTTTTTCTTCCTACCAACTCGAATTTCATAAGCATTTCTCTAAGTAGCCATCAATCACATGTCAAGAAACCGAAAACAAGCCGAAAATTATAAAATTTCAAGAAGTGAGCAGATCCCGAGGGGCGCGGCGCTCATCCTAAATGAAAACCCGCACACAAGGCGCTATATAATGCTTTCCGAAATATCAATCATGTTTCCCTTCCTCGCCTCTCAGCGCCTCCTCATCCTCCTACCGTAGTCGTTTATGAACCGAGCCGCGAAGATCTCCCATGAGACATTCCAGTCTTACGATAACTCCGCCCTTAAAATGCAACATCTTCGCTCATTCTACCGATGATGTTCTCCTCGATCGACTCTCTTCTGAAATCGTCTTCTCCTTCGCCTCCTGCTCCACCTCTAGACGAACAAAAGTCAGCCTCAGATCATCAATTTTTTAATTATTCAACCAGCTGTTCCGAAGAATTGATGAAAATGGCAGCCAAAGCTGCTCATATTGCGTCTCAAACTTCCAGTTGCATCGAAAACTCTTTTCCACTGCCCCAATGTAAGTCAACAAAATAGTTTCGACCACGGCAGGATTCGAACCTACAATCTTCTGCTCCGTAGGCAGACGCGTTATCGATCCATTGCGCCACGCGGCCACATTTTCATACGCAACGCTAGTACCTATACTAAACGTTTGTAGCCTCGCCCTCCGAAACAACAGTGCACCCTCTCACATACACCTCGCTGGTTCAACTCCCAATAATTTACGATCATCTGGCCCTAACATGTAGGTGCGAGACAAATGAGAATGGCGTTGTAAAAATGTCTTCAGATTCAGTGAATGCGTGGCAAGCATGGGGAAAAATGAGAAGGCCTAGGACTGCATTCAGTAGTGAACAATTGGTTCAATTGGAGAAGCAGTTTTCGGACAATCGGTATCTGAGCAGACCAAGACGATACCAATTGGCACAACAACTATCCCTTTCGGAAACTCAGGTATGCATAGATATGTTAATACTATTCCTATAATCTTGGATCTAAAATATTTCTAGTTTCGGATCTGTTTTTTTGAAGGGTACAGGTGTATTACTTTTCAGTCTGACTATGCGATTATTCAAGCCACTTGTGCGGTAATCATGATCTTTTTAAAAATATTTTTTCCCTCGCGTTTTCTGATGAAATGCAGTTAACGCTGAGTAGCGACTCAACAGTTCAACTTAAAGCTTTCGCGTCGAGACCAACGCTAATTTTACTGTAGTATTACGGTAGTTCGGGTTTGAGCACATTTACAAAAGGTTTCGAAAAAACCACCGAGTGGTAATCTCGCACGGCGATTTTCTCGGAACGTTTTGTAAATGTGCTCGAACACTAATTTTTCAAAGAGGCGTTGGTCTCGACACGAAATATACAAATTGAACTGCCGAGTCTTACACCTGCATTCCATCGGAATGAGCGCGTGAAAAATAAGTTCAAAGTGTCTGGTTGACGAGTACAAATCAACTTCTACAATTTTTAACATAAAAAAGACATCATGGTACTTGTTCGACTCCTTGTAATCCCAAATAATTTCAGATTAAAATCTGGTTCCAAAACCGTCGAATGAAGAACAAGCGATGTCCATCATCCACCCCAACTCCATCTTCTTCTTCTCAAACTTCCTCATCCACCTCCTCCACCTCCTGTCAATAATAATAACATAAATATTCGTTTCCGAATACTTTCACTGTCAGAATAAATTTGAATTTCTCTTCCGTGTACGATACAAAAACTATGGGAAACCTGTCAAGTGATTACGCCTTCGTTTGTGTGTATGTGACAATGATATTCATCTCTGCTGACTATGAGAAACAAAAAAATGCCACAGTCGAAAAAAATCGGATATTCTCTCTCTCCCATGCTTCTACCTTCTTTCTTCTTCTTTATTTTTTCTTATCATTTCTCCCAAAAAAACACGTTACCTGGTTGCCTGGGGGTGAAGGCAGAAATGGAATGAAACTAGATTTTCAAGGGTATTTATGTTCGATTTAAGTTTCATTGTCTCCGCCTCCTGTACTTATCTCATTATACTGTCATTCTGCGGGTCTGATTGATGTATATTTCTGTTTATACCATTCAGTTTATAATTATATAGTCGCTTTAAAACTTTCGAATTCTTTTCAGTAATTATGTCGACCACAAGTACAGTACTTCTGTTCATCACTTCTATTTGCGGTGTTGTAATTGTTTCCAGTCTCTTGGTGGCTGGATCGCTATTCTTTGATGCTCAATCATTCTTGGAAACTTCACTAGACGATATGGAATCATTCAAAGTATTCAGAATCTTTATTTTATTTATTCATTGAAATCAACCTTTCAGCATTATTCTGATGTAGCCTGGAAAGATATGATTTCTTCAAACACTTTCGACAGAAAGAAGAGAGATGAAGAAGACAAATCATGCGGTTGTCCATGTGCCAAAGGACCGAACCACTGCCCACCAGGAGAGACTGGACCACCAGGACCACCAGGACTTCCAGGTCAGTTCGTCTAGATTTTTCAACAAAGATACTTTATCCATCTATGTAATAATTTATCACAATGGAAAGGGTGTTGGCCAATTGTCATAGTTTACATAACATAGGCCTTATTTCTAGATCACTTCCCCACAATAATTATAAATTACAAGATACGATGACTTGAATATGATCTGAATATCAGAAATTTGTTTCAAGGAGCTGATGGAGAAGCTGGAAACCCAGGAAAAGACGGAAACGCTGGATTTTCCTTGGTGTTCGAGGACGAGAAGCTTCCATGCATCAAGTGTCCAGCTGGAGAACCAGGAGCTCCAGGACCAGATGGAGAACCAGGAGCCCCAGGACCTGTCGGTCAACCAGGAGCTCCAGGACCAGCTGGAAACCCAGGAGCACCAGGAGAGGCCGGACCAGAAGGAGAACCAGGAGATGCTGGAGCACCAGGAGAGGCTGGAGCATCAGGAGCAGATGGAAAGAACGGAAGCCGTGGAGCAGGACTTCCAGGACCAGCTGGACCAGAAGGACCTGCAGGAGAGCCAGGAAAGGATGGCCAAGAAGGAGTCCATGGAGAAGTTGGAGCTGATGGAAGTGAAGGAATTCAAGGAGCGCCAGGAAAAGATGGAGAGAAGGGAACTGATGGAGTCGCAGGCCAAGATGGTGCTCCAGGAGCTCCAGGACCAGATGCTGCATACTGCTCTTGTCCAGAAAGAACTAAGATTGTGTTTGCCAGTGAATCTCCATAGGTCTTCTTGTATGATCACTAATTTATACATTGTTATGTTGGTTTTTATGAATATTATAATATTTTTTACAATAGTACAGTTGACACGATTCATTATAGAGTTAGACGAAAAAGATGTTAAATTCATCAAATGAAAGAGATGGGAGATCAAGGAATGAGATCGAAAACGAGCACCGGGTTTATAATAAACTAATAGCATGTTATGGGATTGAAGAAGCATCGATTCCGTTCGATTATTTCAACTCGTCGCTTCAGAAGATCAAGTCCGCGTTTAGCTCTGAAAAAAGGAATATTTTTAGATTCAGAATGAGCAAATTTATCTACTTCCTTTAATTTTTGAATTTTTTATAGTTTCAAAGTGTAGTCTATTTGTTTCTCACCTGTTATCTCCATTTTCAACAAAGTTCGCAGCACGTTCCTGAGGTTCAAAGTACTGTTTTGGAATACTTTCTTGATTGATGTCGTCGTAGGATCGGAGGAACTGAAAATCAAAAAAATCAAAATACATAGATTTTATACAAACGATAAGTGGGCTGAGCCGGGGATCGATCCCGGGACCTCTCGCACCCTAAGCGAGAATCATACCACTAGACCACTCAGCCACGTTATGAACACGCGTTTAAGTGTGATAACAAAACCAGGGAGGTTTCCCGGAGAGAGAGGTGACAAACTGATAAGGGTAAATAAAAGTGACAGTTTTCGATTTCTTACCAGACTCCGAAGAGGAATCGCTGTCGAGAAGCTGCAAAGTAGAATAGCGAAAAGAACAAACAATGCAAAGTTTCGCGACATTTTTTTGAATTACCTGCTGAAACAATGTGTTTAGAGTGCGGTATAATGAACAGTACGGTAAAAGCAATTAGAGAAAGTTTGAAATTCAAAAGGTGAAAAGATACTAGAAGATTGTTCTGGAATCAGAAGAGTAGGAAAATCATAAAATTCTGAAATAATAGAAGGAAGAAAATAGTCAGAAGCTTCTAGAATACGGTAAAATGAGGTTCAAATGCCAAAATATGTTAGTATCCGATTTTCTGGTTACTTTAGGTACAGTATCTTACCAGAATGAAATTCCCATAAAACAAAGTTTTGAAAATGAAGAAATTTGCTATCTATAAGCCTAGGTTTCATCATTTTTTGCAAACATAAAAATTTCCGAATTCTTGATCCTCTGGGTCGGTTCAAGGTAGTGACCAGCTTACTAGAATACTGAAAAAAAAGGAGTGGCTAGTTGTATTTTTACGATTCAAAATTCCTTTATAGTGGAAATTGTAGGCGCATCTGGGAACGAAAGACTCCGCCCCACTACTTCCAAAGTAGTGAGCTTAGTAAAGGAGGCGGGGCTTATGGAAGTATATAGTTTTTGGGGATAAATTCAAAAATCCCTCCCATCCACCTCCTAGTACAGCTAATCCTCGAAATTTGAACCAAAGATTTGAAATTTGAAATTCGAAAAAAAGGAAAAAGGTCATGCCTAGGCAAAGCACACAATTTGCAGTTTTGAAGAGAAGAGGGAATATATAAAGAGGAAAGGACGATTCTCACGTTCTCGGATGAAATTACATTGAGAAGAAAGATTTGGGTTCATCCCAAAGAAGAAGAAGAGGCTTTTGGGATGAATGTGAAGAGGCGAGGACCCATTAGTGGAAAGATGGAAATAAAACGATTCAGATGATGAAGGGAGTGGGGGTGTCATCTTGTGACGTCTTCTGAGAAATAACGATGTCTTTCACTCGTCATTAGACAATTGACATTAAATTTTCGAAAAAATGAGATGTTCGACACCCACCAGTTTGCACAGATTTAGCAAATTGCCTAATTTTCTTGGAGTATTTGAAATTCAGAAGTCATGCGGAGTCTGGTTGTTTTATTTGTCAAAATCTGGGGCTCAGGCAGGGACGCTCGGAATGTCGCAAATTCCGAGTTTCAAAATTTCTGAAATTCAAAATTCCGGAATAATACGGTTTTAAAAGTTACTGGATTTTGGAATGTCCAAAATTCCGATTGTCAAAACTTCAGGACCTCGGAATTCCGGAATATGGAGATTTTGAATGTTTCGGAATTTCGGAATATTCCAATTTTGAAAATTTTGGGACTTCGGAATGTTCTGACTTTCTGCATTTCGGGATTTCGGAATTCTGGAATATCACGGTTTAAACATTTCCGGATTTCGGGATCTCGAAGATTCCGAGTTCCGAAATTACCGAATTTCGTAAAATTTGGAATATTTCGATTTTGATCATTTTGGAATTTATGATTTCCAACGACTTTCGATTAGAAATCATACCATACTAATCATAAAAGCGCGAACAATTGGGGAAAAATTTACAAACAGATTTCGAAAACCCGAAAAAAATTAAAAGAAATAGACATATCATAGTCCAAAATGCTTTAATGCTGAAAAAAAAGCTTCGGAAATGTTCCAATGATACATTTTGGAATTTTCAGAATTTGAAGGCCCCTGGTTTAGTACTGTAATACACTATAGTTTACTGAAACTCTCGTAGTCTATAGAATATCTAAGATCTGAAAAATAGTAAAATAAGAATGTACAGTAAGAAAATACGCATTCTGTGTCCCATCTCTAACAGTTGCAATCGTAGTAAATAAGGAGTGTCTTTGTTCTTTCTTCCGCAAATTATTAGTTTACGAAACACCCCAAAACTTGTTATCAGTGGAGCATACCCCGAACACGTGTACCTTGTAACCTTATGAACCGGATTGCTAAAACATCCGAAACTATGAGTGGAAATGGGGTCAAAGGGAGCTTGCTGTACCTCAAGAATAACAAAGTAATTTCAGTTTGTTTACTAGGATGATCTTGTTTTTTGAAAAATAAAAACTTCTAGAAATAGAAGCGTGGGGCTGGAAATCGAGGACGTATCCTAATTGAAGGAAGAACCGCTATCGGGTTACAGAACATTTAAATCGTTTAGTTTTAAATAAACCAAGTATATCATCATCAAAAAAAAAAAACAAACCGGGGAATTCAATGAAAACGAACAGTATGACCTTTCGTTTCACATGATGTGAATGACCTATTACGGTTTATTATAGATTTCTAGTAGTAGCTAAACGAAGAAGTGTGAAGTGTTGATTCATCATCATTTGACAAAGAAAACTTTTTGAGAAACACACACTCTCTGACGCTTTGATATTCTGATTTCTGGTGGTTCAGTGTATCGTGGGAAATGATAAAAGTTTTGGTTGAATGCCAAAAAGGTTCAAAAGATAATTATTGCTATCATTCTTGTCCCGGCAGCGATGAACCTTGAGAATTCATTCAAAGACGCATAGTCGGTCCTGGAGCGAAAACAGTGACATGTTTTCTATAAATTCGTGCGCCTTCGATACCGTATCTCAAAATTATTGTATTTTTGAATTTGCTTATAAAGAAGAAAGAAAGGCAAAAATGGGTCAATGTAAATTAATTTTGAGATACAGTATCGAAGGCTCATGAATTTTTATTCAAAAAATTTTTGCTTTTTTTCTCTTTGCGACGATGCGCCTTTGAATAAATGTTCTGCTGCAAAGTTCACCGTCGCCGGACAAGAATAATACCGAAAAAAAAACTAGAATTTTCAGAAGAACTTCCTGCGAAAACTGACGAAAATTTGGGCTTTTTCAACACTGTCAGTGACCAATTACAGAAAAGTAGAACCGATTGCCTTCCGACTTTCAGAAGTTCCACTTGACCAATTATCCAAAAAGTTGAGAAACTATGAAACAAAACTGAAACACTAAACACTACAGATTTCTATATAGTTGATAAAATGTAATAATGAATGATGTCACCCCTTTCTTCAGGTTTCCACCACATCATCTATACACTAGCTACACCTATAATCATCATTTAGAAGACAACACAACAGAACCAATATAAATGAATTCTTGAGAAGTGCAAATTGCTATAGCTCTAGGTCGTTGAGCCCTATAAGTGTTTTGGGATACATTTTCCCTTCCAGAAGCAATGCCAATTTCCAAACGTCGAAGACGAAACGCACTGGTTATCCCTATCGCACGCTATTTCAAAGAGCCTGGTCGGAAAACGCGCCCCAGTGAACGTGAAAAATCACTGCGCAACGTGTCAAATTTCGTTGGCTGAAGTTTAAACTTCTAAACGTTGAACAAAAAAATCGCGATTTGCAACGCGTTGACTAAAAATATTCAGGTCAAATCCACGTCAACTTTGAAATTATTAAATTTCGTCTGGCCTAAAAGTTTTCTGGGGCGCGATTTTTGAGGTTTTTTTTTGAAACACCGTACCATCGGGAAAGTGCAAACAATTCTTTTATGGGAATTTCGGAATTCAATGTACAGAAGTTTTATCGCATCATCAAGAAAAACGCATAAATTAGATTGGAAATAAATTAAGTAAAGCCTGAGAAACAAGTATTTAACAAAGAGTCAATCAATGATTTTTTCGTTTGTTTCTCTTTGAGATGTTGGACGTGGTTGGTCTAGCGATCGGCACGGATTGTGGTGGATGTGGATCTTCAGGAGTGGTGGCCTCTTCTCCGGATTCTCTGGCTTCTCGAGCTTCTCGTGCCTCTCGGGCCTTGGCGGCTACGCGATCAACATCCAAGTCATATGGAAGAGAGCAGGAGAAGATCATATTCCAAATTGGCCAACCAATGATAGTAATGAGATAGAAATGCCAGGATCCGAAAGCTGCGTCGTTTTTGATCATATTCCGTATGAACACTCTCGGGACGCCAGTCCATGTGTCGAACTCTTTTTTCGGAATGAAGGCAGTCGAGTATCCAGGAGTATACCAAGCCAGAATGGTTATAATAGCGATTGGATGGAGCAGGGCCAACACTCCGGAACGGTAGAGACTACGAGCTCTGAAAATTTTTTTTTGGAATGTTCGAATCGTAGTTATAGGAATCTTCCGTTTTTTTTGTATTTGTAAAGCAGGACTTTACTATTGATACTACTACTACTACAAAAATTGAACTTCTAAAACCAGATAAAGGAGAGTTTCAGTTGGTTCGAGAATACTGTTATACTCCTACAAACATCTGGAAGATTTTCAATGTTAGACGCCGTTTTGTTTTTTGTACTCAAAATTTTAAATAACGTCAGTTTTTTCCATGTCACCTTGAATACAAATAAAAAATACATCATGTCCTTTCAGATCATGCCCCCTACAACCCACTGAATTTCAGATCACTCACTTCTGTGGTGACTCGAACGTCATTAAGAACGTAATCGGGACGACGATGGCGGCTGTGAAAACTCCAAGACCAAAGTTGATGAGGGAGAGACACAAAATGGTGATGGAGACTTCCAGAAGAATGAAAATTCGCATGATTGGAATACTAGTTGGACGGATAGGATGACTGGAAATGATTTTGATAGTTAGGAGCATATTTCAATACAAAGAAACTTGCATGGAAAACAAATAAAGTCCGAGTGGCAACATCGTAACAGCGAGGTATATGATCACAATGTCCATTGAGCCTGTGAGTTGTCCCTTGCATCCATCAGGCCCAACGAATGGGAACTCAGTCGAAAACGCGAATACTTCACCAATATTTGTGAAGATCCACTGTGTCATCAAATAGATTGCATATCCGCCGAGGTGAATTCCAATGACGGCAAGCGGGATTTCAGAGTTGCTGTCGACTTTCAACCACTCATTGTAAGCGGAAATTAGAAGAGGACATATGAGTATGAAAGACGGTAAGAGGTAGAAACCGATTGACAGGAAATGCATATCGTCGGCTAGAACGTACCTGCAAAAATTTTCAGTAAGAATTGAGGTTTTTGAACGAGGAAAACTATGAAAGCGACTTCAAAAACTTTCAAAAATCATTGGAAATATTTTCTTTGAATTGCTTAAGAGCTCATAAATAGATCAAAAAATAAGAAGATCAAATCGTTTTCCAGGTCTACTAAATCATTTTTCGAGCTATTAGAAAAATGAAAAACAATCTCCTGACGGAAGACCTAGCACTTACATAAAATAACTCTGATGTAGTCGCTCAAGTACGTTATTTAGCATACGAGACACCTCCTCAACGAACTGCACTGACTGTCTTTCCGTATAATCGTGACTCAGACCGACGGTTAAACCCTGAAATTCAGATTCAGATGATAATGAGATATGCTGTGCAATAAAGGGGGAAATGAGAAGAGAGAGAGAGAGAGAGAGACGGAGACGGAGACAAAAAAAAACAAGTAAAGAGAAATTCTCTCAGAGAATATGAGAATTAATCTGTAGAATCGAAAAACCGCGAGTTAAACATTTTAAGGGGTTTATCAAGGTAAAACTAATAGGCAAGTATTATTGATGACCTAATAATTTGAATGGATTTTTGATGGTAAAGTTCAATTGGGTGTCATCCTACAGAGGGAGAGAAAGGAGAGTAAAACTGGCTAATGAAAACGTTGGAAGGGTTGAAGCGAAAGAAAATGGAGAAATGTCGGGTGGAGGGGACGGCGCCCTTTGGTTTTACGACTGAGCGGCACAACGAGCACTTTTCTATATGAGATTCGTGCTCACCTAATCCTACACGACGTTTGTTTCGCCAAAACGGACGAAACCAGTAAGCTTTTTCAATTGCACAGACACTAGTTCGCCGTTGTGGCTAAAAAGCGATTAGTGTCAAGCGAAAGAAAACCAATCAAGAACCAATTTGGGTGCGGTTAGTATTCAATTTACCTGGACTCCATACTTTCCCATAACACTATGAATTCCTTCGATTGACACAAATGCTTGCGTCATTAGAGCTTTGATGGGGACAGTGAAAGGGGAGTACTCCATATATGAATTCTGAAATTAATTGAACTTTTTGTATTCTGGTACATATAAATCGGTGCTGTTGATGAGAAACTACAGTAACCCAAAAATATTTTCATGTTCCAGATTCATTTTCTCGTTTTCTACTGCTTCTTCAGTCAATTTTTCAGTTATTTTTCTCCAAAAAGTCAGAAAATTAAATATTTTGAAAGCAAAACAATTGACTGGAAAAGCGGTGAAAATCGAGAAGATATGCCGCGTTCAAAGTTGATTGCGAAAAAAAAACATTTTTAGGTTATGGTAGTTTTCATTTCTCTTCCAAAGCTTCAATTTTTTGTACCCAAATAATAGTTGTAATACTTAGGATTATTATAATAACCTACCGTATGACGATGAAGTGTTCCAAAAATGGCAACTTTCGAGTGATGTTTTGAATCAGCTATTTTGACGATCCCATTGAAAACGTCTAGATTGACTTGTTGTCCATTCAACCCATTAGTTTGAATATTGATGATATGTTGTCCTTTTACTGATATTCCGGATAAATCATAAACCACACCAGCAATTAGAGCACCCGTTTGTGTTTGAATTTCATCTGCTATAACTGTTGCATTCCTTCTCGTTTTCGATGATAGGGACTCAATTTTCTGATACTTGAAAAGGAAGGCATCCAATGCAAACGCAGCTTGTTCTATTGAATCAGGTCCGTTACCTCCATCTACAAAAGCGAATACGAAATCTCTGGCCCAATAAACTTGATCCTTCGCATAATCTACGAAAGACAACATTCGAGTAATCATTCTCCGTGCGCTCTCCGACTTTCCCAACTGAACAACAATCAGTTGTGCTTCTGCACCATCGTTTCTTTGTCCTCGCACAAATCCGTAAACATTCTCTCCTCTTTTTGGATAACCTGCAATTGTCGATTTCCATTTTTGAGTGAAACACTGTAATCCAAATTCCGAGAAGACATCCATAACAAATTCCTGTTGAGACTTTGATTTTGGTAGTGATGTTAAACTCCTGTACAACTGAATTGCTATTCCACTTTTATCGAATTTCGGTGTCACAAGTCCCGGCATTAAAGAGTGTTCTGATATTCTGAATAACTATGAATACGGTTACCGGGAATTGTATGCAATCTTAATCACCTGGTCACTTCCATATTAACTGGATCGAAAAGATATTGTGAACAAAAATAAGCTCCAATATATGCCAGAACCAGAGCAATTTTCCTTAATCGAAGAATGCGTTCCAGAATTTTGGGTCGAGCTAACCACCATCTTTTGCTATTTCTAGGGCCATATCTGATGGATTTCAACTTTGTGAAGTTACTCGATTAGACGTGTGAAAAATATGTGTGTAGCATTAGATGTGAACAGTTATCAGAAGAGAGGCACAAAAATTAAGATTTTTAATATTTATTTTGATGATTAGCAATTTTTTTTGATTTGAAGCTTTTCGAATTTTGTGAGATACACAGGAAACAGGAAAAAAGTACTTGGGATCAATTCAATTCCGGAACACATGATAAGTAGAAGAAAAACTGATTAAAAATCTCATTTCAACAAGAATAAAATATGATAACCACACAAAGATTGGCGACCCGTCATTAACTTTTTGATTTTACATTATTTAGATTAAATTACACATTTTAAGAAAAGAGCCTAATGAAATAATTAAACAGAATACTCGAAAGTGGGTCTTGCAACAAATGGATTTGCAAGGGGGTTGAACCATCGAAGACCAAACGGACCGCCGAAAACCAGCTGTAAATTCTTCCAAGAATTGTTTCGTTGTCGTTCTTCTTCATCCATCATTGCATTTCTACTGAAAGAAAAAAGGAGTTGCCAACTAGATGGGAAAGGGAAATTTTCAGAATTGGAATATTCGGAAAAGAGCATTCCGAAAATTCCTCAGCCTGAAAAAGAACTTTAACAATAATGCAAACGTACCTTCTCATCGATTCGATCGTTGTTTCATCGTTGCAGATGGAAGAAATCTGAGTTCCGAACATGACAGCAGTGAAGATAGCAAAAAGAATGGATTCGAACAACAAGAATATTAAAAGTAGAGTTGTTGCAGGTGGCGTAAGAGAGGAACACTTTTGCCACTCGGCACCAACACATAAAACAAACTGCCATATCCCCAGTAGAGAGCATGCATTGATAGTAGGGCAATATACATCTGAAAAGAGCCTTTGTATTCAAAAAAGGTGATGCTGAACTCACAGTGAATAATACGAAGAACTTTTGGTTCCCTTCTCCAACGCAGTTATTAACCCAAGGACAGTGATGGTCCATCCTTCGAATACACCTCTCACAAACCGAGCAATGATGAGCACGATCAGGTTTTATACTCGAACATTTTTGACATTTATATATTGTTGTGTGCCCATTGAGAAGTTGCATTCGTTCAACAGTTTCTTCTGTGCAGTCTCCCTTTGCAACAGCTCCTGGATCTGTCATCATTGTCTGAAAATGTTAAAATAATACAACAGATATCCGCTAGGTTTGTTTATGAACCAGTCAACTAGACAAAAGAAGAATGAATAAAAAGAAACCTTTAGATGGCTAGTAACCGCCAAAGCACTGAAGAATTCGAAAAGGACAAAGTTGAGAAACGTGTGTATCGGATATTGGTCCCATGAGTATATCAATACCAGAAACACACAAACTTGTCCATATGCTATCAGCAACCATGTCACCACAGCACACATTATGCCGCATGGATCTCTTACGCACCATGATCGACCACAACAGTTAGTTTTCGTTTTGATAAAAACTGTCATTTTGTTCTGAAAAATAGGAAAGTATTTTCAGGTACAAAGAATTTTCAGCCTCACATTATTAATTGAATGCTAACTCATCGATCAAGTGATAATTGTCGTTTGCCTTCCATTAGGTTGGTATTTTGTTCTTGTTCGTGGAAGTCTGAAAAATAAAAGATAATACGAATAAGTTGTTGTTAGATTCGAATAGGTAATCAAATAAAGTGGGTAGGCTGACAAGGGAACATTTCAAGTGAAGGTAGGAGTTAGCAGAAACCACCTACATAAATCGAAAGAGCATAGTCGAAAACCTATAAATTCGTTTTCAAAGTCTGCTTACGAGACATTTGAAGTGCTGAAATTTCAGTTTCAGTGCCAAAAATCCCATTTTCAGTAAAAAATCGTCAATTTTCAAATTTGATTTTCTCCATTCCTAGGTTTTAGGACTTGAAATTTTTTGTGTAATACTCAAAACTATGTGAAATTTAATATTTCGAACATTTCCTGAAAAAAAAAGTATTTTCGGAAAAGTTTTGGAAAGTTTCAAAATTTGCCTAGGTTTTCGCTGGGCCAAAAAAAATTTTTTTTTGGAAAATGTAGAAAATGTCTGAAATATAAAATTTCACATAGTTTTGAGTATTACACAAAAATTTCAAGTCCTAAAACCTCCTAGGAGTGGAGAAAATCAAATTAGAAAATTGCCGATTTCACACTGAAAGATTTTTGGCACTGAAACTGAAATTTCAGCGCTTCAAAGGTCTCGTAAGCAGACTTTGAGAACGGATTTATAGGTTTTCGACTATGCTCTTTCGATCTATGTAGGTGGTTTCTGCTAACTCCTACCTTCACTTAAAAGGTTCCCTTGTGAGCTAAACGTTCAGAGCTGTTTTCCGTCCTCGAGGAATCGTTGCCTAGCAATTTTGTAATGTTCTAGACAGAAAAAATCCTCAAGGAAATAGAAAAGCAGTGAGAAAGAATAGCACAAAAGAAACACATTTTTTTCGAGCAGTGAATGAGAACTGGCTCTGTTGAGAACAGAAGAATCAATAAATTAAATATGAGAAGTTGTTCGAATTCGAAGTGAAATTTGAACTGATGAAAGTGTAGCAATTATGTCTTTGGATTTACAGATAGTCTTCATTCAGAATAAATGCATACCACTCTGGTAATCGGTTTCTAACCAGTTTCGGGAAATTTTCCAACCAGATTGGGTAACGCGCATTTTCCAACCAGATTCGGAAACTTTTTATTTTCCGACCAGATCTGGTGATTTTCTGACCAGATCCGGCCGAGAAAGCTGATTTACCAACCTGATTCAGACAATTTTCTAACCAGATCTAGCCATTTCTGCTCCGGAATTTTCTCGAATCTGGTTGGAAAACGATTACCAGAGCAAGACGTATACTTTTTTTTCGCGAAATTGCCTTAACTTCACGAGATGTCAGTCAAATAACACTCAACTTTGAATCATAGAATGAGTCGGAAGAGTACGAGTGTTTTCGTTACAAATGACTCATAAATATTCAGAACGCCTAGGCCCAGTGGAGACCGAGAGGATGCAGAGAACGAAAGGGGAAACAAGATCTGATAAATGTTCACTGAATAATTGAGGAATAGGGAAATAAGAAGCTGCACGAAAAGAACAAGGATAAAAAAGAGCATTTACATACAACTTTGTGTGTATTCCAGATATTGGAAGCCGAGAGCGGAAATATCAATCTTCAAGAAAGAATGTTGCTGTGCTTTCCGTGTCGACAGCTTCTCCTTTTTGAGAGGAATGCTGTTGGTCAGTGTTGAACGAGTGGACGGAGACACGCGGTCGCAGCTCTCTGGTATTCGCGTCTGCGTCTCCTCATTACCACACACTATACCTTCCTCGTTCTCCCGTTTTCTTAGGTTTCGACAAAGAGAGAAGAGGATAATACTCAGAAAATACTGAGTAAATAGAAAGAAGCATAATTTCAGCAAAAAATTTAAAAAATCTACAATTTGGAAAGAAGAGAAGGACATCAAATTCACAGGTGAAAAAAAGGAGACTTACGCGAGATCCACGTGTTCGAGTGTTTCGCGAAGGCAGAAATTACCTGAAAATGTTGACTCGTTTGTAAAATCCTAATGAGCTAAATAAAAGTTTTTGCGATATCAAAGAGAGTTGTTCTAAAAACAGCTGGAACAAATCGAACAACAAACTTAGAATTCCTTTATTAAAATAAGTTAATTTATTCGAAAATGTCAGGAGCACATTCGCCATAGTTGAAGATTAAATACATGGAGATCTTCGAAACTAACAACAACAACAACAACAAAAAACAAATAACATAAAATAAAAGAAATAGTGAATTTTGACAGATTCAGATAATATCCGCGATGTTCATCGGCATTTCGTCGATTTGGGTTGAGTAGTATTGCTCGATGTCGCGTAAAATTCTGACATCATCTTGTTTTACAAAGTTGATTGCAACTCCTTTGCGTCCGAAACGTCCTGAACGGCCAATACGATGGATATACAATTCACGATTGTTTGGAAGATCGTAGTTGATGACCTAAATATTGATTCTAATTTTGAACCGCGGTAATAAAGTATGCGTACCAGTGAAACTTGTGGGACGTCCAATCCTCGAGCCCAAACATCAGTTGATATCAAGACTCGCGTGTTTCCAGCACGGAACTCTTTCATAACTTCATCCCGATCTTTCTGTTCCATATCTCCATGCATAGAAGAAACTGTGAAGTTAGCTTCTTTCATTTTGTCCGTTAACCAGTCGACTTTCCTGCGCGTGTTACAAAAAAGAACTGCTTGTTAATGTATCGTAGAGATCGATGAGAGTATCGAACTTCCATTCTTCTCGATCAACAGCCACAAAGAACTGCTTGATACCTTCGAGAGTGAGCTCGTCGCGTTTGACTAGGATTCGAATTGGGTCTGTCATGAATTTACTCGTCATTTCGAGAATTTCATGAGGGAGAGTAGCAGAAAGTAGAACAACTTGAGCTCCTGGAGGAAGATATCTGTAGATGTCATACAGTTGTTCTTTGAATCCTTTATTCAGCATTTCATCAGCTTCATCGAGAACCAAAAGCTTTATGGCGCGTGTACGGAGATTTCGACGACGAATCATATCGAAAACTCGACCAGGAGTACCAGATACTACATGCTGCCCATAGTCCAACTTTCTGATATCTTCACCTAAGTTGGTGCCACCAATGCAAGCATGACATTGCACATTCATGTAGTCTCCAAGTGCCAAGACCACCTGAAATTCAAGAAATAATGCTCCACGGCGTTGGTTTTATAGACGCACCTTTTGAATTTGAACTGCAAGTTCTCTGGTTGGGGAAAGAATAAGAGCTTGAGTCTCTCTGACTTGTGTATCCAGTGATTGTAAAACAGAAATCGAAAACGTAGCAGTTTTTCCTGTTCCCGACTGAGCTTGTGCAATAACATCGCGAGCTTTAAGAATGGCTGGAATCGCTCGCTGTTGGATCGCAGACGGCTTTTCGAATCCGTATGCGTATATTCCACGGAGGAGCTCTTCCCGCAGCCCCATCTTATCAAAAGTGGGAACTACATTCACTTCTTCTGATGACTCGAATTCCACTGACGCCATGTCACTCTTTTCTTGTTTCTTCCCATCAGACATTTTTTTCGGAGTTCTGTGATAGATCATTGATTTACCAAAACGATTTTTCGCTTTTTTCGATAAGTTTTCCGAAGTGGCACGGCAACAAAGGAGGGAGCGCAGTAGAATAAGGGAACGATGAACAGAAATAGTTTAAACTTCATTGTACCATATACAATTCATGTTGTTCAGAAACGACAGCCACGATGGTGTAAAATTGAAGCCATGTGTATAGAAAAGTGACATGAACTTTGCGGACAATCGGATCTATCAATAATGTTACACATACAATAAATGAGAAGAAGAAGAAAAATAAATAGTATAATTGAAGTACAGAAAATAGCTGTACCACATATAGACTATTCACCATTTGCAAATATCCTGGCCGTCATTGACTGGCTCAGGATGTGGGCGAATGGATGATGTCTACCGGGTATTTGGAACAGGAAGACTCACTAGACATATCCGAGAGCCTAGGAAGTTAATAAGCCGATACCGAAAGTGAAGGAAGTGTGAGGGAAATATCGAGCCTTGAAACGAACTGCGCGCTGCGACCAAATACAGAAAGTGTTAGATGTCATTTTTAAGCGAAGTTTGGAAAGGGGACAAATATAGAATTTTAGGGGAATGAAACATTTAGATGTTTAGAAATTCAAAAGGAGAAAAAAGTGGCAGCGAGAAGCAAAAGAATACCGCAAAAGAAGTTTAGAAAAGATGGCCGAAGATGAGTCCGATCAGAAGAGCGGCAACTGCAATCAGGACTACTTGCAACGTTGGGAAGGCTCCCTCCACGAGAGCGCCATCCGATTGGTTTTGCTGTAGCTTTCGATTTTTCTGAAATCACATTATATTACAAGACATTGTCAATTGTTTATTACCTTGAGCATAACTTCGATTTCCTGCTCCAATCCATGAACTTTCTTCTGCAACTCCTCCTTCTCGTCAATTGTCGACTTCAGAGATTTACGAAGGGATGCGACGGTTCCATCTTGCTGGGAAGAAGGAGCAGAGAAAGAGCTTCCGAGCTCTCTGTAAATAGCAAAGATTTTCAGATAAAAAATAATATGAATGAGCTTACTGTGCTTGTCCAGCAGACGCAAATGTTTCTTCGTTACCGTTGACAGTGAACGTTTTGTTGTCGTCTCCAGAAGCTGGATTTTTCTTATCCACGAAAGTGACCATCAGCTTACTGTAAGTCAACTCCGCTGGATCTACAATCTTCCAAATAGACTCCAAGTCTTGGAGATCTTCAGCTGGAGCAACACACGATTGAACCATGAACTTGTGACGACCAGCGTCAGTTGGAATTCCTTCGAGAGGTTGCAACATAACTGTTATCTGCTTTGATTCTCCATTTTTAAGAAGACCTATGAATATTCATGTAAAAAAGTTAATGACAAATTATCTTACCAGAGTTGGGACGGACGCAGTATTGCTTTGGGGCAGTAGTCTTGACTTTGAAGCAGACCGGATTCGCAGTTATGTTTTTAAGTGTCATGTGTGCGGTGACAACATCGGAGAACGGACCAGTGAAAACAAGTTCACGATGTGGAGAAACTTGCAGAAGACTGTGCTTTTCCGACATTTTTGCTGCAATCACAATATGAAAAGGAAGAAGAAATATGAAGAAGGAAAGTGAAAGACACGAAAAAGTCAGCGACTATGTTCACATTCTAGCGTTATCAGTCAAGTTTTGCGATGCTTAGAGTCGAGTCGAGTGGAGAAATATTGCCATCGAATATTTGCTGGAATCGATCAAGACCACAGCGAATCTGTTTTGGGCAACATGAACGAGAGAGGAACACGTGCTAGAATGCCTGACTGGGACATTAAAGGTGGGGGGACAGGAGATTTTACGGGGGATTTTTGGGGCCAGAGTATGCATTCTACCGTGACGGTGTACAACGTTTAATGTCACTCTGCGTACAGCTGTCGTCCTCGCCTTTATGTATGCAATCGGGCGACCGCTTTCTCTTTGCCCGTGTAGCTCAGTCGGTAGTGGCGCCGCACCCTCAATCCTCGTCCCACACGTTCAACTCCTCGAGAGGCATATTTAAACGAAATTTTCGAGAACATTATTTTTTTCATGTCCCCCCACCTTTAAATAAACATATGAAACAAGACTGGTACTTGAAAGAAAGAAAATAGAAGAGAAAAGATAAAAAAGCACCAGCATTGACTAGTTCAGATAGATTAGCAACGTCAGTTGGATTCGATTCAAATTCTGAAAAGGGCTGCAACGCTGTCAGATGATGTCTTCTATGGCTGATGCTGCTGCGACAACGATGCTGAGACGTGGAGAGCGCACGCTTTAGAAAACTATGTAGTCTAAAGACATTGAATACAGACGCAGAGGGAAAAGATATCTGCGCTTCCCACATCGCGCGACCTCTTCTTCTCACTCTCGTCCCCACTGACTTATAATTCGAGTGTGCGTTGTTTGCGAGAGGGAAGAGGAAAAAGAAGGTCGGGGTGAGTGTGAGCGAAAATGGCTAGTGAGGCACACGAAAACACACGTCGTAAGACAAGAAGGATGATAGGAAAACATCACAAAACGCTAAGAGATGAAGACCGATTGAATTAGGATAAAGGGGTACAGAACTGGAAGACTAATAGTAAGGACACAACATTTCAAGTCAAAATGTACCTTTTTTTCTAATGTAACGACTATTGTCGGAAATATATCAAAATGAACAGTTAGTCGAATGAGTCAAGTCGAGCCCACGAGGTAACCAAATTTTTGAACTGTTCAAAACGCTAAGAGATGAAGACCGATTGAATTAGGATAAAGGGGTACAGAACTGGAAGACTAATAGTAAGGACACAACATTTCAAGTCAAAATGTACCTTTTTTTCTAATGAACGACTATTGTCGGAAATATATCAAAATGAACAGTTAGTCGAATGAGTCAAGTCGAGCCCACGAGGTAACCAAATTTTTGAACTGTTCAATTTAGAAAACATTTAGCATAGAAACGAAAAATGAGAAAAAAAGGAGTATAGGCAGAAACACCCTTCTGCTGTACCACAAAGAGCCACATTCGAGATACACATATCCTAGGATAGAGACGGAGCATTCACAGAATAGACGAATATCGGGGAAAAACGAGAGACAGAACGGGCACTAATTCTGAGTGTCTATAGGCATCGGGTAGTTGTGGTTCATTCCGCCGTTTAATGGAAATAGTGTGCTCGAGGCGGCTTCACCATGGCGACGGGGCCACTGCGCTTGATACATCCAAAAGCATTGCGTTTGCTCATCGATGTAATAGATGGAGAGAAACTGGTGGCAAGTAAGAAACCGGGAAAAACTTAGAAAGACAAGCAACTGGCATCGACTATCAATCAGCGGGGTTATTTACACAATGATTTTTCATCACCGCAATGGTTTGAAAACTCCGGAAGAAAAAATAAATCCTTTGTAAAGTACAAAAACTGAATAAATTGTTTCTCATCTGGTTTTAATTTTCGGAGTCCTAGAGAATTCTCTAGAGAATGTGACAGACTTGTTTTTCGACAGCTGAAAGCTGACGAATTGCCGACAATTGATAAATTTATATAAATACTCGAAAATAGTGAAGAAGAATTTATAAAAAAGCTCTAACCAGAAAACAACAAAAAATCACCAAAAAGAAAAAAAATTGTGTGTGGGGGTGATGCGAGATCGTACCGATTGGAAAGATTTGAAGTCCGAAAGAAACGAAAGCGAAAGAAACGAAACCGTAAGAAACGAAACGGAAAGAAACGAAACGGAAAGAACGCTAAACCGTGCACAGTTTTGCTGAAATCGCATGCGCAGGCTGCAAAAAAGGGCAGAGTTTTCTCTAAATCTTTTTCAATTCAGAAATCTCTCGTTCAATTCAGATAAACCCCGCCCATTTGCAGCCTGCGCACGCGATTTTAGCAAAACTGTGCATGGTTTAGCGTTCTTTCCGTTTCGTTTCTTTCCGTTTCGTTTCTTACGGTTTCGTTTCTTTCGCTTTCGTTTCTTTCGGATTTCAAATCTTTCCGATTTGTACGGTCTCGGTGATGCATCTCCGGCGAATGCGCGTAATTTAGTAAGCATTGTACGCAAACAGAGTGCATACAACTTGTGGCGCAAAATTCAAATAGGGTTATTCTCCAAAATGTAGAAAAATTCGGAGAAATGGAGAAATTTTCGCAAAACCGCGGAGAATGAACCAATCTCGCTGAAATTTCGGAGGAAATCGGAGAAAATTATAGAGAGCATATTCACAAAATGTGAGGTCAAAATATCCACTTTGACCATTTTGTCTGAAATTCCAGCCAAAATTTCAAAATTAATTTTGCGATCCCAAATTTTGGGGATATGCTCTCTATAATTTTCTCCGATTTTCTCCGAAATTTCAGCTAGATTGGTTCATTCTCCGCGGTTTCGCGGAATTTTCTCCATTTCTCCGAATTTTTCTAAATGTTGGTGAAGAACCTCAAAATAAAAATAACTTTTTATCCTTCTTTCATAAGCTTATGCAGTGAAAGCCAGTAATAAAAGTGCCCGACATTATATTTCTTTGATTCTCAACTTTGAATGACCCTTCTGCTTATTATAATAGCTCTTCAATCAGAGGGGCGCTTCTTCTTCTTTTCCGAGGATGTTTTTTTATCCCAAGAATTTTTTTAATTTGGTATTTTTCAGATTTACAAGTAAATGACATCAAAATCAAATAGAATCAAGTTATGGGAAGAAAACTGCCCGGTGTTAAAAGATTCGAAATTTCTGCAAAACTATCAGTTGTATGAAGAAATCATAGGGGAAGGTGAGTATTAACTCATAAATTCTTGCAATAAACATGAGTTATATGATTTAAATGTAAAATGAAATTGCAGGATCATTTGGAACAGTAATCAGAGCGAAATGTAGATGTTCTCAGAAATTAAGAGCAATCAAAGCAATCCGAAGGATAAATAAAGTGGACATGCTGACGATTGAGCTGGAATTGTTATCAGAACTTGGTGGACATTTCAATATTGTTAAACTATACGATTTTTTCCATTTCAATGGTTCAGTGGCTATTGTTCTTGAGTATTTTCCACATTGTGCAGCAACAGAGCTCCTGTATCATTCAAAAAGTGATGATAAATTTGCACTTCTGTACATCCGAAATCTTCTAACTGCTGTCTCTTATCTTCATCAAAATGGATATGTGCATCGTGACATCAAATTATCCAATTTCTTGTATTCACATAAAACCAGAAGGTATGTTTCTTTCTTGGCCACGTCCAAAGAAAATTTATTTTCAGCTTCCGACTTGTAGATTTTGGGCTAGCCACTATTGACCGGTCGAAAAATGAAATGTCTAGAGTGAGTTTTTGTACAGGGGCCGACGAAAAAAACACCGACGGTTTCAGAATGCCGCCGCTTCAGCCATGTGCAGAGAAGGACCTTGTACTGTATGTGATGGTTTTGGAACACCCTGCATGTTTTGCGGAAAAAAGCCAAAGAGAGAAAATGTTCACATTGTAAGTATCAAATCGGCTGAAAACATTGTACGCTTCATATGGACCATTTCTCAAATTTGTTCTGTTATAAAAGCTTTAACAGCTAAATAGACCCCTCACTATTCCAGGTTGGAACTCCCGGTGTCCGTGCTCCGGAAATTCTCTTCGGCATTGGTCTGTGTAATCCCGCGATAGACATTTTTTCTTGTGGAATTGTACTTCTGTCACTCGTATCTCTGAAACATCCATTCTTCATGCCAAAAGATGAAACAGAAAATATCTATCATCTGGCCTTCCTACTAGGATCTGAATCGATAGAAAATGTACGTTTAACGAAAAATGTTTTGCTAAATACCAGAAAACCGTTTATGTAAAACTTAATTAGAACTATTTTTTGCGAACGATAATTATTATGTTTAACCGAAAGATTTTTGCCAATAAGTGCTAAAAAAATGGAATTAGAATCAGTATTATTCACCTTTAAAAAATTGGACCTATGAAAGAGTAACGCCGGTGGCCATGGCCAAAGGACCCACAATGTTAACTACAGTAACCTGAAAAATGAGCTGGAAACGCACGAAAATCGGGAAAATAAAAATATTTTTAGGTGACGGTATTTGCCGTTGTGAGACCCTTGACCACCAGCTTTTCTCTTCCAAATCTCTAATTTTTTGTACCATCATAATATTAAAAATTAGTGTTAAATACAACTGACATTCATAAAGGTGAGTGGGGGGGAAAATTAAATTGATTTCCAGATGGGAAGACTTGAAGGACTGCGGGTGACACTTTCGGAAAAACTTCCTCCTGCCGATTATTATCACTTAGTGATGTCGCTTAGGCACGGGTTTCAATATATGCGGATGAATTTCACACCTAAAAAGTGTCAACTCTGTCACAAAAGGTCTTATAACAACCCGACGGGAGTATGTTTTTGTAAGTTTTTTTTTCTTTTCGTTCGGAGAGGAACTCGAGAATTACAGGCCGAGAAAACTACCAAACCAACATGTTCTACACTGGAGAGAACGATAAAGATATTATGACACTTTATGTGGATCTACTGTATAGAGCACTTGAGGTAAGGATACATTTCTTAATGTCGTTTTTATTAAAATATTTTCAGCCGGATAGATTCAAGCGGTACACTGCTGATCAGCTACTTTGTGTCATCGAATCATTCGATCGTCGTCATAACTACGTACCAAAACCATTGTCAAATAGAGATGATGATTAATACTAAATTTTTACTTGATTTTTCATTAACTAACTCATGTCCGGTTCTGTTTTAACGTGTATTGTTTTAAATGCTTGTAACGGGTTCCTAGTGCTGTATAAACTGTTTCCAATTGACTCGCTTTCTAGGTCGAAAATAATGTTTTTAGTATCAGGCACTTCATTGAAGAAAAAAGTAGCACTGAATATAAAAGATTTGGGAAAATGATAGAAAGTGACAGGATGGGGGAAACGTAACTGAGAAATGAAGGCTCTACAGTACCCGACAGAACTGTTCTCTAATTTCAACAAAAAGTTATGGTGTATTCAGTGGGGACTGTAGCTTTGAAGGAAGGAAAAGAAAAAAGAAAGAGATAATGGGATCAAATAGGGAGACACTTTTTTGGTATGAATAGGGAAAACGAAAATGTGAAAACTTGAAGAGACACGTAGGGAATTGGTTCTACAAACAGATGGAGCAAAGCAAGGGAGTTAATTAAAACAACTGGCAAAAAACAAACGAATGTTATTTTTACTTATTAACAGAATTATTAGATGAGATTGAGCTGTGCGGGAGAGGAGAAAAAAAAAAGAGGGGGATGGCTTTTGAGGGAATTTGAGATTTATGCAGTCTTTTCTGTAGAAAACCGGCGAACTGCGTAGTGAGCGACGACGATGACTTGTCCCAAGATGAGAACAGCCAATGTTCCGAAAATAGCGAAAACTGTGATTCGGTTCAAGCAGATTGATCCCTCTTCGATGACTTGCACCTCATGAGCTTCTTCGCGAAGAAGGTCAAGAGTTGAGGCACGGGACATGGCAACTGGCTCATTGACCTGAAAAATTTCAATTTAAATATATATCACTTCCTGTTTAGAGTTCAGAGTCTAAGAAATTGAATGCATACTTTTGTACATACCTGCTGAAGTGGGTCAATGATGACAATGGATGTTGTGGCATGCGATCTTCTTGGGATCAAGTATCTGTTGGTCTCGACTGAAATTTCAAAAAAATAATATTTAACACCTTCTGGGATTATAAAAACTCACATTCTTCAATATTGTTGTTGACTTCTCTCTTCTTTCTTCCAAATGATTTCTTAACTCCTCCAGTCAGAGCGCACTCGACAGCTTCGCAGTCTCCTTTGCAGATCTCAACCTCGCAGGTTACTCTGATAGAAGCGGTTGAATCGAAACGGAATGCTTGCATCTTGGTAGTCTTGACAGCAGACGACTTGACCTCGATAGCTCCTGGGATGAGCTTCTGAGCAACAGCTGGGGTTGGGCATCCTCCGTCAATGAGTTGGAGTTTCTCTCCGGCTCCTGCCTTTCCTCCGGCAAGTCCTGGTTCGGCGTGGCAGTTCTTGACGAAGAAGTCAAGCTCGTCATCCATAGCCATGATCTCCCAACGAAGCTCAAGAATGTCTCCGAGTTTAGCTTGCACAAGCGGTTGTTCGGTTCCATCGCCATTCAACAATTGCATGAGAACTGGATTTCCGAGCTCGATCTTTCCACGTGGTTGAATGAGATTGGCTTCTGGTCCAGTGACAGTCATGTTGTATCCGGCTTGAACACGTCCTCCGAGCATGCTGGAATAGTCGCAGGAAACCTCATAGAGTTGATCCATAGAGGTGACAAGTCCTGGGATTCCAAGGTTGTTAGTTTGGATGACAACAGTCGATTTGTAGGTTCCATTGAGAAGATCAACAAGTCCACAGTCACGGAATTCAGCAGCTTGTCTCTTTTGACGGAACTCCTCGATTTCCTCCTTTAGTGGAGTTTCTTCTCCCTTCTTGGTCTTGTTCTTTCCAGTCTCGTTATCATCAAGGTTATCAAGAGAAATTGGACGCATTCCAAAGTCTTTTGGAAGTCCGAGGACAAGAGTGGCAGCGTTGGAGTTGGCAACCTCAACACGGCAGGTATCAAACTTGTTCTTGACGAAAATGACTCCGCTGAATGGCTCTCCATTGTTAATTTGGACCTTGATTCCCTCGTAGTTGCAGATAGTTTGGATAGCCTCGGCCTTAACCTCAACTGGTGGACCAAGTGGAACAGTGGATTCTGGAGCACGGCGGTGTTCAGTATTCTTGATGGTTGGCTTCTTGACCTTCTTGGTAGCGAGAAGTTGAGCCTTAGAGTCCTTTCCTTCAACGACAGTTCCGGAAACACGGTGTTTGGTTTCTGGGACGTTGGCAGCAGCAGAAGCTCCAGTGTCGACTTCCTTGGTCACGCAGAGATTCTTGTAGAAGTCAGTGTGCTCATTGACCTCAGCATCTTCATCGATAGCATCGAACAAAGAGCAATCTCCGAGACGACGATTGTAGTTGGCTCCAGCGCATCTGAAAAAGAAGGATCTTTTTTGAAATTCTAGATTAAAAATCCTACGTCGGGTTTCCAGCGCAAACTTCGAGGCAAGAGTTGAGAGAGACGACCTTGTAGCTCTTGGCCGGGATTCCGCGTTGCTTGGTGTGAAGATAGCGGGAGAAGAGAGCATCATCCTTGTTAGCAGAGCAGTCGTTTTCCACTAGAGGCAGAGCTATGAGAAACAGACAGTTTACACACAAACACATAAAGCGTTTTTAAGGATTTGGAAACTAGAGTTTTAGGCGGGAAACTGAGAAGGGTAAGTGATATTTGAAACCACGGGATGGACAAGAGAGTTAGGTAAGAAGGATCACAAGACTTACCAGCAAGACAGTGAAGATCATAGAGATCAACTCCTTGACGGACTTGTGGTTGAAGAGTGTTGTGTCCGTCGAGATAGAGAAGATCGCAAGACTTGGTCTTCTTATCGTAGTTGAACGAGCGGCACTTCTCTGGAGCGAGTCCGAAGCACTTGGCAACGCATTCCTTGATTCCCTTGGCAGCTGAGGATTTGAGAACATGAAGCTCAGATTCTCCTTCTGGAAGAGCAGCATTGATAGTGCGGATGGCCTTGAGATGTTGTCCAGCTGGGCACTTTTCTTGTTTGAGGTGGCAGGTGATATCGAAATAGTCAACAAGGAACTCTTCTCCTTCTGGGATGAAGAGTTCTGGCTTGCTTTCTCTGGTCTCAGAGTTCAAGATGCATTCTTGTTCGTTGTAGTAATACATGACCGATTTGCAGACGAATCCTTCTCCAGTCTCTGGTGGTGGGCTGAAATTGAAAGTGAAGATGTTATACTTAGAATTAGTGCTTACTTGGTGCATTGGTCAAGGCACATGGTCACGGAAGGAACATTCTCCATTACGAAAGCAGCGAATCCGACGAGAATCATTTGCGGAACACGCTTGAAGCTTGGTACGTTGCGGCAAGTGTTTGGAGAAGCGAAGCACTTCTTCTCGAAGTAAGTGAATCCTTCGGTTGCAACAAGATCGGCACGTCCAAGTGGCTTCGATCTCTCATCGGCAAGAATACACGTGCGGGTCTTGTTGTTGTACATGAACGATTTGCAGTTGAAATCATTGGATGAGATGGAGAGTCGTTGAGTGCAGAGAGCTTGGCAGGAATCAAGATCGACGTTGATGATACGGTCGAGCTCATTTTTCAATTGCTTTCCTTCGACAGCGATGTATTGGGTAATGTATGGTGGATAGCATTGGGCTAAAGAAAAATAAAGGTCAACATGAGAACAAGGATTTTTTGGAACTTACATCCAGCGCAGTTGTTATCCATGTAGATAACGGTATCATCAGCCTCGTCAACGAAGAGAGATGGGCGGTCAAGACGATCTTCAGTGTTCAAGATGCACTCTTGATCAACTGGATAGAACATGGCAGATTCACATTCAAATCCAAAGGTATCAAAAGCATTAAGACAAGCTGCCATACAAACTTGAATGTTCTCAGCTGGAACGACCTCGCGGGCAAATCCAACGAGGATCTTCTGCTCGAAAAGATCGAACTGGAATGGAGATTGACAGACGCGGTCACTCTTGACACAGCTCTTGGTAAGGAGTTGACTGCCCTTGGTTGCCTTTTCAGATCCAGCACGGAAGACGGCGCATGATCCATCCTTGAATTCAACACCCTGGCAATCCAGAGAAGCAGCGCAGTGGTCGGAGCATTCAGCAAGATTCGATGTTGGGATTGTTCTGATGCGAGCTCCAACAGTGGAATTGTGTTGGAGAACAAAAATAGTTTGAGTTTCTGGAGGGCATATCGTAACTGATGCTGAAAGTTGGATAGGATTATTAAGGTTGTACAATAAATGAACTTACGTAGAGTATCTGCTAAAGCGGACACCGCTAGGAGGGCGACAACCGCGAAGACCTTCATTGGTCAAAGTGTGTGGTCGAGTGTTGCAAAACGGGAGGTTCGTTCGCCAAGCACACCCTTCTGAAATGAAAGAAAACAGATAAGAGGAGGGATCTGTATGTGAGTGGGAAGAATAAAAAGAAACATTTGAAGAAGAAGTGAACAACGGGATAGAATTCCCGAGAAAAGGACGAGTTTATGAAATGTGAATCATTGAATCGAAAGTTCCTTTTTTGCCTTTTTGGGATGCTTTCATCGGAACAATCCAAAAAAGGATTCGGGGATAGCATCGAAGGAATAAATTTTGGACACCAACCCAAATGGTATATCAGGTGGAAACGAAACTAGAAAAGGGAATCTGGCTAGGATAGGAAATGAAAGCTCCGCCACGTTATGATGATATCCATATACTCGGTCAAATACGATTACTACGGAAAAGAAAGAAAAGGAGAAGTCCCGTAGAGAGAGGCGGTGACATTATTTCCCCCAGGAATGTTCGGGTGAAGGCCACTGTACAAAAGTTTCGGATCAGATAGGACTGTAGATGGCCAATACTGATAACCTAGTGTCGGTCATCTCAGACCGCGGAATGAGGAGAAGGAATGATAGATTTGCGAAGATTTGATCCTGGGAGAAGGGAATGGATACCCGCACGGCAAAGTACCCCAGAGGTCATCCCATTCTCATCAAGTTTTTTTCCGCCTTCCTGTCGCTGGCTTCTTCTTCTTGTTCTCTCACTCTTCCTTTTTTCGAGAAACCGGTTCCAGGATGGGATAGCCACCAGCATCGGCGGGCGCGAGAAACCGCAAATCCCTCGCTCACGGATACTTCTGGATTCTTGAAGCATGAATCATGAATCAGAATTCCATGGAACATCACTTTTTGGAGCGGAGAATTAGCGGGTTGACGACGTTTCAAACTTGAAAAGGAAAGTGCGTCGAGAATAATAATAATAGACATAATAAAGAATGTGAGGACACAAAAAAGTGAATGACATCTTTGTGTTAAACGATACAAAATGGATAACGGAGCTTTCCGGAATCTCGATTTTTGAACACGTGGGAGGAGAAGAAAATGGGAGAAAGGGGTGATTCATATGCCTTGGATGTTAAGAATCATCAGCTTGAGGCATAGAATCGAGAACAAATTAGATCATATTTTTAGGATAGCTGAATGGAGAAACTAAAATTGAGAGGGGTTACTGTAACTGAAAGGAGTTTATAACCTACCGTATTCCGTCTTATAGAAGCCCACCCAAACCGTCAACTTTGAGCTCATCTATCCCCATTCATGTAGAAAATATCAAAAATGTGTCAACTGATAAATTGTTTATCATAACCTTCCCAATGTTTTATCAGTTGATCACTTTTTGATATTTTTCACAGAAATCGAGATAATTAAGCTCATGGTTGACGATTCGGATAATCTTCTTTTAGAGGAAATGTGCTAATGTGTTTTCATGCCGCAAATTTCATTCGGTTCTCGAGAAATTTTTTGAAATCAGAACCCTATTTTGACCAAGAATCTGGATATTTCTAGGTTTTGAGATATGCAATCAGAACAAAAAAAGCTCAGCTTGCGAAGTATTACTGCAAAACGCCAAAATGATTCTACAATATTGATGCTAAACGAACTACCATAACCCTCCCTAATGGAATGTTCCCAAGTCGTAAACTTTGAGCTCATATATCGGTTTCTGTAGAATATATCAAAAAGTTGTGAAATGATAAATCTTTCCTCATAATATCAAAAATATTTTGTCAGTTAACTATTTTATGATATCTTTTACAGGAAATGAGATAAATTGACTCAAATTGGAAGTTAGGAGCCATTATGTTAGAGCTTTTACGATATGTTAAATACAGATACGAATAAACCTTCACAGGTTTGCTAGAAACGTCTACATCCTAAATCTTTGTTTCATAAAAACTAATAAGTTTAGAAATCATCTGAACCTTGAATAACTAACAGATAAAAAAGTCGTCTCGTTATTCACCATGTCCGAAAGTATATGTGCACCAATTTTCAAGAAATTCTCAAAGCCTTTTTGAAAACACTTCCCTTGTAAGATGAATCTTGACCGCTACATAAAACCAATTTTCTCCCTTTCCCTAGTTCCGAAAAAGTGAGTGTTGGTCTCAATAACAATTACGTAATGGAAAACCAAATGAAAGGGGGAAAAGCATCGGAAGTCAAAACCAAAAAACACAACGATCAAAGTTGTCGGGTAGTCGGTCAACACAAAACGATAGAGAGAGATAATGTTCCAAAACCGTGACCCAATTTGCGGATGGGGCGCCTGGAGACATTGTGTTGACCGTTTTTGTGACACATTTGGAAGAAGAAGAAGGCGTCGAAAGAGAAATCGGATTGACATTGGACAAAAAGAGTTAAGAAACGAATAGGAATAGAGAGGGAAACCGATTGGATCGGGACACGGAAGGGCGATTAGAATATCTATGAGGTAAGGAAAAAGAGGGAATAACAATATTCTCGAGACTGCGATGGAATAGGTGTGTTGCGTAAACTCCGTTGAGGAAAAGGATTACGGAAGCCATGGTGCATCGTTATGAAGAAATTCAGAAGGCACTTCTGTTGAAGGTTAGGAGTGAGAATGCGTCAAGAGAAAACTAGAAGAGTGAAAATGATAGGGGGTCAGAGAGGCGCGGCGTCTCGGAAGATATGGGGGCAGAAGAAGAGAAAGCAACACGGATAGCCAGCAGTTATGTTTGAACGAACCGACCGATAAATGGGACACCACATTTGGTAATTGGGTCATTAGGGGTGGCACAGGCACGGCGACAGGACACTTGATTCTAGAGAAAAGGAGAGAAGAAACGACACGATTGATGAGAATTGGAACGACAAAAAGAAGAAGAGGTCGAGAGATCAGTTGAGGAAGGATAAAGAGATACCGATTGACACTGATTGAAACTAAGGAGGAGAAGATAAACTGTGTACGAGGAAGAGGAGGATAATAGGTATGCAAATCGGAAGATTCTGAGGCAGCATGCAAGAATGTGGAAAATGATGAAATGCGAGTCAAAAAACATTTTAGAGTTGCACATTATAAAGTTGCACACATTCTCGCAGCAATATTTCGAATTCAAAATTGTTCTAAGCAGTATTTTCTGAAATTGCCTTAAAAATGTCAAATATATCTTCTCAATATGCTTCTCGGCTGTCAGCTTGAAACATCAGTTCCGAAGTAGAGGAGTACCGAGTCATAAGTTTTTTGAATTTTGGTTAGCTTCAACAGCGGTCTTGTCCGGAACCTGAGCAACCTCCGACCAGAAGTTGCCGGCGACGCCCGAGCTCTTACAGGGACCAAATTAAGTTTGGTCAGACCGGACGGCCACAGGACCTTTCTTCTACAAGCTCTACGTTGCGGAGTTCTACAGTCTACGTTTGATGTGTTTCAAAATAAAAGAAACCAGCTTTAGTCATACTCAAAGTCATTCCAAATTCTCGAACACCGGGATTATCAGAACCCGTTAGATGACGACATCGATTAGCCAAATTAGTGCGCAACAACGGAGATATTGAAATTTGAATAAAGTGACGTATTGAAAATTGAATGTTTTCTGTGTCCGGAGATAACGGGAAGTCTTCCAAGGATTTCCAAGCGTTTCTCTTTCGGATTATTCTAGAGCATCAGTCAAATGATCTCCCGTTTTGAGACTCACAGGGGTACTTACCGTTTCTCAGTCTGAAAATCATCAGTTTTCGAATAAAATCCTACAAATTCCTTGAAGCACTAAACCGAGATGAAATAAGAAAACAATATAGGCTGTATATACTTGCCAGACCTTGATGTTTCGTTACTGGAATGGTTCTACATATGGTTGTACATATATCCACTAGACATTTTATGAAACCAAGTTTTTTAATGCTATTTTTTTCATCCATCTTCCAACAAATTGTTCACCGGAAACCCACTTTCAGGGATTTCATATAAATGATAAAATCAAAACTTTTCCTCTAACTGTTGTAAAAGACTCCAACCGAGAAAAGGAAAAAGTTTAAACAAAATGTGGAAGACTTCTAATCTAATTTAGAAATTCAAAGAGATAATAACCATCAAAATGAAGCTAACAAGTTCTCGTCTATCTCTCCGAACAGTATCCGGAATGTGATCTTGATCGAAACCGATCCGGAATACTTGGCTTTAATCCTCTCCGCATCATCATTATCTCTTCATGTATTTTCTCTTTTTACAAATAAATTTGATAAGAAACTTTGTGTGTGTTTTCATTTCAATCCTTCTTTTCTCCTGATTTCTCCATGTTTTCTTCATTTCTCTCGACGTCGTCGTCGCCGCCGGCAACGCATTCATCATCATCGTCTCGTCTCCATCTTTTTGACCTGATTTCTCTTCCTCCAACAACGAAAAAAGAGAAAGACGGTTACTGTCACTTTTCTATCAGATATTGTATGTATGTGGTTGTGTGTGCGCCCCTTCTCCACCCGCCTCCAGTCGTCATCTCTCCTTCTTCGGGATTTTCTCCTGTACTTTTTCGGATCGGTGATAAAGAGACAGTACACAGGAAGAGGAGACGCAGAGCCCCCGGATAGCGTGAAAGGAATGTGCGCACGGTTTATGGGCGAGAACGAGGTCACTCAACCCGAAGACGGACTACTACAATGTTTGGATTACACTTTTTTCGGGATGATATACTGGAAAGAATGGCTATGAGAGTTATCCGGTTGAGAGTTTTTTGTTTGAGGGATATTCAGAGTTTATAGGATAAACAACATCACAATATATGTAGAAACACACTTTCATCATTTCTACCGTAACTAAACCCTGATAAACCAAAGTTTGCCAACGAATCGGCTCAACTAAAATATCGTCCAGACAAAAGGTTATATCATTAGGACGGCTTCAGCTCAGAAAATGTCTAGATCATACGCAAGTTATTCTGATTTTCACTTTTAATGACTGCACAGGGTTCCAAAAGGCCTGGTCAGAAATCGCGCACCAGAAAGCTTTTGGGCCAGACGAACCTTAATAATTTCAAATTGAATGTGGCTTTTAAATGTGTATTTTTAATCATCGCGCTCTTTTTTCGCTGATCGTTGTGCGCTGGGGCGCTGTTTCTGACCGGGTTTTAGGAACCCTGTGCGATGGGTCTGAAGATTAAAAAAATCTACATAGTGCAAAACTGGCTTTTAAGATCTCATTGAGGCAAGATATGGTCATTCTCATTAAAAGAAAACCGATCTTTTAAAAACTCGATTTCAAGAATATCCAATATGAATATATTTGCATAAAAAAGATACAGCTACAATTGTCTTGTTGATGTTCTAATTAATTTAGAATTTCCAAAGTAAATGTCAATTGGAGACGCTGAAAAAATGCTTCTGATTAGAATCGAGAAAAAAAAACCTGAAAACGTAGAAAACCCTGTGATGGTTCAAAACAATTTTGAGCGATGATTCATCCCTCTATTCGATATTATCAGAAATCAAATTTTTAGATCAAAATTTTTTATTCCTTTGCCTTGCGTTTCCCCAAAATCTGAAACTCTAAAGACTCATTGAAATATCAACGCCACATCAGCTATCATGAACGAACTGAACCAATTATCAGGTCATAATTTCCATAAATTGTGTGGATGGAATAAATTATGAAGTTCTGTGGGCAGCACCCTTTTACTCAATTACTTCTGGCTGTTTCCTTGTTTCATGTCTCATGAAAGTTCTAATCAAGGAAATCACTAATGACTTCAAGGATGCGTTTCGGTAAGTCATTGGTCCCAAAATATAAGATAAACAATGAATGATGAAAACAACGAATCAATAGGAAACAAGTCATAAATGAAATGTGTGTCATTCGAAAATAGATACGATAAGGTCGACAATACAACAAAGACATAGATAATGTGCTATGGGTTAGGTACCAAATATGTTTTTTGTTTCTATTTTTTCTTCATTTCTCCAATTCTTCAACCAATTTGATTGGACAGTCAATTGTCTTCAATTTAACGTACTGTCTTTTTTTACCTTCATCTTAGACTTTGAGCCGAAAAAAACTAGATTCTATGGTGTTGCTGAAAAATGAGCCAGCAGTCAAAGTTGGTTTCAAATCGCACATTTTTAAAATTTCTCTTTTCCTGTCAATCAATGTGGTTTGTACCTCGTTGCCGAAATGATTATCAGAAAAAATTACCAAACGACTCAACTTTTTTCCAGACAAAATTGTACTTTTTCTCCTTTTACCCATTTCACTGATAACCAATTCACTTTGGCATATCTCTAAACAATTTTGTTGAAAATAAATTTTTTGAAATTCAAAACTTTGTTTTAGGTTATTTAAAAATGAAAAAAGATGACGACATAGATACAATCTATTCAAAACACACATTAACACATTTAAAGATGAAATCTAAAGCTTAGTTCTAAAATAGTGTTCCTTTATTCTTTCCTAAATTAGAAAAGTACTTCTATTTTGACCCAATTGATCTATTATCAATCGTATGAGCCTTGTGAGTTGTGTCTGTGTAAATACACATCACTTCCAACTATTATTTTGGTACAGGAAAATTTCTGTAACTGTGTCTAAGGTCCCAGAGCGACAACTACCGTAATCTAAAAGTATTTTTATTTTCGATTTTTATTTTTCACTGCGGGTTTTTTGTTATTATTCCCCAATTCGAAGAATCATGCCCTTCGGTGAATTAACAAATAAATACTTTAGGAAATAAATCAAGCCGAAAAAGTTTTTTATACTGAAAAAGTTCACTTAAAGGCGGGGGACATGAAAAAAAATAATGTTCTCGAAATTCCGTTCAAAGATGCCCCTCGAGGAGTTGAACTTGTGAAGGCGAGGATTGAGGGTGCGGCGCCGCTACCGACTGAGCCACGCGGGCAAAGAGAAAGCGGACGCCCGATTGCATACATAAAGGCGAGGACGACAGCTGTACGCAGAGTGACATTAAGCGTTGTACACCGTGACGGTAGAATGCATACTCTAGCTACAAAAAAAATACGAAAAATCTCCTGTCCCCCCACCTTTAAAACGCACGAATTCGAAAGAAAATAATAATTCCGGAAATTGGAAATATATTCAGGTTACGGTAGTTGTCGTCGTGGAACCTTCGGACACAGCCACCGGCGTTTCTCTTGCACATCATCTTTTTTTGTAGGAGAATAATAGTTTATCATGTTTTCTGTAACAAAAAAAACCAATAATCGAATATTTGAAATTCTGAAAGAAACCTGAAAAAATTATATAAATCAATGAACTGCCTACAAACTACATACTGCCTACAATCAATTATTGTGCCGTCCCGTTATCGTGAAAAAACGGGAATGCCCCGCCCACTATCCTGACCGTCTAGTTTGTACACAAAAACAGTGTCTCGGCTCTGTTATCATTCCCAATTTCTGTTGTGCTCTCATTCCTCTTTTCTCTTTTATTTTGTGTGTGCAGTCTTTAACGAATAACTAATTGATTTGCCTACCAATTGTTCTTATTAACATCTTACTCCCGATCCTTCTTCTAACCGACTAACAACCTGAAATCCAGATCAATCAATCGATGGGAAAGGATACGGAAAGAACTCCACTTCTCCTCTCAAGCGCAGAGTTCCGGAAGAGTCAAACAAGTTTAAAGTAAGTGTTTTTTTTTCTCAATTTCAAATTTTCAATTCTAACCAACCTACTACTATTTTCCCTATTTAACAATCGGGTTATCAGTCCTTTTAATGTGTGGACAAACAATCAATACAAAATAGTGACCGTCGTGCTCTCTATCAACTTTTTTATTTGGTTGTATCGGAGAAACTCTAAAATTTTTTACTGGGAAACTCATCACTGTAATATGGGACTCAACAAACGCAAGATGTTACAAGCACTTTTCTAGTAATAACCAACGTCGTAAACTTGTTTTTGAGCTTAAAACTAATGCTGTCCACTCATATTTTTAGTTCAAAAAACAACTTTATGATTTGAAGCAACAAAAAAATAAGGCAAAATGGTATTGTTTGATTACTGGAGTGAGATATTTTGGGAAGTCAGAAAGACACCGCGTTTGCACTTTAAGTTCAATTATGTCGATTTCTATGAGAGGTATCAAAAATATGTTAAATCATAAAATATTGGTGATTTTATGATAAATAACTGCTCAGTTGCAAATTTTTTGATATCTTTTAAAGGAACCGAGATAATTGAGATCAAAGTGCACCTATCTATGTAATAGGTTTTCTCTAGAGCACGGCAACATGCATAAAGCAGGAGCCTAGTGGATTAGGTTATTTTTTCTGAAATTAAACCGGGAACATGTGATTATGAAATTGAAAACATCCCCTGCGAATTTGACAAATTCAATGTAGCATCAAAGGATCTTTGCGAGAGAAGAGAGAACTCTGAACTTTGTAATTACGATTTCATCGAGTGACCTTCTCTTCAAAGTTATAAAATGAGAAATCGGGGTTTGAATTTATTCTGGGCATACATGTCGCGGGCCGGGCCGGGGGAGGAATTTTCACTGGCCCGGCCCGGCCCGGGCTGGCCCGGGTTTTTGAGGAAAAAATTTTAAAAAGTCAGTTTTTGAGAGAAAACTGGATTTTTGGGAACATTTTATCAAAAGTTCTTTGTTTTCATGTTTAAGAAGGGTCATGGGATAAATTTCGTGCTTTAAAATGATTATTTTGACAAAAATGTATCAAAAATTATCATAAAATATTTGAAATTTTCGGAACCCGGGCCGGGCCGGGCCGGGATAATTTTTCTCTAGCCGGGTCGGGCCAGGGCTGACCCGGGCCGGGCCAAGATTTAGCAAGTATGATTCTGGGTCTTTTATGCATTTACCGTGAAATCTATATTGAAACTAAAAATTTCCGTACGATGTCAGTGAAAAATTGTTCAAAATTTTATAATTTCATAAAAATATGTTGGAACACAATTTTTTTCTCAAAAAATTGATCAGTTTTGATGAAATCGAAAAAAATTTCAATAGAAGGGCCGTCCCTTTCTATTGTAAGTTTTTAGGGATTTCCTTTTTCCCTTATTCAGTCCAGATACCAACAAGAGCAAACAACCAAACGGCTCTTTCAAAAATCACATAAAATACTTTATCCCCTTTCATACGTCACATTATTTACAAGCTCTCTCTCCTTCTCCTTCTTTTTCTTCTTTTTCTATCTCGACCAAAGTTTCAGAGTCCAACGAAACAAGCAGTCTTCTAGATAGTTTTTATCCAATCGAAAATGATATTAACTCTCTCAAAAAGATTTTAACACAGATTGAGAGAAAGGATTTGAAGGTTTTTGAGCAAAAATGATGATGGGACAAAGTGTAAACAGAAGGCTAGCGATCTCTTGTGAAACGAACAAGTACATAAATGAAAATATGAAAGTCAATATTTGAAGACAAAAAAGAGAAAGGAGTAGAAGCTTGTCTGGACTTTCAGTGTCTACTTTTTAGATCTTTTTTTTACACATATTTATAAGACGTGATATTGTCAAATTGAAAAAAAACTGGCACTACTGGGTTCCAAAGCAATTGGTCAGAAATCCCAGCAAATCTCGGGAACTCGCTAAATGCGCCATTGTGAAATGGATTCTAGAGATTCTACCGATCATATTTCTACCAAAAAAACTAGATTTTGTTCAGAAAATCTCACTAAATTCGCTGAAATAAATTCCATTCAGTAGAGTATCGGATTTTGAAGCAAGGCCCTGTAAATCAACACAAGTGCTACAATTTCTAGGTGCCAGATGTTTTAAACTCGACTATACTCGAAAACTCAAAAACTGAAAACATGTATTTGTCGATAAAATTTCAAGTTTCCAAGGAATACAATTAGTTTTTTGATTCATCAAAAATGCCTCCCAAAAAGCCCAATAGTCTCATATTGCTAAAATGAAACCAAAAGTATGTTTTTTTTACAAAAACTTACAAACCATTCAGCTGTCTCATTCACCAATTTTCTAATTTAATTTACTAAAAACCAGTCTAGTCTGACATCAGCGAAACAAAACGTATCTCGTTTAAACTTTGCAATGTGATTGGAATGAGCAAAAGCTTACAACTCAATGAGAGAGATCCCGATGTGTTTCTTTGCTTCTTCTCATGTCTCTCAGTACTATTTTCTTTTTCTCTGTTTGTTTTTTCGCCTGCGCACTTTCTTCTTCTTACTCTTTCTTTTTTCAACTGGTCAACGGAGAGAGTGAGAGAGAGAGAGGACGCCTTCTTCTTTCTTCTTCTACTTCCAAAGTACGCAAAAGAATACCAAAACAATGAATTGATTCTACACCTCCTATCACTTTCATCATCTTTATCACTATATCAACTATCCATCTGCGTCTCGTATCTATCTCTATTTATCCTCTGGTTGGCTTGGAAACCTTTCCATCGTGTCATCGGCTTTAACATTGTGTCAGAACAAATCTGAGAAGGAGAAAGAAGAAGGAAAAACGAAGAAGACAAAAGGGCGGAGCCAAGACACCTTCTAACATCATATCTATATTTTTAATTAAACGGACGCACCCCGGGGGTGGGCCGAAGCAGCCGAAACCTTTCGGCCATTCTCACACCTTTGTCTTCTTCTTCTCCCCATTTTCTTTTTTTTTTTTTTCGTTTCCTCCCTTTTATCAGAGTTCTGACTCATGAAAAGCCGAAAAAACGAGCCCACCTGGGTGACTAAACCCCTACTCAAACGGTAGGAATTGTTTTTTTAATGTATTTTCTAAAGACAACGATCCTATCAAACACAATTAACTTTTCAGCTCCCATTCAAGTGATTCCTCCATCGATGAGTCTACTGTCAAGCTCACAAACTATGGATTGTTCTCGTACACCAGAGGCAAAGATCTCATTCTTCTCATTGTTGGAACCATTGCAGCAGTCATTCATGGAGCTGGGTTTCCACTTCTTGCCATCGGTATGTTCCCTGTTTTTTATGTTACGAGAATTAAATAATTATTTTGAATGAAATTATTTCCAGGTGGTGTGAGTTATAGGAAAATGGAATCACTTACAATTAGGGAAATTTTAGAAACTTCTAGATGTTAGCTTGTTAGAGGATTAGGAAAAAAAAAAGATATCTGTCAATAATTGTTCTTAAAAAATTGGGAGCACTGAGGGATTTCATTTCAGAACTAATATTTATTGAGTGGAATGATAAACATCCGATTCTCAATTTCGAATTTCCCAAAACTTTGAATTCTGGATTTAGGAAATTTTAAAATACTGAAATCCGGAAAACTCCAATTTTGAAGTCCCGAATTGCCGAACTCCAAAAAAATTCGAATTTCAGGATCACTGAATTTTCGAGATTTCTGGTTTCCGGCAGTTCCGAAACTCTGAAAATACACCTACCTTTTGTCGCCGTTATCATACGTCATACATCATAAGAACGTTTTCCAAAAAGTGACCTCTACCATCTTCAAAGACGAAAAAATCGTCCAAACTACCTACAAATGCTATTAATTTAATTAGATTTCCGTCAAAATGACATCACTTCTACAGAAGAGATACAATTTTTGTTCAAATTGTGATGTGGTTGAAGATCGTCTGGACAAACTTCGGGAAAAATTATGAACCTTAATTGGGATCTTTTTTTCAGTTCTCGGAGGAATGACAACCGTTTTCTTACGTGCTCAAAACTCGGATTTTGTCGTTGGAGTTGGAAATGTAAACCCGAATGGATTGGAACCGATCTCGATGTGAGTGTTTGAGCAGTAAACAAGATCTTGTTGAGCTCTGAATCATAATTAGAGACTTCAAAAACTGTGACGGCATCTGCAATCTTAGAACTTTGATTCTCTTTTTTGCAGCAGACTGCGCAACATTTTTGACAAGAGGTCTGTGAAAACAGCTGATAGAAAGATACAAAGATACAAAGAAAACAAAAAAATGTGTTTTATTTCACACATTATCTAGTTCCGTGTTCAGTAGAGTAATAATTGTTATTTTAGTGATGAATTCAATTCGGAAGTCGTCAAGTATTGCATCTATTATCTGATTCTTGGAGTTGCGATGTTCGTGACTTCATACGTGCAGATTGCTTGTTTCGAATCGTACGCTGAAAATCTTGTACACAAATTGAGACAGAACTATCTGAAGGCAATTCTGAGACAACAGATTCAATGGTTCGACAAACAACAAACTGGAAATTTGACAGCAAGACTGACAGAGTAAGAAAACAGGGATTATGAGAGCATACATCAAGGTTCAACCCCATCTTTTCAGTGATTTGGAGCGTGTCCGAGAAGGATTAGGAGACAAATTTGCTCTTTTGGTCCAAATGTTTGCTGCTTTTCTAGCTGGATACGGAGTCGGATTCTTCTATAGTTGGTCGATGACTCTTGTCATGATGGGTTTCGCTCCATTGATTGTGCTTTCTGGAGCCAAAATGAGCAAGAGTATGGCGACACGGACAAAAGTGGAACAGGAGACGTACGCGGTGGCTGGAGCTATTGCTGAGGAAACATTCTCTTCAATTCGAACTGTTCACTCTTTGAATGGACATAAAAGAGAGTTGGATCGATTCTGGAATGCATTAGAAAATGGAAGAAAGACTGGAATCGTGAAGTATTGTTACATGGGAATTGGAGTTGGATTCAGTAATTTGTGCATGTATTCTTCGTATGCTCTGGCATTCTGGTATGGAAGTACACTCATTATAAACGATCCAACATTCGACAGAGGACTGATTTTTACTGTAAGTGTTGAACTGGAATCTAGGTTTTTCTATCCGGAATTTACAAATTGGGGAAATGGCATTTTGGGGAAAGTAGTTTTGGTAGTTTCGATTTTCGAGGCCTAGCTTTCTCTGATTTCTGTCTCAGCTCTCTCGAAAAACAGACCAAAGCTTTCAGACTGCATGGTCTAGAATTCCACAAATTGGGTTTCCTAGGCAATATAACGAATTTTGCTGACTGATTTTCTAGGCCACCTGTACTTGTTTTCGGACCATGGCCTAGAAATCTCGAAATTCTTCTGTCAAATGAATTCGATTTCTTTTCAGGTCTTCTTCGCCGTGCTTTCCGGTTCCACTTCTCTTGGTGGTGCTCTTCCCCATCTGGCCAGTTTTGGAACTGCTCGTGGAGCTGCTTATACTGTCCTTCGTGTCATCAATTCTCACCCAAAAATCGATCCATATTCCCTTGAAGGACTTCTCGTTGACAATATGAAAGGAGACATCTCATTTCAAAATGTTCATTTCCGTTATCCATCTCGAAAAGACATTCCAGTTTTGAAAGGAATCTCTCTTGAAGTGAAATCTGGCGAAAAAATTGCATTGGTTGGATCGAGTGGGTGTGGAAAATCGACAATCGTCAATCTTCTTCAACGGTTCTATGATCCAACAAAAGGAAAAGTTTCGATTGATGGAGTCGATTTGAAAGAGATTAATGTGCACAGTCTCCGTGAGCAAATTGGAATTGTCAGCCAGGAACCAGTGTTGTTTGATGGAACAATTTATGAGAATATCAAGATGGGAAACGAGCATGCAACTCATGATCAAGTAGTGGAAGCATGTAAAATGGCAAATGCAAATGACTTCATTAAAAGATTACCAGATGGGTACGGTACTAGAGTTGGAGAGAAAGGAGTACAATTGAGTGGAGGACAAAAACAGAGAATCGGTTGGTTTTGTCTCTGGAAGTATGTATTCAATGATGAATTGTTTCAGCTATTGCTCGTGCCCTCGTTAAGAATCCCAAGATCCTTCTACTCGACGAAGCAACATCTGCTCTTGACACAGAAGCTGAAAGAGAAGTGCAGGCAGCTCTCGATCAGGCGCAAGCAGGAAGAACTACTCTAATCGTGGCTCATCGTTTGAGCACAATTCGAAATGTGGATAAGATTTTCGTGTTCAAGGCTGGAAACATTGTTGAAACTGGAAGCCACGAAGAATTGATGAACAAACAAGGAGTGTTCTATGATATGACTCAAGCACAAGTGGTCCGACAACAGCAACAGGAAGCCGGAAAGGACATTGAAGACACTATCTCGGAATCAGCTCATTCCCATCTCAGCAGAAAATCTTCTACGAGAAGTGCGATTTCCATGGCAACATCGATTCATCAGCTGGCGGAAGAAGTTGAGGTAAGAAACCAAAGACACAACGAAATACCGCAAAACCTGTAAAATAGAAGGGCCTCACAGCGCCAAGTTTGAGCTCAATTATCTCAATTCTTTTGCGAAATACCAAAAATGTGTCAACTGACCAAAAACTTCTCATATTATGATGAATGTTTTATTAGTTGACCACTTTTAAATATCTAGTACAAGAACCGAGATATATAAGCTCAAAGTGTTCAAGTCTAGGGTGACCTTCTATGAGAATGTTTACGGTATTTAGAAAACTCTCACACCTCACAATTCTGACCCAAATTTTTTCTCTTAATCCCCCAATTACAGCTAGTTGACCCATTCAACGGTCAAACGAATCAAGACATGATAAGAGCCCGTGTACTGGCGGCTTTCGGGGGTGTAAGTGACTGAACGGTGTACCTGATCTTCTTTCTAATGATGTTTTCTTTGGTTTCAATTCATTCTAACTCTTTCTTATCTTCTTCTCCCTATCCCTTTTCCTCCTACTTTGCGTTTCTGACACTTTCAACCTTTTAAAACAGAACACAAACTATATGATTTTGAGTTACAAGCATGATGTGAATCCGATTTTGTTTCCAGGAATGCAAAGCTCCACCAACTCCAATTTCAAAGATCTTCAACTTCAATCGAGACAAAATTTGGTGGTTCATTGGTGGAATGTTTGGTGCATTCATCTTTGGTTCGGTTACTCCAGTGTTTGCTCTTGTTTATGCCGAAATCTTTAATGTAAGTTCATTCCGTTCAATTCACGAAAAACTGAACTATGCTCTCTTCTAATTGTAGGTTTACTCTGAACCAGTCGAACAAATGCAATCTGATGTCTATTTCTGGTGTGGAATGTTTGTGTTGATGGGGATCACTTTTTTCATTGGATTCTTCATTTCTGCAAATTGCCTCGGACGATGCGGAGAGTCACTGACAATGAAATTGCGATTTGAAGCATTCAAGAACCTTATGAGACAAGATATCGCATTCTATGATGATCTGAGACATGGAACTGGAAAATTGTGCACTAGATTTGCTACTGATGCTCCAAATGTCAGATATGTATTCACTCGTTTACCAGTGGTCCTCGCTTCAATAGTTACTATTTTGGGAGCTCTGGGAATCGGATTCTATTATGGATGGCAACTGGCATTGATTCTTGTTGTGATGGTACCTCTTCTCGTAATGGGTGGATACTTTGAAATGCAAATGAGATTTGGAAAACAAATAAGAGATACTCAACTACTGGAAGAAGCTGGAAAAGTGGCATCTCAGGCTGTTGAACACATCAGAACAGTTCATTCTCTCAATCGGCAAGAACAGTTCCATTTCACATATTGTGAATACTTGAGAGAACCATTCAACACGAATTTGAAGCATGCACACACCTACGGAGCAGTCTTCGCCTTCTCACAATCTCTGATCTTCTTCATGTACGCAGTTGCATTCTATCTCGGAAGCATTTTTGTGAATCAACATTCAATGCAACCAATTGATGTCTATCGTGTATTCTTTGCAATTTCATTCTGTGGACAAATGATTGGAAACACGACTTCTTTCATTCCGGATGTCGTCAAAGCTCGTCTCGCTGCTTCTCTTCTCTTCTACCTCATCGAACATCCGACTCCAATTGATTCTCTTTCTGAAGCTGGAATTGTAAAACCAATCACTGGAAATATTTCAATCCGAAACATCTTTTTCAATTATCCAACAAGAAAGGAAACTAAAGTTTTGCAAGGATTCACAATAGATGTAAGAACAGTATACTTTGAAAATTTGAAACTTTAAATTTAAATTTCAGATCAAGCCAGGTCAAACTGTTGCCCTTGTTGGACACTCTGGATGTGGAAAGTCAACGATTATGGGGCTTTTGGAGAGATTCTATAATCAGGATAAGGGAATGATTGTAAGGGAAACTTTTGGGGAATTCTAAACTTCTGAAATATCATTTTCAGATGATTGACGGTGACAATATCCGAAACCTGAACATCAGTTCTCTCCGACAACAAGTCTGTATCGTCAGTCAAGAGCCAACACTTTTTGATTGTACAATTGGAGAAAACATATGTTATGGAACAAACCGAAATGTCACATATCAGGAGATCGTGGAAGCTGCCAAGATGGCTAACATTCATAATTTCATTCTTGGATTGCCAGATGTAAGTGAATTTCACTGAAGCTGCAGATGAGAAGTCAATTTGATTTATTTCAGGGCTATGATACTCATGTTGGAGAGAAAGGAACTCAATTATCGGGTGGTCAGAAACAAAGAATTGCCATTGCGAGAGCGTTAGTTCGATCTCCATCAGTACTGCTTCTTGATGAGGCTACTAGTGCTTTGGATACGGAATCTGAAAAGGTTTGAGAATTATGTTATCCATATCCTCTTTAAAATATGTTTTCAGATTGTACAAGAGGCTCTCGACGCCGCCAAACAAGGACGCACATGTCTTGTGATCGCTCACAGGTTGAGCACAATTCAGAATAGTGACGTCATCGCAATTGTTAGTGAAGGAAAAATCGTAGACAAAGGAACTCATGATGAATTGATGAGGAAGAGCGAAATCTATCAGAAATTGTGTGAAACACAGCGAATTGTCGAAAGCCAATAATAAAACGAGTCGATCTTCTGTGTTGTTTCTTTTTTTCGTTCTTCCAAAGAACTTTTGGTTTTGAAAGGGTATTTCTTCGTTGCTTTCCCAAAAGCCTATTCATTTTTTTGTGTATTTGGTCAAAGATTTTGTGATAATTATTTTTCTTGATTGCCTGTGACTTCACTTTTTGTTTGCTGTTTTTTTTTGAATACAATATTCGATGCATAAAAAATGAAGCTTCGTTTTGAAATCTGTCACAAAAAAGGAATTCCGAAAGGCCAAAAGGGGAGTCAGAGTTTGATGAATCGGAACACAATTGAGTAGCTGAACACTTTATTTTTTAGGTCACCAAAGGTTCACGTTCAAATAAAAATCCCTTTTGCACACTGCTCTTTTCCAGCTCGTCCACGAAGTCACTGAATCTTCGTGGACTGATCTCCTAGCAACATAAAAAGAGAGTTCTTATCAGTTTCTACTGGAAAAAAGCTTCCAGAACTAATCGCTTTCCGTTAGTTTGAATATCTTTTCCTAATCAAAATCAGCACGAATTTCGACTAAAAAAATCGAAATGTTGCCAAAGAACTATCCAAAAAGTGAGAATAAGAACTTCTTCAGATTAAACTATCCCTGTTTTCAGCAAGCACAAAACGAAGAGAATCACAGAATGTTCCGGTGCGTTTTTGAATGGTCTCTGATTTCGGAATTCATGACTCATGTACCACGAGAACAAGGTCTTTTGAAACCAATTCCTTTCATCATTCAGTATTCATATGCAACCATTTTCACCGGAATTTTGTTTTTAAATACTATTTTCCCATTTGCATTTGTAGTTCTAAATTTCCAGCCACCACCATTGGAAAATGTTCCTCCAATAATGCATCAACCCCGCGATCGTCGAAACAAGGACACCACCAGAAGTGTGATGCAAACAGTCGAAGAACCACCATCCAATCAATTCAAAAGAAATACGAACATGCTTCCCCCAAAGACTCAAATGTTGCCAGTAAACCCTAGCCAAAATCAATATCCTATCCCGCCGCCGGCTCACTCTCCAATGAACAATTTCCAACAGAACAACTATCCGAAAGAACTTCCTGCCAAAACCATGATGCTGCCTCCAACCCCGATGGTTCCAATTCAAGCAGCTCCACAGTCTCCTGCGAGAACTCAGATGGTTTCAGTGACTCCAATGGCGAACTCTACACGCCCGTCTCAAGGATTCAACCCGTATAACCCACCTCCTCCACTCCCTACACCAATGACACCAATGCAACAACCACCCCAACAGCCACCATCACCGTATGCACGTACACCAAAAAACACAAACGCGTCTGTTGGAACTCTGATGCCCGTTGCTCAATTACCAGCCATCACCGCTTCAACTCCATCTAATCTTCCGCCGCCTCCACCAACAGCGCCAGCCCCAGTATATCAACCATCTGCAGAACTTTTCAAAAAGTCAAAGGAGAAAGGTGGAACGATAGACGAGGCAGAAGCTTCTGAGAAAGCGTGAGTGAAAAGAACAACTAACCACATATAGATTTTTACAGTAAGAGGAAGGAAATGATAAATAACTGGATCCGACAAGTGTTGACAAATGGGATTGAGGGATTGAAAAAGGAGTACAAAGATGCACCAAACGGAGGTACTATCGAACAGGCTCAAGTGTTCCACAACAATCCGACTCGGAATCGGTATACCAATATTCCATGTTGTGATGCAACACGTGTCAAGTTGGATGGAGATCCCAATTTTTATATTCATGCAAATGTAGTCAGGTAATTTCAGAAATTCTAATATTCATCCAGTTCCTATTTTTCAGCTCCGCGCAGAACCGTCGTTTCATATGTGCTCAGGCTCCGTTGGCTGGAACTGTGGAAGAGTTTTGGAAGATGATAATCTTCTCGGGACTAGAATTGATTGTGATGCTTTGTGAATTCGTGGAGACAGGCAAACAAAAAAGTGCTGTTTATTTTCCGGCCAAAGTAGGAGCTTCGATGAAGATTGGGAAGCTGTGCACAGTTACTAAGATTTCCAGTGAGAGTGTAAGATTTATTTTTTCAATTCGAGATTTTCAATTAGTTCTTCAGCTCGACAAAACTTTGACAATGTCAACGTTACGTATAACGAAAAAGGACAAACAAGATGCTACGTTGACTGTGAAGCACATCCACTGGCACAATTGGCCAGACCATGGAGTTCCTGATAATTTTATATCTCCATTGCGTCTTTTGAATCTCTACAGGGCCAGCCCGTAAGCCTTCTGACTATATTAATCCCATTGAAAATTTAAACTTTAACAGAAAACCGATCATTGTCCACTGCTCCGCTGGTGTAGGTCGAACAGGAACTCTCGTTCTGATCTTCATAATCCTGGAGTCGTTCAGTCTCCCGGATTTTGCTGGTGTTCCACGTCTTCTCGCAAAACTTCGAGAAGAAAGATTCAAATCGATTCAAACGGAGATGCAGTACTTGTACGTTCATCGATGCGTACTAGAGTATTTGGTCTACAAAAAGTATCAACATTCGAAAGAGGACTATGCAAAGTTTGTCAAGGTAAGTTCTAGAAAGTTCTCTATTCTCAAAAGGGATTGGTTTCAGCATTACAAAGCAGCTGAGAAGACTGCGGCATAAACGGAGATTTTTCTGTTTCCAAATGACACTTAATATTGAAGTTGAATTACGATGTGGTCATACAATGAAATGGTTTTTCTCTGACATGTTTTGAAACAGGTTTTAAAAGCTAGAAAAGAAAGTTGAAATATCACCGACATTCACACATTTCACATACCGTAAAAACTCTAATTTAACACCATGACGTCCTATTTTTCAAAACTTAGCTGGGAGAACGTTCTATTAGAGGCTGGCATTATATTATTCGACATCATCAGAAATAATTTCTTTCAGGGATGTTTTCAGCATACACAAATATTCAAAAAGGTTCAAAACATTCAAATTTGACCATTATCAACTTTTTCATTTATTTGAATGTTTCTTTTTGGCCAGTACTGGCAACAACAATTACATAGTAGGTGAAACGAAAATGTACTTTTGGGGTGACGCACTATTAGAGGGTGGCATTTAATTGGAGGGTGGCGTTCTATTTTTCAGAGCATTGCTCAGAGAAAGTTGTATTAGAGGGTGGCGTTCAATTAGGAGGGGCTATACTTCAAAAAATTTCAGTTTAGGCAGGTTTTTTTTATGAAGAACACTATTTTTTCCATTGTAACCGTGTAATTTGAAGTTATTCAGCTAGTTTCAGATTTTTCCAGGCTTACAAGGAAAGTGTTTTCAGACAGTGGTTGAGAATTTGTTTAAACTTCGGTCATTGGTACTTTTGGACACGCTGATCACAGCGCTGCTTTTATTTTTTGCCCCTTGCCCCTCACAAAAAAGTTATGGGCTTTGAAAGTGATTTCAGTGCTACTTTCTCACATTCGGAGTGAATTTTTGGAGGGGTTAATAGCAGTTGTTCGGAGTTTCTCGAATGTAAATAGTCCTTTTGAAGGTTTCTCTACAATCTGAGAAAATAGCCTCATTTTTCAAAAAAACTTTTTTTTTTGAAAAAAAGTCGCCATGGGGTTGGATATTTTGGATATTTTTACAATTTTTTGAAAAATTTTCAAATGTGCTAGAATGATTTCTAAACGTAAAGAACCGATAAAATGAGTTTTTTCATGAAATTTGGTATTCTAAATATTTCTGGAAATCACAAATATGTGCTTTCTTTCAAAACTTTAATGGATCGTAGGCCTTCGGTAATCACCCAGTAGCACTCAAATCTTGTAAAAACATAGGTTTACATAATTTCTGACTAATTTATTACTGTTCCGCATCCAAGCTGAGCAAATCTGGGTGTTTCTGACTAACAATTTGATTAAAGATGGTTTTCCAGCAGTTCTTCAAGAAAATTTCAAAATGATTTCTTGGGTTTTTTTTTGAAACAAGTCAAAAATATTTTTTTTTTCAAAATTATTAAAAATCTGAATGGAAATTTTTTCTAACGGTTTTGACACACTTTGAGATTTCCAGCAATATCAGAAAAAAAAGCAGAAAACAAATCGGGGAAAGAGGGATCGAACTAACCCTTGTCAGTAACCACCATCCCTCTTCACAACTACACCACACTCGCTGTTCCTCACTGCTTTCACAATTTGTATAAGAAAGGGGAAGATCGCGCTCACGCTTTTAATGCTTTAACAGAGGTGAAATTTCAGACGCGTTTTTTCAGCTTCTAGGTACCGAGGGGCACGAAAAAAAGTCGTCTCGTTATTGACCATGCCCGAAAGTATATGTGTACCAATTTTCAAGAAATTCTCAACTACTGTCTGAAAACACTTCCCTTGTTAGGAACAAAAAAATAGACAAAAAATATGCAAAAAATGACATAAACTGAAATTTTCAAAAAATTATGAAAAGTGTTCAAAGTTCAAAAGTTTTAATGGAAACGGTCACAAAACTAGAAAAAATTGGTAAATCTTAACTTAGTCCACATTTTTACCTATGGGCCCCCTTTTGACTTGGCCCCCCCCCCCTACTCTCATCGCCCCCTCCCCTTTTCTCATGGGCCCCCACTTGTCATAAAAAGCCGAAAAACGCGCCCTAATTAACTTTTAGGCCAGAAGAAGTTTAATAATTTCAAAGTTGACGTGGATTTGACCTGATTAATTTCAATCAATGAGTTGCAACGCGTGATTTTTTCGCCCAACGTTTAAAAGTCTGATCCTCAGCCAAATAATTCAGCAGCGAATTGTTTCTAAAATCTCACGTTTACTGGGGCGCGATTTCTGACCCGTTGCTTTGGACCCTAGTGAGAACTCAAATCCAAAATGAAACATCTTTTATAACTTCATAATTTTCAGGCGCTCAAACTATTCTCCCTTTGTCAACTTTTTTTCATCTCCAACATTTTTTACCTAAAAATAAACGCTGTTCTTTTTGTTATTTTACATTGGCAAATATTGACTCTAATCTGGTTCTTTTTTTCAGAGAATTGAATAATTGGAACTACAAAAGAAGCTCTCTTATAAACTCCTTTCAATTTTTTCAGTAATTCAAAAATGGAAGCAATCATCACAAAAACTTTATTCAATTCAAATGAAAGAGTTTTTTATTTCGATTTCTCAGCACTTGTTCCTTCCTTTTCTCTCTCCCAATCATATGGTGCATCGATATCCATTCCAGCCGCAGTGCATGCTTCAGAAAGTGATTTGTAGATGAACTGATAGTCCAAACGATCCTGATATGCTCTCGAATCGATGTAATCGAGTATTTTGTTCAATTCAGTTGTTTGTTTGATGCCATTGTACAAAAGGGATCTCTTATCTTTACGGCACTCCTCTTTCATCTTCAACACTTCGTGTTTATCAGTCAGTTTTCTCCAAGGAACACTTCCAACCAGAATGAGATCAATGAGAAGGTAGAACCAACTCTCCACGTCATCCTTTGGAGCCATCTCGATGTTTCGATGACAGGCGATCGGAGCATATCGAACTGTTCCCTGAAATAAACTGATATCATTTGCTAGCAGCATGACATATGAATCGAACCTTGAATCCGACTGTTTCTCTTGGTGTCTTCAACTCATTTTTAGTGTTCAAATATTTTCGAGCAATTCCGAAGTCGAGAATGTAGATAAGATGTCTCTTATCATCCAATCCACACGCATAGTTTTGCGGTTTCAGGTCTCGATGGATGAATCCTTCCTTGTGAAGTTCTTCAACTGCTTCCAGACATTGACTGGCAACTCCAAGGCCCGTGGCAAATGAGAAAACTTTGTCCTGTCTCTCCGATTTCAGATCACTCAGACTCTTCCCAACCAACTCCATCACCAGAAAGAAGAATCCTTCTTTATCTTTCTTTCCACGATCCACAATCTTAGTGAAGTGTTTTCCATTGACCAATTTCAGAATAGCAATCTCCATTTTCAGTTTCGAATGCTTTCTTTTCTCGATCTTTCTCTCCACCTTCATCGCACACTGCTTCCCTTTTCCATCCTTCACAAGATACACTGCTCCGAATCCTCCTTCTCCCAAAAGACGAACAACTGTATATGTGGCTTTACCACTTGTGATTTCCACTCCCTGTAAATTTAGAAATGTTGATGGATTCTGACTCTGAAGAACTTACAGCTTTGAAGTTGACATCATCCTCCTCCTCATCGGACATCGTGGCTTTTCCTGCTGTTTTTCAAATTTCGAAAACTGTTCGGTTTGACAGATTGTACTGAAGACTGGAGTTTCGATTAGTAGATAGATAAAAATCTGCACCAACTCGATGGAAATTTATGATCTAGTTCTAGTTGACGATTTTTCAAAATTAGGCGTGTGAGATTTTATGATTTCTTTTGGGAGTTTCAGGTTATTTGGGAGGTTCTGAATTTTCGTCGTGAATGCAAATTCTCTGTTTCCAAGACCTTAAATTTAAAAGTTGGGAAAATCTGAAAATGTGGAATTCGTAAAGTTGTAAAACCTGAAGAAGATCAAAATTTTCGAAGTTTCAAAATGGGAAAATCGAGGTATTCAAAATTCAAAGTTTTGCATTTTCTATAATTTTGTTTTCACAAAGTTTTGGATTATTTTAAAATTATTTTTTGAAAGGTTTGAATGTTCTTAAAATACATAAAAGTCAGAAAATTCTGAAATTCAAAAATTGCAGAATCCTTAAATCAATCGGAAAATAGAAAAAACTCGAAATTGACGAAATTTGAGTAGATTTTAACTCTCGAATTCTCCGAAAACCTCAAAAAATTTCTGAATATCATTCAACATTTTCAAAACAAAGTTCTAGAAGTTTTGGTCAGGTAGTCGAAATTTGAAGAGGAACATTACTTTTTGGGAGAGTTCATTTTTAGGACTTCTGAAGAATTCTGGAGAAATCTTCTAAAATCAGTCCCTAGCTGTTTTTTCCGACCCCCATGATGTGTGACATACGTTTTTTTTTTCGTAAAAACTTCAACATTCTTCTATTTCACTGAAGAGATAAAAAAGAGCAGTTGTCCTGGTACTACCAACCTCACCACTATCACAAACTTATCATTTTTATGGCTTTTCGCCGCGGCTCCCGTCTTTTTGACAAAAAAACGATTTATTGGGTAAACGAAACGACACAACTGTCGTTCTTTTTGACTTCAGCTTGGCGGTCAAAAGATTCTAACAGGAGTGATTGAAAACGTTTTTTAGAACACACACACATTTATTGACGCCTCCGGTATAGATAATCTTTTTTTTCAAAAAATACAGTCAATGAAAATGGGGAATAAGTGAGCAGGATAATCGGGAAGAAATGCATAAGGGAAGATTTGACAAGTATCATTTTGAGGGCGGAAATGCAGCACTGCTGGCTTTGAAAAATACTGTTGAATACTGAAGAAAAATAACATACACTACTTCCAAATTCTAAAAAAAGTAATACTGGGGGAACCGTTGTGATACAAACAAAAAGAATTGAGCAAAAATGAACGTTGTTGATAGATTCTGATTAGCTAATCAGAGCACGATGAAATGGGCGAAGACATGGGATGAGAGGATGCAGTTAATGACGAATGTTGTTGTTGTGGAGAATAGTGAGGAAAGATTGCAGCTCCAGGAGGACCAAGAACTTCTGATGATGTTGATATGACGGATCCCGGTGGCAGGATTGGTGTTACTCCGTATGGTGGCATTTCAACTGGAGAGTTGAACATCTGAAAATCAGAAACTTTTTAAATGAGACAAAAATTAATAGAGAAAGAAACTGCTTCAAAGATCTGTCAGAATCATCGAGAGGTTTTGAAAACCTTGTCAAATGATAGTTTTTTCTTCATTTTTGGTTGCAAGGTTAATGTAGCCTAATCAAAAGAGCATGATAAAATTAACTGGGCATGAAAAAAAAGAATTGTCTGGAGATTTTGTTTATATAAGGATTGATGGCACTCTGTGAGCCCAAAAATAAAAATTTTAGCCATTAACGGGTTCAAGTTGACATCAACAGCATCTAAGAGATTGTTATAGGATCTCTTCATTGCTGATTTCAATTCAAGTTCATAATCTACCTCTTCGAGAGAATATATGACACTATGCCATTCCCCTTGCATAAATACGACTTTCAGAACTCCAAATCCTAAACTCTTACCATAGGATTTCCAAATTGCGGTGGCGTTGGTGTCGTTGACCATTGTGCGAACGAATGAATATCAATTGGTCCACCACCTAGCGTCGTGTCAATGTGCGGAGTCGGTGGTTGAACCATCAAAGGACCGATTCCATTGATTCGTACCCTAGTGAGCACGTCTTCCTGAAACCAAAACATTCATTCTCTCTTTTTATTTACATTTCCAGTTGACTGATTCGTGTGTCTACAAAAACAGATGCCCCAAAAAAGATGGGAGACTGAATAGAAGAAAAACGGCCGTGTATGTGTCGGGGCTGGTAGTAATTAACGAATTACCGCACCGCGCATCTCTGTGACAGAGAGACTACCACACTAATTAGATCAAGACGACACTGTAATAATAATGGAAAAAAAGATGAAAAGGGGCGATGGAAATGACACGGCCAACCAAAACGAAAGCGACGAATTTGTTGACTGACCATGCAAAAACTATATGGAACGGGTTTAGCGAGAAGGATTACGGTAGTTATGGTAAGGGATTACTGGAGATTATGATAGGAGAAGAAGAAAAATGAACTGGTTCGACCTGGTGATCGGCATGAAAAGTCATGTAATAATCCGGGGCAAATACGCATCTCAACAAACATCTCAGTTTACAAATGGTCCCTAACATCCTTCTTGTCTTTCTGTCTCCCGACACATCTCTGGGTTTTTGAATTCAAACAAACGGGTAAACATTTGGAGAGCCAAAGTGGGTTATTGTGATAGTTGATGTTCGGAAAATAGGGAAGAAAATCAAAACAGTTGGTGAAATAGTGGGCAATTTTCGAGAGGGTTCGAAGGAACATAGAACCATATGGAAACTGCGTGTCACCTCTTCAGAATTTGAGAAGAAAAGCGAGGAAGAGGAACGGATGGAAGGGAGAAGAAGAAGGAGAAGCACTTGAGATTTGAGCAGAGGAAGAAAAAGAAGAGTATTATTTTCAGATGTATCGGCTTTCAGAGATATCGCTGACTTGCATGAATCTGATATTCATAAGAGGAAAATGAGAGAAACAACTAGAATGTGCTTGATATTTTTGAAAAACATTAATGTGAATTTAAATTAAAGATTTTTTAAAATTTTCTAATCTTTTTTGAAAAATTCAACTTTGAGCTCAATTATCTCGATTCCTGTGAAAGATATGGAAAAGTTATCAACTGATAAATTATTCAGCATATTATCACCAACATTTTATCAGTAAACAATATTTTGATATCTTTCACATGGATCGAGTTCATCGAGCTCAAAAGCTTGAGTGGGCTTCTATTAGAGGATCTATGTAAGTTGACTTGGAAATGCTCCGGAATTTGTTTATTTTTCAACAATATTCATAGTTTGATAATTGATAAACAAGTTACATATCATACTACCCAATTTCTAATTTTTCACTTCTTTTACAAATCACAATTTCCATTTTGAGCACAGACTACAAGTCTACGCCCATGGTATGGTTTTGAACTTAAGCTTAAAACCTTTCTAATTCCTCATCTTTGATTTCTAGCTAGCTATGTGTGATCCCTCATCTTTCTCCGAATTTCCTCAAAATCTTTTGATCGGTGCAAGAGCAAGAGCGCATCTTTCTAGGACAACCTAATTAGCTCAAACGAGTAGTAAATCTGTTCCGAAATGGTTTATGACAGACTGACTCCTGCTGGTCAACGTCTTCATTTTGATGACCGATCCCCTCGTTTTTCTAAAATTGAATTGACACAGAAGGGAGCCGAAGACAGATGTTTCCTTTTCAAGATGAGGGGATGCAGGAGCCAAAACAAATAAAATCTTCTTCTTCCTCTTTTGGGTGGTCTCTATTTTCTCTCTTTCCAAACTTCTCACCTCCAGAAGAAGAAGAAGAGAAGCGGCGGCTTCCGAATTAACACTGATGGATTGCCGGAGACGTGACGATGAATCGAGTTAAAAGAGATAGCGGGGGAAAAGAAGAGAGCTAGAGACAGATAGCGGGGCACGCGATCAAAACTAATTACGACACGAAGAGCATACACATTCACACACACACTGCATTCCACCTAATTGGGTTACTGTAGGTGAGCTGGAAAAGATGAGAGAAATGCACATTTTATTTGTGTATCATGCCACGTCACAATATTCAGAATATATATTCATGATAGGAAAGCAAGGAAGCATCAAGACAGTGAGATGATAAGGAGAAAGACTTTTGAAATAGCAAAAAAAAGAGATAAATATATATTAGAAGATAGGTTGCTGATCACAATACAACATTGGAATAGGTGGACTATTGAAACATACTCTTTCAGAGTTTATCCTGCTCTCTGTGATTTGAATCTGGCGTTTCTTATCCTTGCATCGCTTATTCTGGAACCACACCCGAATGACACGTGCATTCAGACCAGTCATCTCGACGAGTTTCTCCTTTAATGAAGCATCAGGCCTTGAGTTACAAGAATAGCAATCCTTCAGAATTTTCAGTTGTTGTTCATTCAACACAGTTCGTACTCGTGTAGCCTGTTTGTCTTTTTTCTTCTTCCCACAACTACTCGACGATCCTCCAGATCCACTGTTATGATGACCGTATAATGGAGTTTGGACACCATCTGATTTGGGAGACCTGTAACAAGAGAAACCCGTGTTTTGTATCGGTAAAGATAAAAAGAAAGCAGATGTTGCTGCCAACCAGGTGCATTTGCTCACTAGATTAAGCCCCAGGTACTGTTGGTAAACATATCTAAAAGTGTCAAGTGGGTGAAGCTGCTTTTGAGCCAAAAAACACCTGGATGCTCTTCAAAAAATAAAATGGCACTTACCCTAAAGGACTCGATGTGTTATTGTCTAGAGACGTCAAAGTGGATCGTTCTTCATCCCATTCATCTTCATCGAAATTTGAACTCGAATTGTTAGTATCATTGTTATTATTCGACAATTTTGAAAAATCTGGAAGGGAGTCTGATCTATCCGGCCTCTCAATCCCTTGACAATCCGCACGACAGTATACGTTGTTGTTCTTGATCTACAAAACTTTTATGTATATTTGAAAAGGACATTTATGTACTTTATATAAGTATATAAGGTTAGCATAATTGTAAACCAAACATTATGCAACCATGTAATCCCTGCTACTCACCTGGAACTCCTCTCCTGTCTGCAGCCTTTTTTCACAAGCCACACAAGAGAAACAATGCAAATGAAATACGTTCAGATCTCCCGCTCTCATCACAAGATCTGATTTATCGAATTCTCCATGACATCGTGTGCATCGTGTGGTCTTGAATATACTGAAAAAGAGATATTGTGTTTGTGTTTATCTGGTGCAATTTCCGGTTGCATCTCTCCTCTTATTTTCACACCTTTTGCCGTCTGGTGGCGGCTTTTTTCTGTGAGAACAAGAAGCGGAAAGATGCGTCAGATGGGCGGTTTCTTAGTGATTACGTTAGAGAGCATCCCGGTTGAATGCGTGATTTCCGGAGAAGGGAAGTGAAAGGGATGGCACATTCGAACCCTGTTATTATCAAGAAGCCGTTCGGTTGTGATTCTATTAGCACAGAGAGTCAAGAAAATGGATACTGTACTTATGAGAAGAAATAGGTTTTGGTAGGAAAATTCGCATTTTTTAAAACAGAAAAGCCAAAAAATAGCGTCTGCTGAAAAAACAAAGAGCAAAGAATTTTCAAATTTATAGTGATACCAAAAGATTCTCCTTACTATCAGAATTATCCCGTACGAAAACGTATTAACATCCGACTAATCTTTTCGGCTCTAAAAATGTTGACTCGACATCCGAATTTCCAGTAGAATACAGTATGAAATTTGTGACATATTCTAACCCAAAATTAAAAATAAAAATGACATAAAAAACCATCTACACAAATAGGAACAGTTGCTCCTTCGGACCACTTGACACCCTCTCCAGAATCATCTTCTCCCAATATTACGCATGTAACCCCGTTAGTTATCAACTTTTTCCGTAATTCACACCCTACCGTAATCCCGTAATAATAACTTTCAACCATGCTTTCAAATATTCACTGACTGTGTAATGGGGTAATTTATCCGGTCTCTTTTATGCAAATGCATCCATAATAACAATAATAGATCCTCCCTTCCTCTTTTCCAAAACTACCGTCTCTATTATTGTTGTAAAATGTGTGTTGTAAGTGAGTCAACATCAACTACTATATGGGGCCTAAATTCTTTTCTATTGTATTTCGAAGCGACGCGCAGGTGTCTCCTCCCATGGCTCCGTTCCCCCGGCCCCCGTACTTGTTCCACCTGTCATCATCAACCGTTTGACCTACCTTCTGTAATCATCCTTGCAATACGTGTGTCCATCTTTCACGAACGCCGTCTGATTCTCATCCAATGGTCGAGCACATTGAGCACACTGCAAAAAGAGGAATTAGGTGGAAAACTTAGGTATTCATCGGTGTCAAGCAGCTCCCCAGCCCCCTGGATATGCAAGTGACAGATGGTAAAAGTCCCTTATTTTAGATCACGCAATGTCTTCGCCTCCTTCTCATTCTAAACGAGATTCCGTTCACACTCAAAAAATCAACAAAATGCGCGAATTTGCGCAGTAATTCGATCCATCTCTTCCTCTTCCTGGTCAACACTTTTGATTCTTTTTCATCGTCTTTGACCCCCTCTACTTCATCATTTTTTGCCCTTTTTGATTTGAGGCATATTTCACATCAAAAAAAGTGTAAAAAGTGAAGCAAAAAGTACAATGGTCCGGAATAAAGGTATCAAAACGGTGAATTATTCAAACGGAGAAGAAAAAGCGAGCAAAGGGAAGAGAAAGGAAAAGGACTTCTGAATAATATTCAAAATGGAAATCCGATGTACACATTGAAATGTGGGTGAATACATATAAAATAACTAAACAATACGTCAAGTCATGCGCGAAAATGTTGCCTCTAATGCTAGGTTATAGGAAACGGAGAAGAAGAAGCTCATCTTTGAGGTTGTCTGCTTTTTGGAGAATGATCTGAGCTGGCAGATACAAATCAGATTGCAAAAATCTTAAAACTAGAGCACTACCCACAATCTGTATCAATGATCAAACCAGACTATTCTATCTGGAGAATAACCGTATTTCCTCTGATAGAAGCTTACCCAGACTGGTAACTTCGAGCTCGATTATCTCGATTCCTGTTAACGATATCAAAATTTTGTCAACTGATAAAATAGTGGTGGTATTATCTTTCTTATTAATAAAACGCTAGAGGCGTCTGTCCGTCCTCGTGTCCGTCTGTGGACTTTTGAAAAAATTGAAAAATACATATATATTTACGTGACCCTTTTATTTAGAAAAAGTGAGAAACGAAGCGACGAACATTTGAAAAAAAAAATAAATTGAATCGCGCCGAAGGCGCACCAGCTTGCTGGTAATAAATAATTTATCAGTTTATAAACTTTTGATACCTTTCACAGGAATCGAGATAATCAAGCTGAAAGCTGACGGTTTGGTTAGACTTCCATTGTAGGAAATACGGTATCTGTTGTTTGATGTTCAATAAAATCCTATGTTTTAAAAATATAATTGTCTGTTTGGATTCTTATGTTATTTCAAATGGTTTTTGTTTTTCGTTTGTCATATTCTATTATTTTCAAAATTTTGAAATTTTACTCCAACTAACCTTGAGGCAATGTGCATGAAACTCCATATCTGGATGAACCCTCAAGAAGTACCGATCTGCTATTTCTGAAAAAAAGCACTTTCTCATTTCGATCCCTTCTTCTGAACTCACCTAATCGGCAGCCAGCACAAACTGCCATCGGTTGTTGCTGTTGACGTTCTGAAAAAGTGGAAAACCGATTAACTTTGCTTTCTTCTCTTTTCGTACCCAAATTACCCCAAAAAGAGAGGAAGGGTTGATTTGAAGATTACAGGGTTTGCTCAGAAATAGAGTTTTTAAAGGGAAAGGAAGTCAGCAAAAAAGTGGGGGATAATGATACCCAGGGCGAGGTGTCAGAAGACAATGAAAAAGTAGTGGGCCTTTCTTCGCCCATTTTGAAGCCTCCACCAAAAAGTGCTCTGCTCACACGCAGTTAGAGCCTAACAAAGCTCATAAAATAGCTCATTTGTCGAGTGTTGGTCTTCTCATTTCTTCTCAAATTCTTTTTCGGTGCTTCCAAAAAAATTCACACTTTCTTGCCACCTCATAAAAAAGACGGGTGGTGTTCTTCGTTGAAATATGAAACATATTACCTATTTCGGGTCAACAAATAAGAAAGTTACTAACCTAACGCCCAAAAAAGGAGAGAAAAGTTTACTCAAGACACAACAATTATAGGCGACACCTGCTACAGTAATCCTAATCGGTCGCCCCGACCCCGCCAACAAAACTACGAAAAAGTTGCGAATTGAGAGAGAAAAGAGTCTCTCTTGGTTCTCTTCATGTTGAAAAATCTCTATCGCGGATATGTACATGTGATATGCACATCTATCCGAGAATAAGACGATTACAGCTTCTGACGAGGGAGATAGGAAGGAGTTTGTTGAAAAAAAAAATGAAGAAGAAAAAGTGGGAGGTTCATGGAAACGAAAAGGTGAAAAAAAGAAAAACGGTTTTTGTTGTGATTGTTTTTAGTTTTCAAACTGATTGAATTTTAAAAAGATTGAAACATTTTTTGATAGATTTATCTGTACCGCCCACACTTTTTCAATTCTGTAGGGGGTTTTTTTGGGAGGAAAACAGGGAGAAAGTACACGATTCTCTTCTCTCTTCTGATTATGTTTGCAAAGGAAATGAATCACCGAACGGGCCAAAAAGTAAGAGTTTTTAATCACTATTTTTGAAAGAAAAAGTTGACTTTGGAATACATTTCAAGTTGTTACAGAAACAGAAACTCAAGCGGACTACTGTAGCGGAAAAAATAAAAGTGAAAAATAGCATAAAACTGTGTCTTTTCCATGCATAAAGTTACAGATGAAACAAGCCGAAAAGAAACAGGCAGGGCCCGGCCGGCCCATATTTTCAGGTTTAGAGGCTTGTAATTTTGTTCATAAGCAAGACACGGTTGTTTCGAATACAATCATTTTGTAGTACTCGTCGAGTTTTATCATATCTAATTTAGTTGGTCCAATACTATTAATTCTAAAAGAAACTATGGCACGGCCCGTTTAACAAGTATGATTCTGACAAAACCTTAGAACATTAGATTTTGAAATAACTAGGTGTTCCTAAAATCTCAACTGTTTCACACCGCAAAATGATCTTGAAATTTGCTGATCCGAAAAAAATACAGCCTCCCTGACAAATTCAAAGCTCCCAAAAGTTCATTTCAGATTCTAGACCTATCTTCTTCTTCTTCGAGACCTTCGCTCAATAATTCAGAGCTTATCCTTCTTTCCCAACTCATCAAGTGTCCAAAACCAAAGGAACCAAAAGAACACTTTTGTTGCAATGTCTCCTCAATTCAATTTCTGTTTTCATTCAAGAATTAAAAATCTGGATATTTATGGATCAGAAGGGCATTTATCCTAATCGTTTTAGCTTCTTCTAATATTTTGGACATTATTTTTCTTCCTCAAAAACAATATTTCAAAGAAAAGAAAAAGACTCACGTTCAACTGGAGAATCGAGACAAAGATACTTGGAATCGGGTTCTTCTTTCCAGAAAGATGCTCCCAAATCGAGATCCGATGTTCCTGGAGATGTGATTGAGAATAGTTCATACGCACTTCGCATGCATATATTGGCTGCCATTATAGAAAACAGAATAGGGAAGGAAAGAGATAGGTGTTTTTTCAGAAGATGATGAACCAGGAGTTTCTGAAGGAAAAGAGCCGTAAAGAGAGACCTCGATGGGTCCTAGACGAAAGTGGGAGGAGTGAAAAAGAGGTTGGGAAGGAGGTGGTGGTGGGGGGAGAAAAGGAGAATAGAGACCGATGCATTGGTCGACTCCGCCCCACTTTTAGGAGAAGAAGAAGAAAGAAGAAGAGGGAATCGAGTAAAGGAGAGACAATCAACCGGATGGGAACACCTAAGTGATAGAAGAAGATAAGTGTGAACGGGAGTTGAAGACTAGGTGAAGGAGACGTTGGAGAGGAGAGAGCCCTTCGGCAAGAGAATGAAACTTGAGAACAGTTTCAAAAAAGAGTGCTTCGAAAAAAGAGGATCGTTAGGGGAAAGGAAAACACCAATGAATTCTAAAATTAAGTTAACTTGGTGTCTGACGCAGGTTTTCCAAACGAGTCTCAAAATCATGAGGAATGCACAGGGATCCGTAGAAATGCTCAATTTTCCGAAACGGAAAAATTTATCGAATCCAAAAACTTGGGACCCGAAGGTTTTAGTATGAAAAGGCCAATGCTATCACCAATAGAACAATTTAAGTTAGAAGTTCAATGAGAAGAAAGTTGGAGGTGCTGAGGAATATTCCAAAAAAACATTTATTTTCGAACTACGGAAAAAAAACATTCCTCCTTGTTTGAGGCTATAAAATAGGCTTCGGAGCTTCAAATTTTCAAGTTTCAGTAATTTTATATAGCTCATGAGCTGAATGGCGTAAACTGGAAAAGGAGTAAACTGGTGAATGACTTCTAGCAGGTAGCCGAAGGAGAACCGACGGACCATCGACGGACTGTTAACAGACAGAATTCAGTATGGGTATACTAATTTATCAAGCTGTTCATTTCTGTAATGACTGGAAATTTTCCAGATTTGGGATTCTTAACTTTCAAATCCTAATATATGTAGGATCTACTGTAAACGCTGTAACAAAAGAGCCCCCAGACTGTCAAGTTTAAATTTTCTCAATTCCTATTAGAGATATCAAAAATCTGTCTGCTGATAAAATATTTTAAAATTATGATGAACAATTTATCAGTTCACAATTTTCCCATATCTTATACGGGAACCGAGAAAAATTTACTCAAAGTTCAACGGATTACAGATTTACGGTGTGTACAAAAAATTTACCAATTTCAATATCCAGGCAATATCATCTTTACAGAAACTCAAATTTCTCATTTCTTTGGCTTCTTGAATCGTTCTTCTATTTCCAAAATTGTACTTTTTGAATCTGGAAGATCTTTGAATATATCACGTAATCGAACAATCCTGACGGGTTTTTCAGATTTCCTCATCCTCACCCTTTTGCAAACAGTCGAAAAACACAAAATCCTTAATTCCAGTCATTCTCAGACTTCGACTTATCTCGAAGACTAAACTTTTTAATAACACATTTCTGTTTATCCGGAGACTGTAAAAAATAACAAAGCTTTAATAAATGATCGCCCAGATTGAGAGCTAATCTTGTCGAAAGAACTTGAAATCGCCTTAAAATGCTTGATTCCGACTCATGAAGATTAATGTTGACCCTAAAAATCGTCTTATTTTTCTATTTTTCAAGTTGATCGTGATTTCGAAATTCTCAAAGAAAAAAGTTCAAAAAGTCAGACAGAGACGGTATCGAAAAAATGTCGGAAACCCGGGCGTCAGCTCTCAAAAAAAGCTCTCAAAGACCAACAATCCAAAAGACAATTCCATTTTCTTTTTCTATCTCTCCAACCTTGTCTTCTCCGATATTCACTTAATCTCCTTATCACACATTTTTTATCAACCGGAGGAATCTACAGTATCTTCACGGTTACCATCTACATCTATTTTCGACGGACACCTAGTCTCTTGACGCGTGTTTTGACAGCTCACACCTTCTGGAGGTGTTTAACTTCAAAGGAATCGCCGACAACCGGATGAAACAAGGATCCACATGTCATTTCAATGTAATGTGATAATTGGGAGGGCATGAGGGGAAAATAATTAGGTGATACCGGAAAAAAACGAATATCGAGAAGACGTGAACAAATGAGATGACTAATACCGACTGTAAAAGTATTCTAGGAATGTATACGAGAAGATTTTATTCTGGGTCGTAATGTTCTTCTGGCTATAAGATGTTTACAACAAACTACAAGAGCCTGAGCTCGAATTCAGGGCGTAAGCCTGCGGATTACTAGTTGCTTACGATTTAACCGGTACCTGATTACGAAACTGAAATATAAAAGATTTGGTGGTTTTAAAATATTCTTCAGACATATCAACACTTTTCGGTTCATCCTTTAAATTATGAGATATGATCTAAAATTACATCAACGGTGAGTCAACAGGCTAGAAATACTGTAGACATAATAGTGTTTTCGGATTTTCAGAATTCCAGGTTTTTTGAATTTCAAAATTTCAGATTTTCAGTTTTTGAAAAATACAGAATTTCAGAAGTTTGATGTTTTCTGATTTTTTTTTCGATGTCTGCATAAATTGTCTTGGAGCCGAACTATAAAGTCCAAAAAATCACACGAATCAAAGAATTTCGAGAAATGGAGTTAAATTTGTAGCCATCGAAAAAGGGGTCATAATAAAAATCAAAATATGAGAAGGCGGCGTAAAACCTCTAATCCGAGAACCTCATCAAATTGTTTCGTCTTTTTTTTCAATTGCCTAATCTTTCCGGGTAATCTTCTGGAAGAAAAGTGCATACAATTGAGAGGATATCTGGAGTTTAGTTGAAGTTGAATGAATGAATTCATGTGAAAGAAATGAATAATCGAAGGTAGAAAAGAGCCGAAAATTTTTGAAAAGGATGAGCAGTTTGATGGGGGTGGACATTGTGAGGAAAAGAAAAAAATGAAGGGTCGATCTAGCCGAGGAACTGAAAAAAAACTGAAAACTGAAGAAAAATGCCTCGTTTTTCGAATGCTCTATTCAGGATTCAGAATCTAGAGCTCTCATTCTCCATTAATTTCTCCCACGCCTACACTCTTCTTCTTCACAAAATCAGGTGCCTGTATTGGTGGATCTCATTTCTCGCACCTTCCAGTAACAGTGCAAAGTGACAGGTCATGCCCGGTCACCTGTTGTACTTTATGAGTGCTAACGAAGAGTGTTGATAGCTGAAAGTCTGAAATTTCGTACGATACAAGAAACAACCGTGGGAACTTTGAAAATTACGAGGATGGAAAAGGATGGGAAAGTTCATTCGGTTTGAAGAATGTCGATTTTTGAAAGAAATTAAGGGGTGAGGAGTTTCAAAATTGTAAGATAGGAGAACATGAAAAAAAAACTATCTCGGAACTTCGTTCATATAAGCCTCTCGAAGAGTTGAACTTGTGGGACGATTATTGAAGGTGCGGCGCTGCTATCGACTGAGCCACGCCGGTGAAGCTGGCTCCTGGACGTTTCAGAACCCGACAGTTCAGAACCCGACGTTTCAGAACCCGACGTTTCAGAACTTTTCTGCATTTTTGTATAGTGGTTTTCGCGCACCAGATGAGCATTGCTCAATTCAATTTTGTGTTTTTCTGCTTTTTTGTTCATTCTCATCTACCGTACTCCAAATAATGATAGGTTCACACTGGGATTCTCTCAAAAAATCGAAAAAGTTGAACTTTTAAAAAACGATGTCATTTATAAAACCATTCAAAATGAGACTTCTATTCGCCGGAAAAATTATTGCGTACTTCTAGACGTCGTTCTTGAAAAGTTCAATTTTTTTTCGATTTTTTGAGAGATACCCAGTGTGAACCTATCATTATTTGGAGTACGGTAGATGAGAATGAATAAAAAACAGAAAAACACAAAATTGAAGTGAGCTCATTAAGTGCGCAAAAACCACTATACAAAAATGCAGAAAAGTTCTGAAAAGTCGGGTTCTGAAACGTCGGGTTCTGAACTGTCGGGTTCTGAACTGTCGGGTTCTGAAACGTCGTGGTTCCGAAACGTCGGGTTCTGAAACGTCCAGGAGCCGTGAAGCTAGACCGATGAAATCCTCTCTCCCCCTCCTTTAAGTTCAAAATTATTTAAAAAATTAAGAAACAGGAGCTAGTTAGAAACGCAAGGTATTAAAAAGAATGTGTATGAATTTCACAGACGAATCCCACCGTTAAAAGTGAGCAATAATCACAAATGAGATCGTAAACATTACAAAAAGGTCACTACAAAAGAAATTTTTCGAGGTATTCAGAAAACATGAACATTTTGGGAGAGTGATGAGTTTCTATTGAAGAATTCTTTGATTCTTTGAAACAAAAAGAAAACAAGAATGGAAACAAAAAAGAAAAGGACCATGCAAAATTGTAATTCATAGAGAGAAACGAAGCGGAAAACAAGTTACCTGGTATGGAAAAGAAGTGGGCATTATTGCTCATCAGGAGCATTTCGGAGTAGGCGTGGCCGAGAAGACGACGTTCACATGTGGAAGAATATTCTGGAAGAAACAGTTTTCAGAATGGGTTAATCCTGGAGCTTTTGACACATATCACGTGTTGGTAGTGAATAGAGATAGACACACAACTGAGGGTTGAAAAAGGAATTCGATTGGTTTGAAAACCGAGACGACCGCCCAAAACATCTCCCATTTCATTTGGTGCTGCTGGTAAGGGGTCTTCTGAAGGGAAAACGAGAGGAAGGAGCTTCAGGAGGAGATGCTCGAAGGGACTGAACGTATCCGCATTACACATGTGCATGTGTGCACGACATCTCCCAACAACTGATTCACCCTCGCATCCCACCCTCTTCTTTTTTCTGTGCCAGAGTGAATTTTTTGAACAAACATTGACTTTTTCTATCGTCATTCACTTCTTTATTTTGATCAGGAAATCTATTTTAGTTGGGTCAGTTTGGATGGATTTTCGAAAAGGAGTGGATGAGCTAATGGATAAGAAGATTTAAGGAAAGGATTCTAGGGGCACTACGTTTGAGGTGTAGCAAGATTTGACGTGCGATGGGAGGTTCTAGAACATTCCATAGGGTCGTAATCAAAAGATCTATAATGTTCAAGAACAACGAAGCCTTCTGATGACGTTGTAGACACATCTGTTTACGGTAATCATTACTCAAGTTTACTCTATGAGATCCAGGATCTTACGTCAGCTGAGAAAGATCCTTTAGCTTCAAAATTTTTTAGCTAAATAATCTGACTGGAAATGAAACGGACATCTTTTGAAATCCATTTTAATCTTTCAGTATAAGGAAAATTTCAAATTCTACCAGTAATCATAAGAACTAGAAAAGCTTCTATTTTTAGGCTTCAGTATTCTCATGGCTACGGAAACATATTGAACAGTTATGAAATAGACTTCTGAGCATTTAGAAGAGGATTCTAGTTCTTCGAAAATTTAAAGTTAATGACTCATAGATAGAAGAAGAGTCCTAAACTTGGATACACTGTACTTTTCGAAGCAGATTGGAAAATGAATGAATTAGCTCAAGAATACCGTAAAACCTATAATAGAAGAGTCCCTAACTTTTAACTTTGAGCCAATTTTCCACGGTACCTGTCAAAGGTATAAAAAAGTTTTCAACTGATAAATTTTTTATCATAATATCAGAAATATTTTGTCAGTTGACACATTTTTGATATCTTGCATAGGAATTCAGATACTTGCGCTCAATGTTGACAGTGTGGAGGCCATTACAGGTTTTGGGGTGAATATTCGAGCAACAGATCTAATCAAAGAAGGAAGAGTTCAGTTTAAAACTATGATGATCCGATACTAAAGCTCGTTGAGCACTGATACCTATAGCATGCAACAAATTTGAAAGAGATCATAAATTGAGAAAAAGTTGGAAGGTTTGCTTTGGGCTAAGACTGTAGCGTTTTGAAATCCGATTTGTGAAACTTTTAATGTTTTTGTTAAGCCTCGATTCAAGGGTCCACAGGCGAGCTGGTTGCAGAACGCCCAATGAATCCTAAATTTCTAAGAAAGTTATTCAACGATTTTAATGACAGTTGTACATTCCCTTTTGTGCCATTCTCACTCTAACCAAAACCACTCAAAAAGATTGGATTCATTTGATTTGTTCCAACAAGTCGAAACGCCGCGAATTTTATTAGGTTCTGCTACACAACCACCCGTTGGTTTTGGGTTGTTTTATTGTGGTCTTGAAAATGAAAAAGAAAAAGAAGGTGATGTGGAAAATAGGAGAAGGAGAAGAAGGAAAAGAAGCATCTGCCAATATGCGTCTTTGTGGAGGTGGGCTCTGCGAAATGATAAAGGTAATCCAGAAGTAATCGGATCGATTCGACTCTTCTGGATTAAATGACTGGATTCGCAAGTCAACAAGTTACCATCATCGTCATGTGTATCAAGACATTTATAGAATGCGAAAGGACAATCAATACCTTCTGAAACTGGTGTTGAAATTGAATTAGTTGAAAAAATGTCAAAATTCAGAAATTCAGATATCCTAAATAACTACAGGAATCTCAGAAATTTCAATAAAACCGGAAAATCCAGAAAATTCAAATCGATTCGATGCTTCTTAAAGCTTGAAGCCAAATTTTCAAACCACAATCTAGTTAAGGTGGTTTCGCTCACATTATATGCCAAAGTGCTGGTTATTCTGAAAAAAAATTCGAAATCTTTGATCTACAAAGTTTATAGTTTGATAAATGTGCAATAGTCAGAAACTTCTAAATTGCATGCTTTTTATTTTAATCGCTTTCTTGAAACTCGGGTGCACCAAAGTAGAATCTAGTATTGCTAACTCGTTGCTTTGAAACTAGAAGTCTAGTCTCGAATCCCGTGGGTCTGAAAGCATTGTCACTTGTACGTGATACAATTTACTGGGTTGCTCTGAAATTGATAGTTGTGAATGAACTTCTAAATCGCGGTGATTTTTCCGGAACGTTTTTTAAAATAAATTTTTTCCCGCAATTTTCCGATGGAATGCAGGCTTACAACAGTAAGACTCGGCGGTTCAATTTGAAGCTTTCGCGTCGAGACCAACGCCTTTTTGAAAAATTAAAGTTAGAGCGGATTTATATGACCTCCCGCAAAAATCTCGGCTTTTTTGGAGGTTATCAGCCCTACAAAAACCGTTCCAGGATTATCCAAGCCTTCAGAGTTTCTAGCTGACCATAATTGTACCAAACCATTTTTTGTATTTTTGTGAAAACCCCGAATCAATTTCCAGAGTGCACTCCAGTTTTTATTAATATTAATATCACCTGTGTGTCACTACAGTAATCCTCTGTTGACTTTTTCATCCTGCTAATGAAGAAATGTTAGACTAACAGACACACAACGAACACGTGTGACCTCCAATGTAATCCTCTTTCTCCGCACAAATACAACACCTTCCTCTCTCTATGTGTTATATTACAGTAGTCCCTCAACAGTTCCAAATGTCAAAAGGAGGGGTTGAAATCATCAAAGAGAATTTCAAAAAGCACCGGTTGCTTCCCCCCAATTATCATCTGAATCATACAAGTGTAAAAAACGGACGGTTTGGGAAGAAGAGTTATATTTATTTTCTTGTCACATACAACTCTCTAAACATTTACTCAACAGATGCCGTTGTGTCGACATGAACCCGATGATTAGCACGTCAGGGAGGAACGGAAGACGTTGAGATGAGCTGGAGCATAAACAGTTATTCCGAGATAATATACATAAACATTCTCGCGCGTGCGCGCACTTATTCATAATTACACATTACTGCTGGGGATGCGCGAAATCTTGGGTTATAGGTGGAAAAACGAAAAAAAAAGAGATTATTTAAATAATAAATTTAAAGATTTCGGAAAACAAAACCGTTTTAGACGAAAAATAAACAACAAGAATCGAAAACCTTAGTTGGAAAAATGTTTCGAATAAACTTCCCCAAACGAGATATGACCATTACGATCACAAATTTTATCAATTTCGGTACTTTTCTTATTCCTGACATAGTTTACCGTAAAACTTTTACTATTTTTTCAGAGCTCCAAAATCCCGATTTAAAATATTTCATGTTCTTTTGTGTATCTTTATCACGTTTGTTGTGAAAACCACCCTCTATCTTCATCATCCCGATTGTAATCTTGTTAATTAGGTTATGCCAATATGTATTCTCCACACCTTCAAGAATCGCAATCCGCGTCGTCGCACACGTGTGTAACCACCGTAATCTTCTTCTCCACAACAAGTTGTCCTTGGATCGCCACCGTGAGAAACTTCTCCGTTATTGTGAGATGAGAAAGCACAGGCCAATTAGTAACAAAGATTAATGAGATGGTTATCTGTCAATAGAAAAGAAACATGGGTTCTTGGTTGACCGGAACAAAATAAATGGGACACTCTCGAGATAGAGAGAGAGAGCAACAAAATTGATGTAAAAGATGGCTGTAAATCAGTCGGGCGCAAAAACATGTCAGATTTCCGTTCCATCACTTTACAACCTGACAAAGGTGAGAAATTGCTTTACTGCTTTTGTGATTTTGTCCGTTTGGAAAAGGTGGGCTTGCTAGGAGCCAAAAGACTTGCGAAACTCGCTTAAGACAATTTCAAATTTTGCCGATGTAACAGTTTCTAGGTCACCGGCCGTGTAGTCCTCTCGGACAGTAAAGTCGACAAAAGTCGATTTTTTCGTCGATTTTTCGTCGATTTTCGCTTTCATCGACTTTTGAAAAGTCGATTTTCTGTCGACTTTTTGAATGCCGATTTTTGATCGAGTCGACGAAATCGACACCGATTTTAACGATTTTCGTCAATTTTTGTCGATTGTCAACAATCGACACAGCACACTACTGATGTTTCGAAAACAGATCAGGCATACTCGATTGTGACCAAAACTTCTGTGCGGAAGTTATCCAGATTACTGATTAGATCACTACTAAAGCCTACCAAAACCTGTTCATGGTCTAATGTACACTAGTTATTGAAAAACTAATGTCTAACGCCCTTCAAAAGCCGAACATTTTTCAATTTTCGACCAGAAGCTTCAACCTGACAGCCAATGAGTTGTAAAAAATACAAAAAAAAATTAAACTTGGCTCAGACCTATCATTTCCATCCTCATGGAGTTCAGAAAAGGATTGGCTCAATGATAATTCAATCATTGCCAGCAAGTGGAGTCGAACCCGCAACGCGCAAACGCCGACTGCAAACACAACCACTCGCCCAGCAGGACGTGTTTATACAACTACGTTGTGGACGTAGATAAACCCTCCTGTTGGTGTGTGGAAAGGGGAGGGCGAGGGAGTGTAGAGAAGTGTAGAAGAGAGTTGTGTGAAATTGAAGAAAAAAGAAAAGCAAAAGCAATTTATGTTTTAAATACAAATTTTATCTTTCCATGATTTTATTTTGAACCTCATAAGTTTACAGAGAATAGGTTAGTGGAATTCAAGACTTTCGCAACAAAAATACTTTATTTCAGAAGAGACATTTAGTTCCCATGATTTTTCTTATTCAAAATCTTGGTCTCCTCGACTTCCTCTTCAACTTCATAGCGATAATCTTCTTTGCTGTTATCTTTTTTCAATGACTTTTCACTCTGGTCATGGTGGACGATATCCGATTCGTCGTCGTTTTCTTCTTTTGAGTGAATTTCCTTTGAATTTTTTCCAGCGCTTTCAGTTGATTTGGATGGTTCCATCTTGTTGTTCTCCTGAGAATCAGAAAAATGATTCCTTGGGGCCGTTTTTTTCAGGTTTTGGTCTACGGTGCTTTCTGAAATAAAAAAACAGTTTATCGCCGAGATGGTTTTCTGAACCTCACTTGATTCCTCTGAAGCCAAGTTGTTGAAGTCATGAATTGTTGATCCAGACTTGATTTGAAGTTCCGAAGAATCTAATTCCACTCGTTTCACGGTTTTAGGAAAATGAGAATAATGCTTCTTCGTGCTATCATTGTCAAAGGCGTCGTCATCAGAAATCTCCAATGTCTTTTTCTTATGCTCTTCAATTGGCAACGCCTTCGACCCAGTGGAATCAGAATTGGTGTCATGTCGGCGTTTGATATTTTTCTCCATCTGGGATGAGGCATCGGCGTCCGATGTATCCAGCACACGCTCTCCTCCTCCAACCATGTAGCCGTCAACGAAGATGTTTTGCGAAAGAGGAGAGGATGTGGAGGTGGCAAGAAGATCGGAAGGTTCGGAAGTGGAAGAAAGAGTGGATTCGCCGGGGACTGGTAGGATCTGAAAAAATGAATGGAAAATACTATGGGGGATTCTAAGATTATTGTGAGGAATCCTGAACCACTTCATTATTTTCAATAAAGAAGTGTCTTCTACATTAGATGTTAACTTAAACTCGTGATTCGATCCGGAAGTAATCAATAACTAATTTTGTATACTCTTAGTACTCTTAAGGTATCATGTCACTTCTTCAACAATCTTGGAAGGTATACGGTAACCGTGAAAATGGCCTGGAAGGGAATTTTCTCCTTAATATTCACCCCATCCGGGCCTTCAATTACAGCACTCCGCTTACAGTAATACCTGTTTTTTACTAAAGAGGTTTCGTCACTATTTTACAGACTTTTTTCAGGGACTAAATTTAGAAATTGGAAAATTTAGATATTCTGATTTTCAGAATTACCTAACTCGGAAACTTAAAATCTTTGATGTTTTCAGAAATTAGGATTCTCCGACATCCAAGAATTTGAAATGCCAGAAATACGAAAATCCAGAAACTCGAAAAAGTCCGACAATCGGAAGTTCGGAGATCAGTAAATTTGAAAAATCGGAACTCGAAAATACTCTAATTTTTAAATTCAGAAAAGTTTTCCAATGCAAATCTTTGTTTTTTTGAATTGTCAAATTCTAAAGTTTTCGAGTCGTTTAACATCCGAATTTTTCATATTATATATTTATTACCACACGATCTACCTGTTTTGGATGACGTCCTGTTCCATTGTGACTAGCAATATAATAGACAACCGGTCCAGCAATCAGAAGAAAAATAGCAAAGAGAAGAGCACAACAAATGGACTTAAAATCCATTTCGAATATTCCAACTTATGATGTTGGGCATTCTGTTTTATATTGTCTTGGGAATGCTTTTATACCCTAATCGAATTATGCACAGTGGGAGTTTTGATTGTCTTTTTTGTCAGTGTGGGCGGTGGATGATATGACAAATCGCAGAAAAAAAAAGAAGGCGGTTTGTGGTGTGCAAAAAAAATCTTCATATATGAAGAATTGAGTAAATGTACTACAAAGAAATGAAACTGGGTGAGGTCGACAAGAATCAGCTACAAGTATTATGGATGTGTCACACGTATTAGTCAGGAGATGTTCTTTGCGACCCGGGATCAATTAGATCTGTAGAATTCAACAGATCAAGGTGATTGGTCATCTCAAACAGGAGACTAGGAACGTGTTGAGACAGCCGGAAAAGGACTTGAAAATAAGTAGATTTAAGTGGGTAATATACAATTAAAGTTTGAGATAAAATCAATAATTGGGTTAACTATAAGTGTTTGTATGTCTTTGGTAGATGTCGTCGTAGCCTCCATACGCTCTGTTCACTGCTCCATACTCCCTAAATCGACGATTGTTATTCAATCGTGCCGGAACTGACCGAACAGTTTTATTCATGCCTTTTTTATTATTAGGTCTTAGTCGGTTTCCTTGAGATGGAGTTCCTTGAATGGTTTTGACAAATCGTTCATCCATGATCTTGAAATAGAGTAAGTAAGACAACTCTCCCGAAATGCTCCTATCTTGTGAAGAGAGGTAACGCGGCAACTGAAATAATATAATCATTATTAACTTTGTGGAACCTATTATACCTTGATCGTTGTGAAGTCTTTCAGCTCGTTGATCGCTTCTGTAGTACCGCGAGACAAGACGATGATGCGTCCTGAAATATACATTTTAATTCTGAACTTGTGATCTTCGACTCTTACCGTAACCCTTCTTCTTGAATCTTGTATCAAATCTTCCATCAATTTGCACACATCTTGATTTCTCTCTCAACTGGTTGAGTAATTTCTCAATGTTGGTTTCAAATGGAATTTCCAGTAATATAGGATCTCCTTCTCGATGGATACTCTGCTTATCAGCAATGCTTTCAGTGGATGTCGGAAGTTCGTCGAACCTCAAATTCAACAAAATATTGTAGTATGTCTGCGTCGCTGCAGTATGATAGACGAGCCATTCTCCTCTCATGAAAACGCTTTTCAATCCAATTGAACTGAAGTTTAGAACTCGAAGACGACGGAACTCTCGAGTTGAGAGGAATCGGAAGAAAGAAATTGTGAGACGATCCAGATCCGCATCTGTTAACTTTTGCTTGATGATCAAATCGTTATCCGATAAATGTATCTGTAAAAAATCGTTATATTTTGAATTTCCATCTTTAACTCACTGCTTCAAAAATCTTGGATCCAGATTGCCCTTGTTTCTCGTCCATGAGTGTGCCTAGCTTTTTTGTAGCTACCATGATGATCATAAGGGCAAGGTGGTACCATTTCAGGCTGCTTTCCGTTGCACTGGTTAGCAATTTTTCTCTTTGAGTATTATTTCTGCATGCTGTTAGATCATCAGAATCACAAATCAATCCCTTGACTCTGGCCCACGAATCAATGATGAATAGACACTTCTGAAGTTCCATGTTGTGCTGAACATATTTCAAAATGATATTCTTCGCTTGAATTTCTTGCTGAGTCAATGATTCTCCGACTTTTCCAACAGAATTAAATCTTCTTATGAATTGACTGTATTTTGATTTCGCACGATTTTTGTCATCGGTAATGAATGCGTTTCGATGATCGCGGATCGCCTGGAAACATGTTTTTGATTACAATTAAATCATTTGAAACTCACCTGAAACTGTGGTAGACGACGTACTGGAACATTTTCCATTTCCATTATATTTTTCCCCCTGACGAAGTTCAGAATATCGTACGCAATCCAGGCGAACGACAGTTTTCTATCACTTCCCTTCATCGCATTTTCTTAAATCAATACCGTGTTTTTTTTTTTCAAATATCGGTCCATTGAACCTACCATAACAGACTCTATAATAGGCGATAGCTTTTGCCATCATGGCGTCGCTGGGCTGCTTACAGACTCTTCTCAGAACATCCACCTCTTCGTAGTTTCTGCGCACGTTTTCAGGTTCTGTCAATCTCATATATGCTGGCATCCTGGCTTCGGGAGTCACGAATTCTTCGAAAAATTCTTTTCGATATTTTTTATATAAATCAGTCATCTGCCCTTCGATAACACTTTCAGTGTTGTACATGCTCATGTCGTCTTGTTCTCTTTCCGATTGCCTATTCCGGATATCCCGGAAACATCCGGAAAACACTTCTGCTTCAGTCGCCACTCCAAACGTTTCCATAATCGAACGGAGTTGTCCATTGTATCGTATCATCTGTAGGGTTGCATTGTCCTTATGCTTCTCCCAGCCTTCCCAAATCAAAAGATCATCGATAACCACCGGAACTTGTTTCTCTGACGATGACATAACCACGTCATTGATGGATCTTAACTCTCGATGGAGTGTTCCAAGAAGACGTGAAGATGCATATGATGCACTGCCAGCGTGACGACTCTGAGAGAAATCAGGTCGTCGTTCAGATCTTTCCGGTGGTTCCCAGAGTCCGGTTTCAGGATTAATTCGTCCCTCATTTGTCAATGGGAGTGGAGGATCTCCAGACTTTGCGAAGTCAAGTGCCATTGCGTTTTTCTCGACCAAAGAATTAGCAACATCTGAATCGATTCCAAACTGATCCGACTGGTGGAGATGATTGATAGCGGTTACTCCGACGTCTTCCTGTCTCATAGACAGCGCAAAGAAATCGTTCATCTTGTGATCCATTTCCCCGAGTGTGAATTGTTTGTTTTTCTTTTCGGAGCAATAACCAAACGCTGGGGCATTTTTTTGGAAAAATAGAATCGGATCCCAGATGACCGCATACTCATCTCCATCCAAATCGGAGCCTGCCATCTCGTCCGGTTGGGATCTTGGTCCGCTTTGAGGAAAAACTATGACGTCTGTGAGGTGATGAAGTTCCGGGATATCCACAGCTTCGTACATTCGGATGTCTCCTGCGCACATTGTAGGGAATTTTGTGACCATGATCGGCCCTGAAATATTTTAAAAATAAGTTCCGAATATTTCTTCTCATTTCCCTACCTGTCAAAACTCTACCAGAGTTTTTCCGTGGAGTCTTATTGTTTATGTTTTCTGTGTATCTCACATACACCTGACCATACTGTAGCTGTCCAGTCTCATCTGTGACACCGAACATTGAACGTCCCAAATTTGTAGGGATAGGGATCTGAACCTTTCTCAGAAGTCTTGCTGAAAATGTATGTTCTTGGATTATTAGGTTGGCGGGAAAGTCTTTGTCACTTTTTCAATAGTTTATTTCTCAAAGAAAAAATAACCGAATAATTAATTATATTGTCCATCATTATCAACAACATGTCTCCAACGTTCCCTCAATTTATGGATTCCATTGCGGTAGAATCCAGCCGGGCGTGAGGCAAAGTATTGTTTGAGTGCCGCTTCGACCGCTCCACGGGAATTGAAGCTTCTTCCTTCGAAGGCACGTGTCATATCGCCAAATAACCAATAGTCGGAAGGAGCAAGATCAGGAGAATACGGGGGGTGAGGGAGAACATTCCATCCATATCCCATCAGCTCCTGCTTCACTTGTTTCGAAACATGTGGGCGAGCGTTATCATGTTGATAGTACACTTTCTTGTCTTTCAGGGCCGAACGGTCGACTGCTTTCTTGAGGTTTCGTAGTTGAGTAGTGTAGAGGTCTCCAGTTATTGTTTTGCCCTCGGGCAGAAGTTCCCAGTAGATGGGGCCGTCCACTCCCCACCACACAGAGAGCATAACTTTTTTCGGATGAAGGCCGGGTTTGGGGACATCCTGTGGGCTCTCTCCTTCTCCAACCCACTGGGATTTCCTGTGGTGATTATCGTAGAAGACCCACTTCTCATCTCCGGTTATTAGCCGGTCCAGCCATCGATCGCCCGCGTGGAGAGTGAGAAGAGTAATCGAATCGTCGACTCGGCGGTCAAGGTTGGCTTGAGTCAGGTGATGAGGTATGAATCGACCAAAAAGTTTTCTCATTCCAAGAGACTTCAAACCTTCAAGGACTGTGCTATGGTGAACTCCGAATGTGACAGCTAGTTCACGGCTAGATTGAAATGGATCCGATTGCAATGCGTGCTTCAGCTTGTCCAAATCCAACTCACGGGGTCTCCCAGAGCGATCCTTTTCACGAGCGAGAAGTCATCTTTTTCGAAACGATGGAACCAATTGCGAATAGTATTGTAGTGAGGGGCATGTGTGTTGTACACATTCTTCAAGAAAGTTTCCGAATCCTTCATCGTGGTGTGAGATAGGAAGAGGTAAATCAAAACATGTCTGATGTGAATAGCAGTGGGAACAAACATATCGTTTCAATTACAGATGAGGAGCAGGGAAGGAAATGGGGACTTGTTTATATGGAAGGTTCTTATCACCTTGTTATTCACTAGAGTCGATATCATACACAGCCTCCATATACGAGAACAGTGATTAAACAAACAGAGTGACAAAGACTTTCCCGCCAACCTAATATTTCTAAATTTTGAAAACTCACCCAGGCAAACATCGATGGATGCTTTTATCAGGGATCGGAAAAATGGTTCTGTCGACAACGAGAACCCATATTTTTGTTCCAATCCGTCAAAATTGATTCTATGAGGCATTCCTTGCAATCTCGATCTGCAATTGTCTTCCTTCACAATGCATTTGGAAAACGTGTCCATTTCGATATCCAGTAGTTGTTCAATTCTTCCGATTATTTTTTCATGGCAAGCCAAAGATTGAAGAGCAGATGCTTGATCCAGAATATTAATGAACGGTTTATTAAGAGTCACCGGCGTTGGCGCTGACCACTTGACCAATTCGATTGGCCATTTAGACTTTCCTTGTTGACTTCCGTGAAACTTTTCTTGACTATCTCTGAACAGGACCTTTTTCGTGTATGGTACCAGGTATCCACGGAATCTGATTTGTATCCACGGAATCTGATTTGGTAGCAGCAGGGTACAGAAACATCAGGAATCCCAATACTTTTGCAAATATCAGTGGCCAAACGGACAGATATTGTTCCAACTCCATCTGTGAAAGTATAAGGAGAACCACTCGCGTTTTTCCCTCCGATCACATCCGGAATGATTTGGTAATCGTCAAGTTCAATCTCCACACCTTCGCAACTTCTTGCCTGGGTACAGCACTGTCCGAGTCTTGCCATTGCTTTGGAAATACTTCCAGTATTTTCGAAATGCCCCAGTTTTTGGCGATAGTCGATGATCTTCGGTTTGAATGATGAATCTGGGAGTTTTCCCTTACGATCTATATATTCATCCAACTGGGTTTTATTGTATCGTTCCATGAAATATCCTCCACCATCTCGCATTTGGGAATTCGACGATGCAAGGTATCCATAGCATCTTCCCATGATTTCAAATCCTTCCGCCAAATGTCCAATCACAACTTCCTCGTGTAACTCTCGCAAATTGCTCAACCTCAATTTTTGCATAGAGTCATCTCGGATTGTGGCTCGAATGATTCTTGTTCCGTCCTGATCTGCACCAGTAACTGCTCGATTTGACATGGTAATTTCTGGTGCCAGATAGATCAATCTGGAAGGCGTCATGATCACTTTTCGGACTTTTCTATATCCATTAGCCCAAGATTCCTGAGACACTTTGTTGGCTGTTTGACTATCTCTTCTGGCTACACATAATCTCTTGAAGACGTCGATCAGATCTCCCACTCTTGTTTGATTATCCACGTGATTGAGTAGGTCTTCCAATGCAGACTCGCAGAGCTAAAATGTTTTCAAGATATAGTTATTAGGCTGGTGAATATGAAAAATCGGAGCAGGGCTGGGCTAGCAATCGGCTTTCGTCGGAAACGAATTGCAAAACACGCGCAATACGAGATTAAAGGCGCACGCAATTTTGCCGATGTGTCTGGACACGTAAAAAATGGCGTGGAAAATAAATTTCGAATTTTGAACAATTTTATTAAAAATCGCTTTAAAAATTCAAAATTTATTTTTTACGTGTCGAGACCCGTCGGCGAAATAGAGCGGAAAATTTGCAAAACGTGAAGGTTTTTCTCCCGTCCTTACCCACCCCTGAATCGGAGCTTTGGAAGCGAAAATTTTAGGTTATGGTGGTTTTCGTTATGAAAGCCGTTGGTCACGCCCACAAGTTTTCATCTTCCACAGCTCTGATTTTATGAATTAGAATAATAGCTCAGGAAAAAATATATCGAAACAGCTTACAATTTGTCGCTCGTATAAGGAAATAGTTGCTTTGTTATCATCTTTCACATGCTCTCTAACAACCTCTATAAACCTTTCCCAACGATCCAAATTGATAATCAATTGATCCTTGACAACGGAACCTCTGAAATCCAAATTACACATTGAAAAGAAGTTAATTCTTACCTGGACATCAGAGCTTCGATCAAGTAAACATAGGCGAATTTACGTTCATGAAGATGTGCCCTTGCTTTTTTTGCTTCCTTATCATAGCCAGGAGTTTGTTCGAACATTGAATTCAAAATAGAATTGTATTGTTCTGTTTTCGAATCAGGTGAATCATTGAACTTGTAGATGGATTCTCCAAAGCATGTTTCTCTTTTAATCGGATCAGGAAAGTCCCTCCCGAAAGGAATGATGTAGTCTTTGTCATAGAAACGGCCAAACTCGACGGGAACATTGAAACGGCTGCGCAGACGAGAGACGATCGTATGGATTTTACCGAAATCGAGATCACTCTTATCAAATTCCAGACAGAAGATCTTGTTTTCAGTGAGAACTCTTCTGGATGACCTTCGTTTGGTTGTGTGACCACATGGAAGATCCAAAGTTCGGTTGGCGAATGCAGGAGACTTGTCGCTTCCAAGCAAAAAATTGATGGTATTCCTGACCACAACTGGAGTTTTGAGAACAAAGTAAATTCTTTTTTTGCAAACTTTTTTGTTTTCTTCGTTAGTCCAAAATGAGTCATTGTCCACAATAATTTGGCGAATTGAATCTCCTTCGAACGATAATTGATATTTGACATCCGCCAACTGCATCACCGTTTTCATTTTTGATTTTTCCTGTCCTTTATCTGCCGTGATAACTTGCTTATTTCCTTTTTCTGGTTCCTCTGGAACCTCTCGCAATCGTTGTTCTCTGATTGTGAATTCGACAGTTATTGGATACGGTCTATCAAAGTCGAAATGAGATTTGATTTTGTCGTACTCCACGATATGTCCATTTCTCTGAGTGGATCGATTTTGTGAATTGTTGTTTCTCTTGTGATTGTTTCGATTTGGAAAGCAGACGTCCCAGTGATTATAGAAGATAGTGTCCCAGATGTTTCCAAATAAGATCCTCTCTGTTGGTAGATCCCTTTCCGAGAGACTGAAAAGTTGAGACTCCGCCGATTCCGCGCAAGTTGCGTAACTGCGGCAGGGTCGAAACTCCGCCCCATTTTCCTCGGAATCGGTTCCTCGGAGACAACCCCTTCCCCGGAATCGGCGGAGTGTCGAAAAGTTCATAGAAAAATCTGTAAAATTATCTCAAGCTCACATCAGAGTTTTATCGAAAAGCGCCGGATGATGAAGGGATAGAGTCCCTGCGAGTCTTTGGTTCTGTAAAGTTGAAAAGAAAAAATAATGAAATGTAGTTCTAAATTCTAAATCATACCGTTCTGTCTAATCCGTCAACCACTTGTGCGACAATGTCAAGAAACCATGATGGGAAGCCACTTTCTGATTTTATCTACAAAGATATTTACCAGTTACAAGTTTCAGTTGGCGAGCAATCGCAGAACGGTCCGCAGGTCAACATTTTATTGATGTTAGCTAGAGCTTTAACTTGGTAGTTGACAATTCTTATGCACTCATTCATTTGAATGAGATAAGCCACTTCAACGCGTCACGACTGGTTTATCTAATTTGGATAAATTTGTGTATTGACCTAATAATTTTCGGATTCATCTGACAAAATCTACTATACCGACATCCAAAGTTTCCTATTTCTCACTTCTTCTAGTGTGAAATAAATAAATAATTGACCGATACCGTATAAGGTTACTTTCTTGAGTTACAGTACTCTTGGGAGTTTTCTGGCTGATATTCGATCTGAAACTGTACAATTAGGGAGGGGATAATAAAGATATTCTAGCATTATGATTCGATGTTTTTTTTAATATGCAAGATATCACTCTTGTCCGAAATCAATGCACGTTGCGGCCGAGAAAACAACGGTGGGCGGAGCTTAGCTCCCACAGAGAGAACCTTACTGTTTTTTAAAATTATTGCACGCGCCTTTGATACAGTACCTCAACATTTATCGAATTTTCTCAAAATTCTCTCATTTTTTCGCTTGTTTCTGTCTAATTTTGTTTAATTCTTATAAATCTTTAATTTATTTTTTTTATGGAAAAAACAGCCAAATAGGGCCCAAAATAAAAAACGTCCGAGGTACGGTATTTAAAGGCGCATGCATCAATTTGTTTTTTTCGCTGTACGACCGACGATGCGATTTTGAATAAATTTTCGGCCGCAACGTGCATTGATTTCGGACGAGAGTAATACAAAATTTATTGAAGACAGTCAGAATGATGTACACCATAAACCCTGTAATAGAATTGCGTGTGCCGATTGACATAATTTTTTTGAAATTATGATAAAAAAATTCATCAGAAATTCATATTTATAAAGTATCATTAACAGGAACCGAGAAAAATTGGCTCAAAGTTAATGTTATGGGCCCTTCTATTACGGGTTTTACGGTATACTAAGCTTTTCGTTTGAGAAAACTTGTCTATACTATGTCGTTAGAAATAAATTTACCTGAAAAGTGGTCTCAAAAAACGGGTCCTCGTGATCACTGCTCACTTTGATTCGTTCTCCATCGATCTTCGTTTCAATTCGATTTTGATTGAAACGCTGCAACAAATGATGATTTTTCTTTTCAAAAACTTTCGCTCCTAACTTACCGTTATCACAAAATTTTCCTGTTCTTCGATGTGACTGTCATCACCATTCTTGTTTCCAGGAATGGATAACTTCACAAAAGATGTTATTACGGATGTTGTCATATAGAGGTGGTTTGCTTCTCTATCACTCGTATCACATTACCTGTAATACAGTTGAAATTCGATGAATAAAGTAAATGAGGTCTTAAAAACGAGGAGCCAATTTTACACTTAGCAAGAAGAAGGAAGCGTGCGAAAGAAGAGGAAGAGAGGAGAAAGCATGTGCTACGCTCTAGAGAAGAACTTGAGGAATAGGGAGCAGACAGCGAGACACTTGGATTCAATAAAAGAAGAAGAAGGCAATGCAACGTCATCCTAGTGGTGTTATTAAGAAAAATTTTATTGACCGAGAGTAAATAAATGAGCGGGAATTGGTATGTTAGATAAGAATGGTTCTCGCTTTCATAATTTGCAAAAAAAACAGGACAATTAATACTTAGTAAGAAACATTATTCTGGTACAAAGAAAATCGGAGCTGTGGAAGAAGGTCCCACAACGACCACTACCGTAACCTAAAAAGTTTTATTCTCCTTGTTTATTTTTCCGATTTTCGTGCGTTTTCGGTCAATTTTTTCACTATCAAAATTTTGGGGAAAAATAACAGAAAAGTAGAGGAAAACCAGTGGAAATCGAGACAATAATTACGGAAAATATTTAGAAATGTTTATAGGTTACGGTAGTTGCCACTTTCGGCCACGGTCATCGGCGTTTCTCTTCCACAGCTCCGATTTTTCGTTTCAGAATAATAAGTTGTGTTTAATCTTCTTCATATTTAATTTCTTTTAAAGAGGTTCCAATTCTCGGAAAAGATTCGAAATGTGTCAGAAAAGGCAACAGCAGCCACCAAATTTAGTAGAAACAACAATTTTTATTAATTCTTGGTCAAAGCACAAGAAAGAAAAAGAAAAAAGAAACTAATCAAGAATATGATCGATAGAATCCAATTGAAAAAAGAATCTATAGATTAATCCCGATAGACATGGTTGGCAGAACACAGAATAGACAGAAAGGGAAAACAGGTTGGGGGGGTACGCACTTCAAGGACGTACATAATTTTAAAGGCATGCCACGCGGCAAGACGAGATGTTGTCGAATTAAAAAAAGTGGGACCTGGAAAATTTCGCGGGCGGCTTCCAGGTCAACTTTCGAGGCCTTGCGTCAAAATCACTAGAGTAGTAAACGAAACTTATTTCTGTGAATTCAGTGGGATTTTCTGGACAAAATTTAGATTTCTTAGTATGAAAATGATCGCTAGCATCTCTAGAACCTATCTTTCATCGAAAAACCAAACTTAATTGCGAAAGTA